GTCAACGCGAATCTGCAATCCTAAATTTGGACGTGTCAAAGAACCAAGGCACTCATTGGGTAGCTTACAGAAAGATAAATGATGTCGTCGAGTATTTCGATTCATTCGGTAGCCTGAAGCCACCGAGAGAACTTGTCCAATATCTGGGCAAAGTCAAACTCTATTACAATAACGATCCATTCCAGAAATATAACCAAATCAACTGTGGTCATCTCTGTCTGGAGTTCCTGTACAATGGAAGCCGTTTTAGCATATCTCCACCGTGAGAAGGCGTTGCAAGACTTTTCCGCAGAAGAATTGGCACTCTTCCCCATCAACTATCTGATCCAACATGTAAGACCTTGGGAACTCTTGGATGTTTGGCATAAATTACCACAGGACTATAGGAAGAACTTTGATCTGAGAATTCGTTTGCCTTGTTACATCCACTATAATAGACCTGATGCTCGAACCCACGTTGATGGACCGGTCAGCTCACAGTTTGAATGTCATGGTTGTAATTATTTCTTGAAGTGTAGAGTTGTCTTGGAATAAATATTCATAAGTATAGCTGTGTGTCATTAGGTACGTCATGTCTCTACTGTTGACCTTGACGAGTACCACCAACCAGTTCTCTTTCACACCCTCCTCACCGATACTACTGCACCCTCTGAAAAGCTATTACATAGCTGTACTAGGATTTCACAGCTATCATTCCATACCGAATATTGATGGTGAAAAGTTCTACTACTACGAGAACGATAATCGTGAAGTACTGAAAGAGATTCAGTTTCCGACCGGCTGTTATGAGATAGAAAATATTGAGGATTACATTCGGAGGCAAATTCAAGAAGCTGATGCAGATTTCACTTTGAAGCCCAACAACAATACTTTGAAGTGTGAAATCTATAGTCGACAACATACCATCAGTTTTGAGGAAGATAACAGCTTTGGTGAGTTGTTGGGATTTTCGAAGAGGAACCTGGCCGAGTTCACTGTTCAGATCGTCCTGTGAACATTCTGAAAGTATCAAGCCTACATTTCGATTGCAACATCACTGAAGGGTCGTTTTATGCAGACAGGCCTGCTCACACTATATTAAGCTTCCCCATCACCGTAGATCCTGGTTACGCTATCAACGAACGTCCAAATACCCCTCTCTATTTACCTGTGAGAAGTAGCCTGAGAGACATCACTAACATTACCGTCAGAGTGCTGGATCAGGACCTAAGACCTGTTAATTTCCGAGGAGAAAAGGGCACCCTACACTTGGACTTGCAAGAACGTTGAATGGGTCTAGTAGTTGATAATAAAAGATTAACCACAATCTCCTCAGTATCAACGGGACCTCCGAAGAGACAGGAGCTCACTCCAGAAAACGTTCTCTTTCTGCAAGCAATCGGATTACGAGTGAAAAATGAACAAGCGCAAGTATATTCGTTCGGAAGAATCAACAGCACCAACATTCAACCACACAAACCCAATTTTCGATCTGTATCGTCGGCCCAGATATGATGAAACTATTCGAAAAGAAGAATATCGCTCCTACATCCCATACGTCAAATCCTTCAATAACAATGATATGGTGGAAATCAACATAAATCAAGCAGACACATTTTTTGCAATGCATGAGTCTTTGCTGGAAATCAAAGGAACGTTGAATGTGCAAGGAGCTGGAAATGTGTACTTGGCCCCCAACTGTGGAGCATTTCTATTCGATTCTTGCAGTTATGTGCAGAGTGCAAGAGAGATAGAAGTAGTCAGAGATCCAGGGATCGTGAGTAGTGTGCGAGGATTCATGTGCTATAAACCTGATGATTCCAAACACTTATCCACAGCCGGATGGACGTATCCTGATAAACCGCTTTTGAATGCAATTGACAAGACATTTAGTTTGTTGATACCACTAAAGCACCTGTTCAACGTTTTCAATGACTACACCTCAATCACCTATGGAAAACAAACAATCCGACTGATTCGAGCTCGTAATGATAACGATTGCGTGATAGTACAGGAACTCCCCAATGGACCTACAACCACTACTACTACAGTTGAAGTACAAATACATAGTGTAGTGCTAAAAGTGAAGCACGTATTTCCGAACGATGAAATCAAACTACAACTGATGCAACCCATCAAAAATGATACACCTATACTGATTCCATTCAGGAAATGGGACCTCAGCCAATTGCCTGCTCTTACAAACGGCGCAAAAAGTGAAATTTGGGCAGTCAAAACGAGCGCTTCGGTGGAACGTCCTCGGTACGTTATTGTGTGCTTCCAGAAATCTAAACGTGACAATGCAGAAGCTGATGCTACCCACTTTGATAACACGAGCATAGTTAGTATCAGATTAGCCCTTAATGGTGAATATTGGCCTAATGAGAGAATGCAGCTGGATTTCGCTAAACAAGACTACACCCTTGCTTACTACAACTACACCAGGTTCTATTCGAGCTATTCACATTCGACGGTGGTTCACCCAATCTTGGATTATGGGGAATTCAAACAGCATGCATTATTTGTGATTGATTGCTCGAGGCAGGAAGAGACCATGAAATCATCGACAGTTGATATAAAGCTTGAAATCGAAGCCGATAAAGGATTCCCTGCTGACACCAAAGCCTATTGCATCATCGTACATGACTGTCTGCTAGAGTACTTCCCTCTAACGGAAGTCGTCAGAACCTTGATTTGAGTATAATTACCAACTGCAAACTGCTCGAGCTCGCATTCGATCGTCAGCCGTCATGAGGATCGCACTTGTCGACATTCAAGGCTTCACTCTTGACAGTGTTTTCCACCCGAAAGAGCTGACCATTCAAATTGGCCGCCAGAGATCCAACTTCCTATTCAAACCGCCTACACCGTTTGCTACCATTTGTGGACGTGACAAGAAAACTACACGTTATGTGGAGAAATTCGTCCATGGAATACCATATGATGCTGGTGATGTTGAATATACGGAGCTGAACGACATTTTGGAAAAATATCTGTTGCATTCGGTTGAATGTATTTACTTGAGGGGCAATCAGAAAGCTGACTTTTTGAAGACGAAATGTGAAGAACTTGAAGTATTCCCAACTGTATACGACGTTGCTTTGTATGATGGAACACCCTGTTCCAGTAAAACCTACCAGCAAACTATATCGTACTGCCCCAACCACGCCAATGGAAAATATATGTGTGCCCAGCGGAACGTTGATCAACTTTACCAGTGGTTTATAAATGTAATATTACCTAAATGAAGATGTACTGTGTTTGGCTCAATAAACATTATGATAAGGATGGGAGTTTTATTGAAACACCTTGTATAAGTTCCATCATTTTATTCACGATATATGTACCCAGCTTTAATCAGGCCTTTCACAATCAAAACGAACGTAGCTGCTAATGTCAAACCTAGTAATATGAACATTTTATTGAATTCATTCTGTATTCCTGTTGTGGGGGCTCCTATAGTTTGCCAGTCGGTATCCTCTTCAGATCCACCGAAAAACATCAACTTGAGTTTGAAGAAGGAATTATTCGTCTCTGGTATCTCTTTGTAGAATACTGGTAGACATCCATTGTTCACCAACTTATTTCGCATCGCTGTCCACGATGATCGATTGCAATCTTCTTTCGAGTCATTGAAACATATCGCCATGTTCTTGACATCCTTGGGAACATTTGTATACAATACGTTATTCAAAATTGCTGTCAGAACTATGAATACCACCCGTGACATTTTGAGGCTGGATGTGTCGTCTCTGCTCAACAGGCACCTCTACTGCTGGTACTCTTCCACAGCTGCTGAAAACTTTATCCCACAAACTCAGATTCTCCAATTGATTCAATACTCTGGTTTTATCTTCGTACAATGTTATGTCTTTGTTCAGCTGTCGAACCCGCTCCCCAAATTCCTCCAACTTGCTTTTGTACTCGTCCAAGGACATCGTAACACTGATTCAAAGGTCAAGTCTGAATAGTGGTAGTGGTAGCTACGCATGCGCACAGCTGATATAAGCTATTGGGCAGATTCGGCAAACACATCCAGTATCCATGATTGAATGGCTCGTGACAAGTTTGAACATGTCTGTTGGATGACTCATCGGCCACCTGCGTCAGAACAATAGACCCATTGTTCTCTCACAGATAAGGATGATGCAATCGGATGAGGTTGTTACGTAATCGGACACCTGCAAACAAAGGCGGCATTGTTCTCGTATAATATTGCGTCGCAATTTCCCAATAGCCGGAATTCCAAGAAACGCTGTGGCGTCGAGAGAACAAAGGCGGCATTGTTCTAGAGGAAGGCTAGATAACATAAATGGCAAACAAAGGCGGCATTGATCTACGAAGTCGAGATAAGGATGACTCATCGGCCATCTGCAACATGCATATCGGGTGACCTTGAAACAAAGTGCTACCAATTGTAGTAATACCAACCTGAATCTGGTGGGCAAAGTCACTAGATGGTGACGTCATCCATCACCTTTCAAAAAGAAGAACAAGAATGGCCACGCCCATAAGCTCTAGAGTCTAGGGGGCTAAGTTCAGAGTACTTCCACGTGTCTTCTGTCATTCCTTGTGTTCCATGTCATCTGTCACTTGTCTGTCATCTGTCACTCTTTATGTTCCATGCCATCTGTCACGCCTTGTGTTCCATGCCACCTGTCACTTGTCATCTGTCACTTGTCATCTGTCACTTCCGGCGGCCATCTTGTGACGTCACTTCCGTGCAGCCAACACCTTTCACCACAGGAACGGTTGTGACGTCACTTCCGGCGGCGGCCATCTTGAGCTGAGGCATACGTAGGTACACTACTGTCATTCAAAGGTTTATTTAACTGACAAATCTGGTTTTTCTTCTACATATTTTTGGAATAAAAATATCGTTGGATATGATTGGATCCTTCATCATACCTTTCCTTTTGCTAACACAATTCTTTTTAACTTCCTTTCCGTCTACGATAGTCAGAAACAACCATTTGCGAAAGTGGGGCACTGAAATCACAAGAAAAAAAGTTTGAGCTTACCAGAAGAAATAAAGCGTTTTCCCTTTTGGACGAGAACGAGAAGGCGTCCACAAGATGGCCCCAAATGGAGTTCTGCACAAACAAAAAAAAGCTGCTTTTCAGGCATTGGACAGTACGCTAGGTGAGTCATTTCAAAATCAATTGTCGCATTCTGTCATTTTTTCCGGCTTTCGTAATGTTTGAAATAATTATAAGAATATAGAATTGAACAGATTACAACCATTCAGTGACGTAAGACGTAAGTATGAAGTATGATGACGAAAAGGTGAATATTCTGTAACAATGGGTTGCGTTTTTCATTCCAACATTTTGACATGCGCATGAATCGAAGAATCCATCGTACTGTTGCAAAATTTCGCTGGAATGTTGATGGAAATCGATCAAAGTGTTGTTATAAAATGCGCATTTTCAAACCACTTTTCGAGAATCCAGCGGTTTGGAGGAGACTGACATGACAATTGACACATTTTAAGTATTGTTCTTTGTTTTTCATCAGAAATATTGAGGAATTTTTGAATTTTGAGATTGTTCAGAGATTATGGAAGATGAAGTAATAAGTCTTAATCAATAAAATCGTATCATCCTCTTCTAATCCTGAAGATACATGACGACTGACACACAACGAGATCCGTTTTTCCATCAATGTGTTGTATAATATAATCGTTCCAGCATAAATTCCATCAGAACAATTGGTGACGTCAGGACAAAAAACCACATCTATCAGTGCGCACTTTCTTCGAAGGAATGAAAAATACGCCCAATAAATAGAAGTAACATCAAGTACATTAACAACAAATGAGCCAGATTTCCGATATTTTCAAACTGATTAGGATGGAATATACTGACGTGTCTTCCTCTTATTCTGCAGACTTAAGGCAAACGCCTTGATGTATGCTTCTTTGGTACTTTCGATCCGTTTCATCCACAAACTGCATTCGTTCACGGTGTTCACCAGAAGTCCTATTTTGTAGGAATTCTTATCGTCCAGTACATTCAACACTCTGTTAGAATCAGTGCCGGATTCCACATTGTCCGTACTTTCTCTGTTCACTACCATGTTTTGAATCAGAATAGGCTGAAAAAAATGCTCTATACCGGGTGACACAGGAGACATGTAGCAGCCTGTAGTATTTTTATTTGAAGAGGTAAAATTTTGAAATTCACAGGGGGTATATAATAAATGGTAGCGCCCTTTACGAACTTAACGACAATTTTTTTCGACTACCTGTTCGAACGGAAGTGACCTCAACTTTTTTTTTCGAATGTCACCTTGTACATTTCTTCAGTCTATCTGTTTCGTCTTGAAATTCTCTATCCAACCATATATCACAAAGTGGCATTTATTTCTTGATTCACTGTTGAATTGCTTTTTATTCTAAAAGAATAAGTTGGCTGTGACATGAATTCCATGATATATCGACACTTGGTAGGCTTTGAAATTTAAATATCATTAGTGAACCGATATTATTCAAAATGTTTCGATATTCTGATCAATGTCTGCAGATTGTCAATAGCCTTTGAGTCAAGATGAAAACCATCGAAAATAACTCATGATATTGAGGAATCTAAGATAGGAATATATTTTTTCGAATTCAGCTACTCGTACAGAAACTATCTGTCTTTTATTTTCGCCATGTACCTATCACATGATCTTCCCATTTTGAATAATAAAACTAAAATTGTTCCTCTTATACGATGATCCACAGGGCTATCAGTCTATTTTTCATAATTATTTCACTTAGTAGGCGGTGTACCTACACAAAATGTTTTATGTGTTTGACAGTTAATCGATTGCATCAATAATTTTTCTTCTTCATTTGTGTGTTGATTAAAATTGCATATTATCAATAGAGACGGAAAATGTATTCAAGAAACGAAAAAGTCGATATGTTACCAGATCTAGTAACCCAACCTAAGATATGTTACCAGATCTAGTAACCTAACCTAAGATATGTTACTAGATCTAGTAACCTAACCTAAGATATGTTACCAGATCTAGTAACCAAACCTAAGATATGTTACCAGATCTAGTAACCTAACGAAGATATGTTACTAAATCTAGTAACCTAACCTAAGATATGTTACCAGATCTAGTAACCCAACCTAAGATATGTTACCAGATCTAGTAACCTATCCTAAGATATGTTACCAGATCTAGTAACCCAACCTAAGATATGTTACCAGATCTAGTAACCCAACCTAAGATATGTTACCAGATCTAGTAACCCAACCTAAGATATGTTACCAGATCTAGTAACCCAACCTAAGATATGTTACCAGATCTAGTTCTTTGGTTGGGTTACTAGATCTAGTAACATATCTTAGGTTAGGTCACTAGATCTGGTAACATATCTTAGGTTGGGTTACTAGATCTGGTAACATATCTTAGGTTGGTTTACTAGATCTGGTAACATATCTTAGGTTGGGTTACTAGATCTGGTAACATATCTTAGGTTTGGTAACTAGATCTGGTAACATATCTTAGGTTGGGTTACTAGATCTGGTAACATATCTTAGGTTGGGTTACTAGATCTGGTAACATATCTTAGGTTGGGTTACTAGATCTAGTAACATATCAACTTTTCCATTTCTTTTTCCGTCTCTATTGATGATATGCTTTTTTAATCAACACAAAATTATTGATGCAATCGATTATCTGTCAAACACATCAAACATTTTGTGTAGATACACCGCCTACTAAGTGAAATGATTATGAAAAAATAGACTGATAGCCCTGTGGATCATCGTATAAGAGGAACAATTTTAGTTTTATTATTTCAAATGGGAAGATCATGTGATAGGTACATGGCGAAAATGAAAGACAGATAGTTTCTGTACGAGTAGCTGAATTCGAAAAAATATATTCCTATCTTGGATTCCTCAATATCTTGAGTTATTTTCGAAGGTTTTCACCTTGACTCAAACAAGCTATTGACAACCTGCGGACATTGATCAGAATATCAAAACATTTTGAATAATATCGGTTTACTAATGATATTTAAATTTCAAAGCCTACCAAGTGTCGATATATCATGGAATTCATGTCACAGCCAACTTATTTTTTTTTTAATAAAAAGCAATTCAAGATAGAGAATTTTAAGGCGAACAAGATAGACTGAAGAAATGTACAGGGTGACATTAATAAAAAAAAAAGTTGGGGTCACTTCCGGTCAAACAGGTGGTTGAAAAAAATTGTCGTTGAGTTCGTAAAGTGCGCCACCATTTATTATATACCCCCTGTGAATTTCAAAATTTTACCTCTTCAAATAAAAATACTACAGGCTGCTACATGTCTCCTGTGTCACCCGGTATATATTTTTTTAATTTGGTGAAGATAGTAGGTGTAGTTATAGTTCCCTTGATTATTTGCACTGACAGGATGTTAAAATGTTGAGCCCAAATTTGGCCTTCTTGGCTGGTTCGTAAGCGGCGCTAGTGAAATAGTTGCAAGTTGCTGAATTATCTAGAAATATCCTTCTTTCTCAAGCAAAAAATCACCAACTTTGATATTCTGAAGGCTTTTAAATAAAATATTTTTTGCACCACTAGCTGTAGAACCTACCATTATCTATTCCTTTTCGAGGCTCAAAGTGTGTTTTTACTACCAAGGTAGATTTCGTCATGTTATGAACCACTAGTCAATAAAGACATAGCCACCTCTGTTGTGATCGAGCTGAATCGAATCTAGTATTTATTTATCAATAACGACTTGTCATATGCCGTCACGGACATGGCTACTAGATTTTTATTGAAATTAAAAGAATATTATCACCACAGGGACCTTATATCCCTCGGCTGAAGCCTCTATATAATCTTGTTCCCTAGGTAATACCGATATTCTCTACTACCTTGGTGTAATAATAAATATTAATCCGGCCCTGTTGCGAAATTCCTTTTAACATAATACTTTATTAAAAACCTTCGAATATATTCTTCATTATCTCTACCCTTTGCTACTTAAGAAAAGTAGTTCACCATTTCCCTTATAGATACCGCTACTTACTGAATTGAATTTCTGGCTTCATTGTTCTCATAAGAAGGTTGTTCACTCCCCTCCAAAAAAGTGTCATCCATTCCAATATTTTTTGTAATTGTTCCTCATATATGGAGCGTGGAAGATGTATATTAGCTTATATTTTGTGAAAATATGTGAAAACGAAAGAATTGACGTGAAACATTCATAGTTTGTAAAGGCTAGTTCGAGTTTTCCAAAAGGTTTTTTGATCATCATACCCCCATACAATAGATAAAAAAAATTCACCTGTTTATAAATCTTGTATGATATGTTTCCATTTTTGAGAAAAGTAAACTGGTGGCCAATACTCTTGCTAGGTTGCACTAGCATGAAGCAATCGTTGAAAAGAAAACCAATGAGTTCCTTGTTGCTTTTCAGTTTGACAAACACCCCGTGATGCACTAGCTGCCTAGGTCCTAGTCTATTTGTATCGCTATTGAACACGAGGTTGATGTCGTTTTGGACGTACTGTTGGAGCCAATCGAGCCGATCTTGGTTCTCTTTGAGACGAACGTTCTCGTTGATTGAGTTCAGAAATTCTTCCGCTATTCGTAGGGCTTCTTGCAAATAATTGTAATCTGAAAAGCAGACCCAAATATTTTAATTTAAGTACCAAGTTTTCGTATGAACAACACAACCAAGTACCGATAGATTTCTTCTTCTTTCTCACCTGGGTGATTTTTTGAAGTATTTTCTAAAATTTTGCTAATGAGCAATGGGTATCTGGTAATTCGCTGCATTGGTTTGATGAGAAAAGAAGACAGTGGCATTCCTTTCGTAGATACATTATTTTGGCACTTTTTCACTAATTCCCTAAAAGCTGTCGACGTTTCAGTTAGTTTTTGTAATAGTGCTGCACTGTCTAACTGCTTTCCACAAAATGTTATATAAGCTGTCATCCTTGGTAACTGGAATAGCAAATAATATACAATGCTCTTCTTTAATGCCCCCTCCTTTTATTTTTTGAACGGGTCAACTGAAAAAATTGAAACAGGATAATGAAATGAATGTATTGATACTATATTTCGGAGTGAAATTGACAGATGAAAATTTCATTGAAGCGACTGGGCGCCATCTGAGAAAAAAAATTAATGTCTTGTGACACATCCTTTTGAAGCTCCTGACAAATACTTCTCATCCCTAGTGAAGTCAATATCTTCTACTACAAAATGGCGGACCATTTAATAGTTGCCTGATACAAACACATTAATATGGATATTGTATTCCAACAAGATGGAGCACCACCACATTACTTCAGACACATAAGGAACTATTTGGATAATCCTGGTCGTTGGATTGGTCGTCGAGGTCCTACAGAATGGCCAGCCCGCTCGCTAGATTTGACACCTTTTGAATTTTTATTTTTATGGGGCTATAAACGTGTAGGAAACTACCTGCTTCAGAAAGAAAAACTGATATGTCGAAAACAACAATATTTTTCAACCAGAAAGCCATAAAATATTTAGATATTACAAAATTCTTAGGTCTTTATATTGATGAACAATTATCGTGGACTAAACATATAGATCACCTGAGAAAAAAGCTCAATCCAATTACTGGCATTTTATACAAAATTCGAAATTTCATTCCTCTTAGATATTTGAAGAATATATATTTCTGTCTGATTTACTCAAAATTACAATATTTAATATCAATTTGGGGAAGCACAAGTATATCACATTTGAAACCATTAATGAAATTACAAAATAAAACAATTAAGTGCATTTACAATTTACATTACCTGGAACCAACTATTAATCTTTACAAAATAAAAAATCTGTTGAATTTATCATCTTTATATAAAATGAAAATTTGTTCTTTCATCCATTTTGTGAGAAAAAAAATAAAAATATCCAACTTGAACTTTACTGAAGTAAATACAATTCATACTCATGCAACGAGACAGTTGAATTCATTAATAGCAAACCCATATAACTCCATCATTGGCAAACAATCAGTATTCTACAACGGAATCATTTTATATAATTCATTACCTTATGATTTGAAACATATTGATGATGAAACAAGATTCAAAGTCAATATGAAAAAATATATACTCATGACACAATAAACGGAGCAATTTATTCTCATTTGAATACTTGGAATGGTTTTATTTTAATTATTATGTTATATTGACATAACTTGTTAATTAGTTTTTTTTTTATTGTTTTATATATATATATATATATATATCATATGTTTATGTATCCCTATTATAAACAAATATGTTTCTTGGGGTAATAAAGAACAACAATATTGAATATGCGACAAAAAATTATAAATATTTGTAGAAATATCGGCGTAAGTGTGTTCGCAAGTGTTCGGCGTGTAATATCGGATCAGCTCATTTCCTCTAATTATGCATGAAGATAAACGTTGATGTATTCAGGCAATCATCAAATGTTCACCATAATGTGTGGTAGGTGAAGATATTGACTTCATATTCTAGGGTTGTGAAGTATTTATTGTCAGGAGCTTCAAAACGATCGCCATCCTGAAGTTTCTTTCAATTTTATTCCAAAATATAGTATTGATGCATCGATTTCATTATCCCAAGTTTCAATTTTTTGAGTTGACCCATTCGAAGAATATAAAAAGGAAAGCACTGTATAACCATCAGGCATTCGATAAATGAAGTATACCTTTGAATACTCACATGTTTACAAATAATATCTCCCACCATATCCCTTCCGGAATTGTTGGCATTCAGAAGATCCTTCAAGAAAATTTTGTTGCACTGTATGATATCACGCCAGTTGACGAATATGTCGTCGATCTCCTTGGGCGATATGAGTTTGCTCTTCCTCAGAGGTAGCTCGAATACTTCGTGAACGATCGACATGTCGTTCACGTACGTTTTTTCCGTATCGATGAATTCGTTGATGGTTTCGTGGCGTTTTTTGTCGTGGACCGGTGGTGCTGACAGATAATTGATTAATTGGTAATCATCGCTCAAAAGTAGTAATACATTCTATACCCCCAATAAATTTACGCAACACCAAAAGGTATCCAAAAGTTTGAGATACATATTCGTCGAAACTACTTATCCGATTTGGACGATTTTTGTTTTGAATGACAGGACATTTGCTTCTCAACATCGGTGTGCAAACTGTATTCGCATAGGAACCTCTACATTCCTTTTTTGAATTTCATAAATTGAAACCTTACAGCTGGAAGGTACATATTGGTGATTTTAGAACCACATATAGTGTAAGGATTTTTGTTGATGCAAGATAATGCCAGGCCTCACGTCGCCCGAGTTGTATCTAGAGGAAGTCTGTATCGCTACCATGGCTTGGCCAGCTGGTAGCTCGAATTTAAATCTCATTGAAAACGTACTTGAATACTTTGGAAAACGAACTGCAGATATTGGTGAATCAAAGGGAAGACCTGGACGTGCCCGCGGCGGAAATACTCGCTACTGACCCTTTCGTTTAACTTGTGACTTCGCATTCTGTTTCGTTTTTTCGTTGATTGATTTGGATATCAAGTTTCCATATAAAATCATGTCACGCTATAAAGTGGTTCCTCGGGTAACAGGCACGACAGGACTCAAGTTCTGTGGTAAAAAGGGAGATAATGGAGTGAATCCAAAAAGAGAAATGTTGAGAAAAGATGAGGCTAAAGTGTTATTTCAATTCTAACTTGATAGTGTAACTATTACACTCTACAGGGTATTACAAATATCATGAAAAACCACGCAGTAATTTCTACACCCTGTATGTACAAAAATTGAGTTTTTATGCAAATACAAATACGAAAAACCACTAAATTGGACAAGTAGATTTGATGAAAATGTTTCCTAAACTTTTGTCAAATTTTTGGTGCTGAGTGTATATACGCATTTATTAGAGCAAAACTGATGAGCTCCCAGATTTATAGAGTAGTTTTCGTTAAATATAAACCATGACATTCGATTATAAACTAGTTATTTTTGTATATGGTGCGCGAAATGCTACTTTTGTGATCGAGAACTGGGAATTTTAAATTATCACTTTTATAGTAAAGTTTGCGATCGCCGACACTAAAAAACACGGACAATTGAAAATATTTAAATGCAAAATATAACTGAATAGGTTGAATCAAAATAAATTCAGTGTTTACAGTATATTTGATAATGCCATTTCTATAACGAGATTTATTCATTTAGGGCTGAGTATTCTATAAGTAACTGACACTTTAGAATTTTTAAATAGGCTTGAATCGCATTTATCACATATCACATAACTTATACACAATATAATTATTACAAATCTAAAAAATATAATAATATCTACATAAAATAAACAGTAACAATTATCGTTTAAAAAATTATTTCGAAGTAAATACATTTCTGAACGAATAGATAAAATTTTTTAAAAAGTTCATTCCCTGTGATACAAATTTTGTGAAAATATTGGAATTTTTACGTTTCAACAAATACAGTGTGTCTCATTTCTAATAGAAGCACCCCTGTATCTTACCTAATTGTCGAGTTAGGATTCTGGAAATACTTCGTCATAGAATGTATATTTGGTATATCGAATTATATAAGATACAGGAGTGCTTCCATTAGAAGTGAGAAACACTGTATATTGAATTGGCCAACAAACTACCAGACAATTTGAAAGTATCTAAAATTCCGCTTTCATCCGGAATTTTTGAATGATATCAAATGATAATGTGTGATGAATGCAATTCTCCGAAATAAGTGAATCTACAAAAAAATTACAATGAAATTAATTTACATAACGTATACATAGAAGCCTCGTTCAGTAGGGTGGTCTATTTAGAAAGGAATATAGAACGGTTTCAACATGATTGAGAATATTCAAATAACTGGAACATCTTGATAGGAAACACCCACCCTACCAAACTTGCTGAAAAATATATATATCACAAAATTATATACACAGGATGAATAAAAATGATTGATCAATTTATAAATAATTTAGGAATGGATGTACATAATTTATTATATTGGTAGAGCATAATTTCAAAAGCAAGATTAAAGATATTGAACAGCACAGAAAAATATGCTTTAGATACAGATCATCAAGTCAAGTACTGTTGTGAGAGTTGAAACGACTTTTTGAAAATGAAAGGGTAGCATATCTTTCTGTATCTTTATATCAGTACTGTAACGACTTGGGCTCATTTTAAAAAACCTTGTGTATGTGTGGAGTTCGATAACAACTTTTTTCATATTCATTCAGGAAAAACCACGTTCAAAAAGTCACCCTGGTTTACTTAATTATTGTTGGATATTTGGTAGTTGCTTCACCTTGTGTAACAATCATTTACTTAACAAAACTTTTTTCAAAACAATGACAAATGACGTGATGACAGTTCAGAGTTGGATGGCATTATGTTTTTTCCATTCTCTGTTGATTATCTACTTCTACTATGTATGTCTTGAATCTATTTTGAATTTCATCCAACAAACAGTTTTCAATCTATCAAGGTTCATAATATGATCCTTAAAAACAACTCAACTCAATTCAGTGAAATATATAAAGTATTGACGAATGAAATTGATATCTCGATGAGAGAAGTTGCAAATGAAATAATAAATATGGGGTATCCAAAATGGTTCATTGAGATTGAAAGAAACATCTTCAAAATTTCATGAACTTCTAGATGTTACTAGTTGGCCACCATATTTTATATTTTCCTCAAATTCGAGTTTTTAAGGCAGTATTAAAATGGGCACAAGAGTGTGGATCTAAATATCAATACACATACATTCTTATTAACATGTAATATTATGCTAGAAATTCTAATGCTATAATTCGAACTATTCAGCTTCGTATGGTAGGATGGGTGCTGTAATATTCCTAGAAAAATAAAAAAGTGATGCATTAAACCGACGAAGTAACCAAAAGACATGTTGATAGTTTTAAACTAATTTCAAGTATGATGCATGCACTTGCACACCAGAAGACAACGATTCCACATATGCCCTTCATCAATTTGTATTCTGAAGGAAACCACCTTACTCATTTTCACTCCGCTTGAAAAAACTGGGTCGATTCAGTAAAATACCCCATTATTAAAATGACGTGTTAACTCATTTCTTCAGATCTCTCAAAAACGATTAGAGACAATCCCAAAAAATCTACTGAAATGATCAGTCCATATACTCGAATAACCCACAGATAATATTCAAATCTGCTCATCAGATAAAGCTGGGGTTGCCATAATATACAGGTCTGTCATATATTTCATACAACCGGCCTTAACTATTGCTAGAAGATTATATTCAATGGAATTAATGACTTACATTGTTGCTGAAGCGGTGCGACATAGTTACTGGGAAAAAGTCCTGATATGCCATTCAATTCCCCTCTCCACCACGCCTCTTCTTCTCTGGCAGTCACGCTGATGATATCATCCTTCGCGAATGTCAATTCATCCGGATTTCCTGCCGTGTACGGGTATAACGCGACCACTTTGTCTGCAAGTAAAATACAAAATTTAGTAAACGATTTATTGTATTTTCACTTATAAAACCACTATAAGTGCTTCAATTATTACCGGACATTTTTTCAAGAAGAGGAATATTTTGATATATTTGTTCGCTTTTATACTCTCTATTGAAGGAGGGCAAAGCTAGGGAATTTCAACAACATCTTGATGCTTTAGTTGAAAATGGTTGATTGTTTTAATATAAGAATTAATGTACGAACATTTGTTTTTGCAAATTTTGAATTATTTAGTACTTATTATATGGTAAATTGCCAACAAATGTTTTTCAAGTTAAATGTAAATGTCATTTCATCTATAAACGTCTAAAAATCTAATCTAATTGCTATGGTAACGATACAAAATACAGGCTTTCAATTGGTCAAAAATGTCAGGTACGGAAGTTTCATCAGAATATACTGTCCAATAATGACGATGAAGCTTGCTTCAAGTGAGTAATATAAAGGGAGTTATTTGAGTATGTGGCCAAACTGCAAGAGTTGATTTTTTGAGTGATTCTAAGTCGAAAAGTTCATGAAAACATGGTTCCGGAAATACACCGTTCACAAGATGTCGAAGATTTGAAAAATAATCGCTTTTCTGTCAAGTTGAAAATATCAAATTTAGCTTTCAATGAAGTCAATACAGTTCATAATTATGGGACTAGACAATTGAATTACTTGATAGCAAATACATTCAAGTCAAACATTGGCAAACAATCTGTTTTTCACAATGGAATAATTTTATACAATTTATTACCGAATGAGTTGAAAAATATACATGATGCAAGAAGGTTTAAAATCAATCTTAAAAAATACTTGCTCAGGACAATTTGAAAGAAAAATATGTGGCATGATTTGATTGCTTAGGAATGAAATATAACTTTAATCTTATAAGACACAATATTAATTCGTTTCCACTGAGTGGAATTCATTATAGTTAACCCTTTATTATTATTTTTTTTATATGTATTCATGTATCCCTATCATAAACAGAAATGTTTCTTGGGGTAATAAAGACAATCAATCAATCAATATCGCGAGATTTTTTTGACAGAAAAATGATTGTGGGAATCAAGATTGACACATTTCTTAATACCAAAGTGATAAATATCATGTTGAAATGATACAAAGAGATGATTCTCACCGATGATGACTTCCTGTTGGATCCTGGTGGTAGAGACTGGCGTACTCCTGCCGCTGACCTTGCCGCTGCTGTTCAGTACTTTAACGTAGCTGGCGGGGAACCAGCCGACCTGCCGCTTCCTGCCCTTGGCCTGCAGTTCCCCCTCCCACCAGCCGGAGTCTGTTTTTTTGCGAATCATGATGAGCTGCCCGCGGGCCAGCGACAGCTGCTCCGGGCTGTTCGACTGGTACGGGGCTATCACCGAAGCTATTTCCGGCTTTTTGCTCTTCATTATCTGCGTGAAACAAACCAACTGGCAATAGGTTTGCGTGGACAAATAATTGAATCTGTCTGTGATATGAATTTTTCTTCTTACTCAGGAGCCAGTTCTTGAACTGTTTCAAGATGAGAATTTTTAAGTATTTTTCGTTATGAAATCTCGCATTTCTACGATAAGAAGAAAAATTTCACATTTCAACTGGCAGAAACGGCGCCAGAATCTTCTTTCGACTATTGGAAGCTGATATTTACTGGAAATATCAGGTAAGGCGATTCAATTGACGATCAGTTCGAATTTTGGACCTAATTAATTGCTTTTTCCCATGTATCTGATTATGTAATGTGTTGTGTTCTCGAATCTTATATGGTGTTCTCGGATGATTAAGTCACGCGAAACATCATGAATTTCGATAATTATTTAAAAAGTTTCATAGCCCTGAGAGGTTTGCGACTGTGAACTAGTAAGGGTTGGTACTTCGAAATAATGAAACTAAATTCTGAGTAAGAACTGGAACTCATCAGGTCTACGAGAAAACATTACTGAATGTTTTAGTAAACTAGCGCCATTGACAGGCAGACAAATTTTGGGTGAATGAACAGACAATATTCCTCTCGCCTACTAACAAGGTTTTAATTTAGAACGTCAACGGATGAACAGAAAAATAACTGAAAACGAATATTATCTTATTGAAAAACCAAAAATCGTTTTTTATCCGAGACGGAATACACCCACTTAGACGATAGACACGGATTATGTTTATAGCTGAAGCTGACAGAACAATATAAAATAATGGCGGGTATTGACCACTTACATAATTACTATCTAGACCACTATTATATTATATCCCAGCAACCCGAATATCTCTGGTAAATAGGCAAGGACTAATTTTTTTTATTTCTTAAATAGAATCAGCACTCAAATACCTTTCAATTTCATATTTTTCAAAAGACTATTGGAATTTAAGAAATATCAGTTAATTCAATAATTCATGAATTGTCAATTTTGTATTGGTTATATTCCTAATTAGACATAAAAAATCAATTGTCTCAAAATATTTCCTCATTGGGGCTCATTGCTTATTTGTGTTAATACTAATATTATTATATTAATCCATACTAGAGGACATTTGAGGGTAAACGTGACAAAACGGCGCACGAATTGGGCGGTGTCTTGTCATTTCTCAGCATTCAGCACATTGTTGCCAAGTCTCGAACATAAACATGATATTTTGTTATGGAGTTTAAGAGATATTTGGACATGCTGGTTGCTCGAAAAAGTCAAGAATGAACTATAATGTCATAACTTCTTCATATTATGTTTTATCTCGTGTGTTAATCATTGACATGACTCTAATCTGTTTGACGAATTGATTATAATGGGTGACTTCACAACCTTGCTTCATGAGTGGAAATGAAAAATTATTTGACCAATAAAGAAACAGCATAAAAACTGACGTCACCATTTATTCGACGTGTCGCTAAATGGCGGTCGTGACGGTACGTTTGAAATGAGCTCTCTAAAATTCAAGAATTCAGAACAATGCATAGATTCATTAATTTAATTTGATTTAATTAATGTCCCTAACGCCACAATGAAGAAAATCAATAATTCCTTAGCAGTCTACTCGCCCATTGCTCGCCGCCTGAAAACATTTCTGCTCAATGCGCAGTAACTCCCAAACTATCGTTCATGACATCGAGTTATGTCTCGTGGTATTCTTAAACATAAATAAGAGTGATTCAGATAAATATGAGAGCTTCTATATTCGGCATAGCTTCTTTCTTATGGCATCAGCGTTCTAGATAGTAGTTTATGTCGGTGGTATAGACGAACCTGCGCGCCGGCCTGTATGGTGGCGTCCAGCGGCACTTCTTTCGGCTTCACCTCGTTGATCTGCGACACCTCGTTGTCGTCCTGGACGCTCTCGAGGGCGGACTGCACCGCCTCCGCGGACACCCCCTTGGACAGCTCGGACATGGGGGGCAGCGCAACGGCGGCGAGGGGAGCGTTAGCGTTGTTAGCGGCCGAGGGGTTCTGACGAAAGCGTAACGGAACACATTTAGGACATTACCAAAGATTATAGGTTGATGGGGAATCGGGTCCCTTTGAAATTTTGTCAAAACGACTTCATTCAATAAGTTGATTGATGTTTTAGCTATGATTTTGATAATCTTTGGTACTGTTTGCCTTGGGAAGCAGCGGCATGAATTATACACAGACAACAATTACTGATATTGGATGGCCATAAAGATAGTGAAATGATATGTTGGATTCACTTATTTTTTTAATAAGAATACTGATATTGATATTTCAAATTCCAAAACGATTGTATGTAGCTGTGCATATTCAGAATTGACCATATACAGCGTATCTCACTTTAAACAGCTCCCCCTCTATATCTCAGCTATTAGACGTGCGATTCGTACCATATTTGGACCAGTATGAATAATTATCAATTTGATCCGTTTTTCAGACGTAACATCATTTTAGACAGTGTTGTGGGTTTTTATTGAAATGAAAAGGGGTCGATTTTTTATGAAATCATATCAAGGATTTCTTGCAACAAAACTGACTTCATATTATTGTTCCTCATGCTTTCAAACCTCCATAAATGCGAAAAATCACATCATTCTGAATTAATAGGATTGACTTCGTTTTTTTCATTTTGTCTCGCAAAAATAGTGAATTCGAATTATCTGCAAATTTTGGAACGTTCAATGGCTCCAGTAGGTAGAAAAACATGATTTGAAATGAAAAACAAGATATACTATTTTTCCACCACTAGCTATAAAACCTATCATTATTTACTCGTTTTTGAGGCGTAGAATGTGTTTTTACTACCAAGGTACTTTTCGTCATTTTATGAACCACTATTCAATTTGAATCAAAGATTTATTGATCTTATAATTCGACAATCACGCAGATTTCATTCACATTTGTCGTTTGACACCTCTAACTCTAGAAAATATGGTCAATAGCTTACTGATTTATTGAAAACAATAACTATCCATTATCCATTTGGTACAATGATAGTGACTCTGTCAAACGCAGTAGTCGACAAGGGCATCCGCTGAAATTATCTCAGGGATGGGCAAGTCATAATTACAAGGTGCAGTATTTAGTTGGTACCTATTGAAAATTCAGCAGTTAATTTTATGTTTAAACATGGGAATGAAAAAAAAAACAATAGATATTTGAATATATTATGGATGAAATGATAGCCTTACACTCTCTCCAGAATTCTGTTCATCCACTCATTGTCATTTATTCCACAAGTACCTATCGTATAAAATATCTGCTTCAGCACATTGTTTAAAAACTATACCAACAACGTATAACTGACTGAACATTTTCAGTGTAATGTAAAGACCGAAGTAATCTTCTGGAGCCCGGCATCATCTGAATAATTATTATTATCATTGTTATCGTTATTATAATCATATTATATTCACACGCTGTATATTAGTATTGAAGCGGTTTCCTGGCCAGAAATCGCTACTGACTCATATGTTCTTAGGTAATAACTTGTCATAGAGATCAGTTCTGACTGATTCGTGCTATCGAACGGTTGTCGAATGAAGTGATTGAAGTAGTTGTGCGTGTTCCTCCAAATAATAGAGTCAAATATTTCTCAGTCATAACAGTAAGCTTTTTTTTTCTAGATCGTTCATTCATTTAGGCAATAAGTTAAATAATTTGTAAGCATCATCACACTGACGAATAAAATAGGAAATGAATACTGCAAATATATTTCATGGAGAATGCATCTGAGTGCGGACAAGGTGCTAGGGGGAAAGGGGCAAGCGCCCACCCCCCCCCCTTGCGGATGGCCCTGGTAGTCGAAGATGGACGCTACATATGTAATGATTACATACTACACCATACCATTCCTATTTACCCTTATGGCCATGTTTGCTGAACATCAAGTGTTTCTTGAGAAAAACGATCATAGCCATTAGTGATATTTAGTGAAAGTTGAATGAATCCCAGCTAGCCCAAAACGTGAAACTCACCACATCAACTTTCTGCACGTAATTGCTGGGAAATATTCCGACATTGCTGCCGAACTTGCCGGTCCACCAATCACCATCTTTCTTGTACACGGCGATCACTTCTCCCGCGTTGAAAGTGAGATCGCCCGGTTCCGTCGACTGATACGGGTAGTTGGCTATGTAGTACTCGGGTTCGCCTTCCAGCTCGCCAGGAGGCGCTTCTGTCGTCTCGTTCTGTAACGAACTCGGCTCCAACGAATTCGTCGTGTCCGAGCCTTCGGGCACCTCAGCTATTCCTCTGTAAGAATGTAGAGAGCTGATGTGAAAGAATGAGCGTGTTCAGATATTTCATAACATTTCTCAAACGTTAAATAATTAGATACAAAGCTCAGATATCTCCACAAATGTTCATAAAATGAACAACGACTGTAGATGACGGAAGAAAACAACTACTTTCCTAACTAATGCCACGCAGAATATTGAATTACAACCTCCCAAAATCTATATAGAGAATAGATTGTATTAGTTAGATAAGAGTTCGGACACAGAAATGACAACTGTTAGTGTTTTTGAATGCTTAGATTTATTAAGTAACCTACGTTGCTTTGTGATAGGAGCACCAAAGTCGTCCCGAGCTTTAACATTCAAAATTGTTCGAATTCAACAATAAAATGAACGACAGAATTGAAATAAATGGAGATCCACGGTGGATGGCCTATTGGAAGTATCTAGGGAACGAAGAGAGAGAACATTATGAAAATTGGGATGCTTTGATAATTGAACATATCCTATCCGTCTAAGATATTTTCATCGATACAGTGTTGCCACTTCTATCAGAAACAACTAGCAACTTCGTTATTTTAAATGGAACACCCTGTATTTCATTGCATTTTTAGATTCTTCCTGAAGAGCTGATTTCATCAATATGTATCACACTTGTGGTCTAACAGGAATGATGACAATAGGGTGTTCAAAATCGAGATTTTTCAATGTTACGATTTTTTTGTGTCGAAACTAATCATTATCGGTCAAAATGTCTTACATGTTTCTATCTTAACTCTCGATTCACTATCTACTGACATTCAATTGGAACAGATACAGGGTGATCAGAATTCTGAATCTTGAAGCACCCTGTATTTATTTCAATCAAACTCCAGTAGATAGTGAATCAAAAGTTAATATAGGGACATATACCTAAGCCGTTTTGATCGATAATGAATAGTTTCGACTCAAAAAATCCTAAAATTGAAAAATCTCGATTTTGAACACCCTATATCTCTGTAATCATTCCTGCTAGACCCCAAGTGTGATGCATTGATGAAATCAGCTCTTCAGGAAGAATCTAAAAATGCAATAAAATACTGGGTGCTCCATTCAAAATAACGAAGTTGTTAGTTGTTTCTGATAGAAGTGGCAACACTGTATCGATTAAAATATTCTAGACGGACAGAGAATGTTCAATCATCAGAGCATCCCAATTTTCAGAATGTTCTGTCTTTTCGTTCTCCAGATACTTCTAATAGGCCATCCACCGTGGATCACCCTGTATGATGTCATAAACTATTTCGAAAAAAGCATAAATGAAAATGTCCTGCAGTGTAATGAATTGTGGGAATTCTGAAGATAATGGATTGCATTTTCCAAAGGAAATATCAATCATTCTCTTATGGAAGGAAAGTATGAAACGGCCTGAATGGAAAATTAATTCGAAGACAAGCAAAATTTGTGAGGTAAATATATTAAAATTCACTTCTGATAACAGCAGATTAGAATAAAACTATATTTTAGGCCCATTTTCAAACAGAAGATTCAACAGAATCTGCTGATACATCCATTTACAAAACAGACTATTAAAAAAATCATTATTATTATTATCATCACATGAAATGCAAAACAAAATTATCATGGAGAATATCATGTAATGCAATTGAAAATTTGATAACATAACTGACAAAATCAAGTAAATTGCAATGTGAATGGCGTTTTCAATACTAACCTAATTCAAATTTCATCAGTGATAATCTTCATCAGGATAAATTTCTCGCAACTTGGACAGTAGTATTTCAATATTTCTGCATAATATTGTGTAAGGGTAATTTTACGGCATCCTAAGAAGAATAGATTTTTCAAGTAAACGTGATTAAATTGAAAAATCATAGCCTGGTAGTAAAAATGATAAATCTTGGAACAAAAAAGATGGGACATTTTTATATCAGGGGTTACGAGTTTCGCACCTTCCTGTATATTGAATAATGTTTTCCGTACTATGATACGATTCGTTGAAGCAAATCACCCCCAGATTTTATGACATTCAAGAGATTCATTAGAATTCAGAATACTTACTCTAATCGTTTGGTCTCAATCTCCTCGGCACTAGGTAATGTTTGGGTGAATTCAGGTTCACTAACGTCAATACTGTCTACCGGTTCCACGTACGCTTCTGGGAACCATCCTGTGTGCCCTCTTATTTCGCCAGCTAACCAACCAGGTTCACCTGTTTGTTCTTTTGGAACCTAAACCACAAAAAAGACACTACTACTAGGCTTTTAATTTATCTGATGATACAAAACTGGTGTAGCTAATTTTTTAACGGCTTATGCAAGGTGATTCATTACTATTTGGAAATATTTCAACTATAGAATCCTGAACTCAACATATGATGATTCAACCCAAATCAGCTAGAAACAACGTGACTCCTGTCTGAGTTACAGGGCTGTTTTATTTGAAAATTCCAAAATAACTTGTTCTAGTACTTTGAAACTGATTGACGTATCATCGTCATATTTAGCGGGAAGTATATATATTGTACACCCAGTAAATAATGTAAAATTAACGTTTCTGGCTATAACCAGAGGCGTACGACAGGAGCAAATGACTGGTTGATCCTATCCAAATCCTACGCCACTGGCGGAATTGCCATTTTATAACAATTTTTCGATTATCTGATACTGTCTACGTAAATTTCGTACTCCTTATTCATAGCGATAAAATCGTTATTTTTCGAGATATTTCAAGTTGAACAAAAGCTGCACAATTATTTTGATTTTTATGTGTATTATGTCGATATTTTGGATCAATGGATTGCATTTATCAATCAAATGAAACTTCAATCCATATTAACAATAAAAACATATGAGTTGCGTTTACTTTATCCGATTCCACCACCGGAAACACTTTAATGTGTCATTTTATTTGCAATTTTCCAATTCCAGTTGCTACTTTTCAGTCCGTCTCACTAAAAGGAATGCCGTGGAATGACTGTTGTCACAGAATTGTATTAGATTGACGAACAACGAAACTTTTCGAAAGTAGAAGACATTTTTATTTATGATTCTTCTTTCAACTAAGACAGGTTTCATATGTTCATTCCCAGATGGAATTATTTCTCTCGATCCCAGAGGAGTTTCTCCAATCACCACAATCACTGCTCCAAATATTCGTTGATTGATTTTCTAGATTTTCAACTCTAGTATCAAGATTTTGAAATTATATTTGGAGCCCTAATATAAAAATATAACCTCTTATATGTGAGCTCTCCCATGAAATGTCATGAAGATTCTCGTTTTATTTGTAAACGTCATTCTGTTCCCATCACCGCTACCAGGAAGGAACAAATAAAACGCAACTAATAACATAACAGTCAGGAGCTGTTACAGGGTTTCATTATTGATTATATTCAAAAATTTAAAACACCCTGCAACAGCTCCTGTCTGTTATGGTATTTGTTTTGATATATCGACATAATGTAGTACACATCAAGATCAAAATAATTGTGCAACTTCATGTTTAACCTTCAATATAACGAAAAATAATGATTTTATCGCTATGAAGAAAGAGTATAATATTCACGTAGAAAGTATCGGAGAATCGAAAAACTGTGATTGAACGGCAATTGCCCCTGTCGTACGCCTCTGGCGGTAGCCAGAAACGTTTATTTTACATTATTTAGTAGGGTCTATAGTATCTACACTTCCCGCCAACTATGACAATATTCAACAGTCTCTAGAAGAAACAACATTATATGTATTATGTATATGATTTAAGAATGATTATCTGATTATCTAATTTTTGTTTTTTTAGTTGCTCTTCCATAATTTTCCCTGCTATAAACATATATGTTTCTTGTTAATAATAAAGATAATAATAATATTTAGTTCTCATTACCCGTCGTCATTCCAGTTTGGGTACACCTTTCCTACCTGTCCTATAGTTACCAACTCCATAGTTGGTGAAGGTGGTTATAGTTAAACTTGAATACTTGTTTGCAAATAATGAATGTGAATAATGGAGGATATAATGAGAACATTGAAATTAATAATGAATGGAGTGGATATCGGAGTAAAAGATACATGGGTAAACTGTGGTAGTGGGGGTCCAATGAAATAGGTTTTCAAAAATAGTTGATGTTGACGTCATTATATATTATTATTAAATATCTCTAATGATACGTCAATCAGTTTAAAAGTACTAGGCACGAATAATTTTTGAATTTTCAAATAAAACACCCTGTAACTCAGATAGGAAACACATTATATCTAGTTCAGGATTCTATAGTTGAAATATTTCCAATTAATGAATCACCCTGTATTATGTTCAGCAAGGTGATAAATGGAAAATTGTAATAATTACATTTATGATATCGCCAGGTTGAAAACTAATTTCATCGTTATTCCTCGCGACGAACTCGTAGAGCGCCCGGTATTTGGCCACGCCCGGTAGTCGAGCAGTTTCTGTGGGCGCAGCAGCCGCCGCCCAATTGCTCTCGACCGGCCATTCGTCCGCCAATTCGACGTTGCTCGCGCCCATGTCGTTCGCCCACGTGTCCGGAGCTTTCCACGCGTCGAAACCATCGCCCGCCCTATTTGTGGCGTTCTTCATCTCGACGACGGTGTTCCTCTTTCGAAAAAGAAAGATTCTTTCATTCATATACCAAAATATAATATACAGGGTGTTCGTTTTTCGAGCTCCACCATGGGGATCTCAGTTATTATAAGAGATACGAGGTCGGTTAAATTAAGGCAAAGTTGCGCATTTTCATGCTGAACATTTATCTGCAAAAAAAGATGTGTCATTTTTAGTTTTTTAATTATTGGAAGAAAACGAACAATTTTAATTTTCGTTTTTATTTTTTCAAGCAAAAACCAAAAGACCTAGACGTTTCTGAATCTGTCATTGTGTTTTCCATGACGTTCTTGATGCCAAAGTTACAACACACTACTTTTTTTTCTTATGGGCGCCATATTGGATTTTCACGTTTTTGAATTTTTTTTCTTCTGATTACAATAATAGTGACAGTGATTACACACGATATGATCGAATCTTTCCTGTTTATCAAAATTTGAAAAAAAAAACATTTTTGCGAAGAGTGCTCTGGAAAGAACGCCAACAGTTTTGTTTAACATGCTGAATTTCAACAGTTTCTCATCTACTTAAAAACTATGGTTTTGAATTAGGAACGACGTAATGAGCTGGAAGTTTATTCTCAACAGAACAAAGTTTAAACACAATTCTACGCGTTTCCTCAGATTCTGAATTGCTCGCAAGATGTCCCGTCTTCTTATCTTAGTCCTGAAAGTGGTGATTATGGTTCTTCTCAGCTCAGCTCATCAATATCGATCGGTACAGTTTTTGAAATCAAATCTCTCATATAGTTTCCAATAAATAATAATCCAGCGGAGAGAGATCAGGTCACCGCGCTGGCCAACGTATGTCTCCGTTGTTGGAAAGTACCTTGTCAGGGAACATATCTGACAAACACTCGGCAACCCTTCTTGCGTTATGTGGATAAGCTTAAGAATTCAACAGTTCTGTTCGCATGTTCAATTGAACTGTCAAAATTCAGTTTGTTAAACAAAACTGTTGCCGTTCCTTCCAAAGCACTTGACACGTGTCAAGTACATCAGGAACTCTAGTAGAATGTAGGCATGAACTGTTTGACCAACTTTGAAAAAAAAAAAAGACCTTCTACCCTCGCTACCGATCCAGATTGGACTCATGCTAAAAAAAAATTACAATTTAAGTACATTGCATTCTTAACGCATAGCGAGATAGTTTAATTAATAGACAATGATTAAACTTTGATCTCCTGTAGCTCCACCACTGAACGAGATCGGATTCTTGTTTATATAAACTTCTTTGATTAAAATGCTGAGATCTATCACCCATTTCAGTTTGTCCCTTAAAACCTGAATCACCCTGTATTCGAAGTTTTTAGATGTTTTTATACTAGTGAATCTCGCATCAGGGTCAGCTTAAAATATTTGTGTTGTTCAAGTCAAATTATCAAATTTGATGATTTTTCTGCTTCAGAAGAATGATAGCCCTAGATAGTTCAGCAACTTGCAGAAAGATGAACTCGAGCAGATTCCGAGAGTATTGGCGATAGAAAATAAGCGTACGCCACCTATCGGAGTTCTTGAAAGATGTCAAAGCGGCATGTTTACTTTGTTTCCATTGGTTCACATTTGTTTTGTGTTTGTGCTTATTGGTCATATCATCAAAACAAACCGCTCAGAAGTGTTCAAGTTGCTGCGGTCAGGTGAGGCGACGTGTTATTTTTCATCACGAATAGACAAATCGGCCATATTTTGCCAAGACTTAGGCTAAATTTCAACATTTTACATGGACGTGGATCATCTTGTTAGTGTAAAAAATTCAAGGATTGAAAGGAATGCTTCATTGCTAATCTAATCCTACATCAACAGTATACCGAACGGGCATGTTTCATTGATTTACTTCATTATCTAAACCTAAGGGATACCTTTTGTTCGTACACTCCGTAGAGCCGGTTGCAGTCGCTGAGGAGGCTCTTCAGCTGATTTTGTAGGTCCTTGAGTTGCGAATTATTGTTCTCTATGTCTGACATCTTGCCGCCAATTTCTGATTCCATGTCTTCCACTTTAGTTTTCAGGTTCTTGATAGTGACCTAGGACAAAATAGGTGATTATAATATGAAGAAAGTTGTTGCAAAATACGTATTTAAGCTTTCCTAAATATATAGTACTTTGAGAATATACTTTTAATTTAGTTTCTTCTCGGCAATTTTGAAATTTACCTCTTTGTTTTGGAATGCCAATCGAGCTTGTTCTGGGTCCTGCGCGTTGATCTTGTTTCTCGCTTCGAGTTTGATCTTTTCCTGAGAGAGGGCGAGCAGCCTGGCATTCTGCTCCTTCAGTCTGGTCTTCAGCTGCCCCATCTCCTGCATCTGATTGTCTCTGGTGCTCCGCATGCCATCTATGGTCGTCTTCACGTTGGACACGCCCATCCGAGTGTCGCAGATTTTCTGCGACAGGTCTTTGACGTGTTCGTTCAGAGAGGTTAGCTCGATCGTTAAACTTTGGTTCTACAATTAAACAACTTCGGTTGAAGAGTCGACCAAAACTTGGAAATTGGTTAAGTGAGTTTCTATCATTCATCGCCGTAATGCACGGAAGAAATAAGATTCGCAAGCTAGGCATGATTTAGTTTAGTGGAATATTTTTAAAATTCGATAAACATTCAGTTTATTGGTTTAACAACGTGGGTTGTTACATTTGGCGCCCGAGCAGGGACCAAAGAGAAATATATTTACCGTTCCAATAATTTTGGGGGACAGAGCAAGTAATGAGAAATAGATAGCGAGACTATGAATTTATCTAAAATCGAGTTTCTACCTTAGCTTTGAGCTTCAGCACCGATTCTTGCTCTCGGTGCCTCTGCTGTTGCAACTCCTGCAACCGTTGTTTCTCCCACTCCAGCTGCCGCTGTCTTTCCATCTCTTTCCTCGCAGCTTCTCGTTGCTCGGCTTGCCTTTTCCTATCCTCCTCGATCTGTCTTTCTTTCTCTTGCTGCTCTCGCATCTAATATAAAAGATGAATATTAAAGTGAATCCACCAAAAGTGATAGAATCAAATCCATATAAACACAGACCTGCTTCTCTAACTCTTCTAGTCTTTTCCTCTCGGCCTCTTGGCGAGCCTTTTCTCTTTTCTCTTGTTCCTCGCGCTCTTTTCTTTCTCGTTCTTCCCGCTCCTGACGTTGCTGGTCCAGGAGCGTTTTCCTTCGCCGTTCCAACTCTGCTTGGCCCTTTTCGAAGTTCTCTTTTCGCTTATCTTCAAAAGAATCTGTAATCAATGATATCAACACTCTATTTTCTTTCCATTAATCTCTACGTTGCTGAAAACTCACTCTGTAAGAGAGTAGAGGCAGGGTCCTGATCTGGCGCAGCACTTCCTTGACTCGATACAGAAGTAGTTCGGGTTCTCCTGAAAGTGGGGGGAATGAGGTCCGGGGGCAATTTGGTGGGGGGCGGTGTACCGAGAGCGGCCTGTTCGCACAGGTGCAGAGCTAATACGAATTCCTCGCAGCCTAATCTACCGTCTGCGTCCATGTCCGAAAGGGCCCTACAATGTCATTAGGAATGTGAAATTTTTGAATATGCACGACGGGAAGGTTGAACTTACCAGATTTGTGCCAAGATGTTTTGCGGCAATTTTGTCTGCACCATTATGTTGCGAGCTTGGGCGCCAGATAGAAATCCGCTTCTCGTTCTGTCCGTTGTGTTGAAGATTTGAGTGTACTTCAGTTTCGTCTGGTGAGGAACTGACCATTCCGGCTGTCTAAATTCGGTACGGTATAAAGTCAATTTAGTCTTATAAAACTATTTACGAAAAATCGAGAACATTGTATAAGGTTGCTTTAGGTGAACTAGCCGGTCTTAAAAAATGGAAAATTCAATACAAGCAACTCTTGCTGTGTTTTTTACAGCATTCGATAGATTTTTAATAATCTACGTTTACGAGAATGCACACTGCACCATAAATGGTTGATGTGTTTGAACCTCAGAGTAACAAATTAAGATGATTTATTTCGCTTATTTCTTCCGCGGAAAAGACATCACATTATAAGGATCTCTGTGGAACCTCTGTTTGAGGGTTGGAGATTACGATTCTTCCGGCAAAATTGGAAAATTCAAGATGGCGAATCCAATATGGCGTACGATTTTGTAATTAGGATCCGAATCTATTCAAAATCTGTATCTGGTGGTTTTCGAGGTTAAAGATTATGATTCGCTCGTCAAAATTTGATAAGTCAAGATGGCAGACCAATATGGCAGACGAGTTTAGTAATCATGATCCGATTGTAGTGAAAACTGATATCTGGTGTTTTTAGGGGTTGGAGAAATTATTATTTCGTCAAAATTGGAAAATTCAAGAAGGCGGATTCAATATGGGCATCTGAGTTTCTCGGGGTAAATTATGATGCTTTTGCCAAAATTGGAGAATTCAATATGGCGGACGGGTTTTGTAATAATTGATCCGATTCTATTAAAAATTAGTATCTGGGGGTTTTTGGGGTCGGAGATTATGATTCTTTCGTCAAAATTGGGTACCTACAAAAAATATAAAAAAGCATCTATAGTTAGTGAAACTATTAAATAGAAAATAAATAGTAGTTAAAAAAACTAAAGAATCGCCCTTCTAGAGATGACCAAACTAAAAAGAAATAGAAAATAAAATAATAAAAATATACGATGATGAGGATTTGCCTATACTGGAAGATCAAGTGAAGAAATTCTTTTGTATGGAAAGTTATTGGATCGAAAATGAATGGGAAAAATCAGGTGATCAGAAAGAGGATGAAATAGCTGAAGAACAAGCCAAAATATCAACAAAGAGATCAGGAAATAGATGGGAAACAGGTTTACTATGGAAACTTGATAACATTCCATTTCCAGACTCAAAGCCTACTGCATTAGAGAGACTTAGATATATCCAGAAGAAAATGGATAGAAATCCAGAGTTTGCTCAACAATATGAGAAGAAAATACAGGAGTATTTGGATTAATGATACTCACGATGCTTGGAAGAAGAAGAAATGAAGAATGATTCAACAGACTTGACAATCTGGTATATACCTCATTTTGGCCTAGTTACAGTAGTACATAGAATGACTGATTATGGAGGTGCTAATATTTTCTATATTGTGTATTTATCAACACACTTTTATTATTTTATTCTCTACTTCTTTTCAGTTTGTCTATCTATAAAAGGGTGTTTCTTTAGTTTCTAAAACTAATATTTTTCATTCGAATTCGCCCATCACTAAGAATAATTATGCAGCAAAGCGACTTACGACTCGACCGAATGCGTCCTCTCCAAGCTGGACACGCTCGTCCTCGGCGTGCTGGTGGCCACCGGCTGACCGCCCCCGCCCGGCGACATGCCTCCCGCCATCGTCGGCGCCACGGCGGTGGTCGGCAGGCCCGTCCCCCCCGAAGCCCCGAGGGGGGCGGGAGGCGCCGCTTGCACGAGCGGCTGGATGGTGGAGGAGGAGAGCGGGATGCCGGACATGAGGGGGGAGGCGGTGGGGGGCAGGCCGCCGACCAGGGGCTGAACAAGTTGGACCAGGTTGGTCGGCATCGGGGGGACTATGCCTGGAATCGAAGCAAGCCGATGTAGATTTATTAGGATCGAAAAAATTCACATAGTTTAATTCGATATTGAAATGAACGAATCTGTGGTGGAAATCAGGAAATTTTGGAGACGTAGTAATCTACCGGAGTGCTCCTATTGGCAAAAAAACTTTGACTTTGACTTTGAGTGCCGATATCTCAATAACTGTCTGTCCTACGGGGCTGATTATGGTCTCATTCGATTTAGCAGGTCATTTTCTACTGGAAAAGCGATAATTCGAGTGAATTTCTGCCGTTTTCTGACACTTTCGGCCGGCCGAAGATCGCTCGGTTACTATATCGTATGGAAGTCTTAGGTGGGAAAATGAAAATTTTTATTTGGCCTATTAAAAATCTGAAAACATTCACATAGACTGATTCGATATCGAAATGAACGAATCTGTGGTGGAAATTGGAAAATTTTTAAAAATGGAGACTTAGTAGTCTACCGGAGTGCTCCTATTGGCAAAAAAAGCGAAAAGCTGACTTTGAGCACCGATATCCCAAAAACTATCTGTCCTACGGGGCTCATTATGGTCTCATTCGATTCAGCAGCATTTCTACTGAAAAAGCGGAAATTCGCGTGAATTTTTGCCGTTTTCTGGCACTTTCGGCCGTCCGAAGATGGCTCGGTGACTATATCGTATGGAAGTCTTAGGTGGGAAAATGAAAATTTTTATTTGGCCTATTAAAAATCTGAAAACATTCACATAGACTAATTCGATATCAAAATGAACGAATCTGTGGTGGAAATCGGCAAATTCTGAATAATGGAGACGTAGTAGTCTACGGGAGTGCTCCTATTGGCAAAAAAGCGAAAAGCTGATTTTGAGCGATATCTCAAAAACTATCTGTTCTACGGGGCTGATCATGGTCTCATTCGATTCAACAGGTCATTTTCTACTGAAAAAGTGATAATTCGCGTGAATTTTTGCCGTTTTCTGGCCCTTTCGGCCGTCCGAAGATCGCTAGGTGACTATATATTATGGAAGTCTTAGGTGGGAAAATGAAAATTTTTGTACTGAATAGCTATCTCAGTTGATATTGGTCTCACAATAGTTATTCATTATACGAGGGAAAAAGTAGTAGATTTTAGCTCCAGGTTGTGTTGTCTTCCGACGCGTAGAGAAAAGCCAAAAATCCGTGAGCTAAAATCTAATATTCTTCCCGTGCATAGCTGTTTTATCTATGTCCCGTGTATAATACACTATTTTTTTTTCTGTGACAGGAAAAAGGACGAATCAATATTGTGAAGATATTGCATTATATTAAAATCAGACAATTATCAACGTGAAATTTGAAGTATTTAACAGGAATGACACCTTCATTGTAGGCATCTTTATCATTCTTTTGAAATAATCAGAAATCTGTTAGTTTAATTCTGTGATTTGATTTTTTTTTAAAAACGAATTTAGTGGTTGTTTAGTACTTTAAGTAACCATGAAGTAGAATGGAAGATAAAAGGACTTGCAGGTCTTTCTCGGAGACGGTGTTATTGGCTTATTTTTTTATATTTATATATTTACTAGCATCAAAAGCCATCACAGTGTATATACCTATATCCGGGAAAAAAGTACTCCAGAAATCGCAGCAATTTGTCTGGAGTTCTACAGCTGACTCAGATGTATATGAAAATATCTAAATTTCAAGAAAACTGACAAAGATAACCTCAATAAGGTATATATGTCGGCGTTAAACAGTGAAATCCGCCATTCTCTGAAATGCCTAGGCATTTCACGTATAGCCGGCAACCAGCGTAACTCTAAATTTCCTACACCTTTTGCCTAATAGTTTCAGGCATTCCCTGTAATGACGGAAGGGAGATTCATTTAGGCCGAGTCAGCTTAGGTTGTTTAGAAGCAGTAGTCTCTTCTGTTCTCTCAAGTAATTTTCTGAAAAATATACTTTCTACGAAGAAGGTTCATTTAGGCGACAAAATAGTCTCCCTTCTTATGCATATGCAGAAAGGATATTTTCCTTCCTCAACCCTCCGGCAAACAGAGTAGCGGCTGAAAACGGAAGTTACGCTGTTACGCTGTTTGCCGACAATACGTGAATTGACTAGGCATTTCAGGAAAATAAAATAAAGGGTATTCCATTTAAAAAATACCAGCTCATGAAAAAATGTTGTCAAGTTAATCTAAGTTCTAGATATGCACGAAAAAATTGTAAAAGTCACCTGTAGGTATTCCAGAACTTGTCCCTAACCCGCCTAGGGGTTGCATGACATTGCTAGCAGTGGGAGGGACCACGCCCAAGGGCAATCCACTAGGGATCCCCGTGAGTGGAGGCTGACTCATAAGGCCAGGCAAAAGGGGCAGCTGGGTAGGAGCAGACTGAATCAGAGGTTGACCCTGCAGCATAGATTGCGGCTGGATGAGAGGCTGTGTATTTGCTATCAGGGGAACCTATAAAATAATAATTACATTCCATTTTCCTTGAATGAATATACACAATGAAATGTAAAGATACAAGTACTTGACAAGATTATTACCATTGATCAATCAATGGATACTTAGTTACCTTGGGTGGTTCAGGTCTAGGAGGTGCATTACCACTGATGAGACTAGCATTGGGTAGGGGAGGTATAGCAGGAGGTGTGTTCACTTTGAGGGAGGCTAGCAAAGATGGAGGTAGCCCTTTAGGCACCTCAAAACCGCGCAGCTTGAGGTTGATCAGTTTGCAGGCGATAGAAAATTCGTGAATGTTCATCTTGCCGTCGGCGTCAGTATCTGCCAAGGCCCTATAATAAAAAATGGAACAGCTATGGAATTCCTTTTTTTTTTCTTTGTTCTAATATACTTACTACTGAGCTTGCTACTTTACTTATAGTCAGTAGTTTTCATTTGATAGGTATGCCTGATTTATGCAGTGTCCCATAAGTCATGGATCAAAAGAAATGGGGTGGTAGGGGGGGGGGTCATTTTCCATCAAACTAGCCATATATGTGGTTATCTAACTGTTTATGATTCAAATGGTTTTTTTTTCATTTCTTTAAGAAAAATTAATTCAATAAAACTATGTCACATTGGTGATTTTTTCTTTTACAAATTCCATCCAGAAAAATAATTTTATGACATGTGTTACTCATCAATTACCTGAGAAAATTGATGTTCTCGTTGAGTTTCGTCATTGAATGAAATATTCAAGTTGATTTTTAAATGCTGCTGACAGATTTGATAACTACCCTACAAAGATAACCAATTATAAGAAAAAGTTTTCCATTTAATAAAAATTCCCAAATGGTCAACATATGAGGTTATTTAAAACAGCCTTTTTGTTATTGAATTTTCTCAGAAAAATTGAATAGCTTTTAAAGCATCAACAATTTGATAACCACACATACCATCAGTTCCATTGCAAATGACCCCTCCTACCACCTCACTTCTGTTGATCTATGACTTATGGGACACCCTGTATAGACAAATACAAAATATTTGATAACATAATATTCAAAATAGATGAGAGATGCCTTGAAAAAAGCAACAAAAAATGTTCAGATAGAGGTTCTTCAAATAATTATCCATTATTGGAAAGCAATGAGTTGATGTGGTTTTTAATTAATTGAAAGCTTTTATTTAACTTGCATTGTATGTTTGTATACCCAGATAACACAGGATATCCTATGGATATCCTTCTCAAGTCCATTTCAGGTCGGGATATCCTGGGACATGAAATGGATATCCATAGGATATCCGTCAGAGGATATTAAATGGATATTCTGATGCGGATCACCTATGGACGTCCATAAGATGTTCGTTTAGCGAATGGTTCAAAACAATACGAATCATCACAAATATCACATGCAAATCACATGTTTATTAGAAATTCAAAGGTAGTTTTCCATCATATAACTATTGTTATGTAGGTATAATATGTTTATAGCCACAATGAAGATATCCGATGCAAATATAAATTCATATAAATAACAACACCACAGTTTGGAATTTTTCTCTGTTGTTCAATGTTTTCGTACAAAAATATACAATAACTCGAAAATAGCTCTCATATATTTACTTTTTTGTGGTTTTCAGATGGACATCCATGAGATATTCATCCATGGATTTATAGCGGATATCCATCAGAAGATATCTTATGGATAGCCATAAGATATCCAAAGAAAACATAAAATCATATTTATGTCAAAATAACTTTTGTTCTTCAACATTTTCGCACAAAAATATGATTTTTCAGAAATAACTTGTATCTCCATTTTTTTCCTTGGGATTGAGATGGAGATCCATAAGAAGATATATTCGCATCCCTGAATTCAAAACTGGGTAGGTATTTTCCCAATGGATAGTAATAAAATAGTCTGAAGCAATAAAATAGTCTGAAGCAATAAAATATAAATCAATATGGCATTCGCGTGAATGACAAATTTTCCAAAAGAAAGATGGAAAAATCTAAGTGAATCTTATTCTTGAATTCACCTTAACAGCATTTCGGAAAATAGCTTCATTGTTGCGCTAGGGATAACGCGATTCAAATCCGGCCACCTCGCCTCCTCTATTTATCTCTCAAAAAATTGAATTCAATTCGAATTAACCTCCATGGCTAGAATCGTTCTGATTGGTCTAAAAATGCATCCATGTCGAAAGTCATGGTAAATTGAATTCTTTCATGAGGTTTGAGCTAAAGCTTAAGGTGGTTCACTCCTATAACTTTTTCATTATTGTAGGTAGTAAAACGTCAATTGGGGTCATGAATTATAGTTCATTTTATATTATTCGACATATCTACTTGCTTTACCGCACTTTTGGTTTAACCGAGGATGGCATTTTCAAACGGGACACCCTGTATTTTATTCCATAATCGGTTAAGGATTATCATAACGAATTCAACGATACTGTGTTTGATAGGATTTCTACAAACGATTAGAAAGATATTCACATTTCCATATCCTCAATGAGCATATGAAAACTTCGAATGCCATATCTTCGTAATCGTTTGAAATAACCCTATCCAATCCGGTACCGTTGAATTCGTTCTAATAGTTCCTAATTCATTATGGAATAATATACATGGTGTTCTATATTGAAAAATATCTCATGGATATTTGTGAACAATATCTTATGGATATCCCTGAAAAATGTCTTATGGATATTTGTGAACAATATCTTATGGATATCCCTGAAAAATGTCTTATGGATGTCCCTGAAGGATATCCTATAGAAGTCCAACTCCTTCCACTCGGCACGTCCATTGGACGTCCATAAGATATACATCGGATATCACTGGATATTCTCTGGATATCCCAAATATCCTGAATGGACGTCCAATGGATGTCCATCGAATGTCCGTGTGTTGACTGGGTATGTATGTATGTATGTTCAGGTGGAATCTTTGAACTCAATTTTGTATACACGTTCAGTTTGGATGACAATGCACGATAAGGTGTGTCACGTTATTCAAAATCCAATATGGCGAACTATCCAAGATGGCGCAATAGCTATTTTTGATATACTTTTACAATATGGGTATCAAATGAAAAGGCTCGTTGAGAGTAACTCAAAAAATGATGTTACGTCATACTAAATCCATTATGGCGGACCATCCAAGATGGCGGAATGGTCATTTTCAATACACTTCTACAATATGGGTATCAAATGAAAAGGCTCGTTGAGAGTAAATCAAAAAATGATGTGACGTCATTCTAAATCCATTATGGCGGACCATCCAAGATGGCGGAATGGTCATTTTTAATCTACTTCTACAATATGGGTATCAAATGAAAGGGCTCGTTGAGAGTAATTCGAAAAATAATGTGACGTTATTCTAAATCCAATATGGCGGACCATCCAAGATGGCGGAATAGCTATTTTTAATATACTTCTACATTATGGGTATCAAATGAAAAGGTTCATTGAGAGTAACTCAAAAAATGATGTGACGTGATTCTAAATCCATTATGGCGGACCATCCAAGATGGCGGAATAGTCATTTTCAATATACTTCTACAATATGGGAATCAAATGAAAAGGCTCCTTGAGAGGAAATAAATAAATCCAGCTAGTGATAACTAAACACTAAAAAATAAATTAAAAGTAAAAATAAAACTTTTTAATAAAGAGCTTTTATTTAAAAGCTCTAAAAAGAAGAAAATAACATTTTTCTTTATAATTTCAACTACTTATCAACTTATAACCTCATTATATACAATTTATATGATCATAAAAGCTTGTTGCAGTGATCAATATTTAATTAAATTGTAATTTTAAAAATTTTATTTCAGCAGATTTTACATAATTAAATAAATACTAGTTCATTCACACGCATGAGGTTATAAGTTGATTGTTAAAATTATAAAGAAAAATTTTAATCTCTTCTTTTTAGAGCATTTAAATGAATTTTTATTAAAAAGTTTTACTTTTAATTTATTGTCATTTGTTCCAGAATTGTGGAAACTCAACTAAGGAAAATCTTGTCAGAACATCTAGACTTACCATATTTGTCCAAGGGTAATAGGTGGTAACTGAGACTGCAAGAAGAAACCTTTGGCCTGGTCACCAGTTATTATGCCATTATTGGGCTTCAGTGATTTGAATTGCTCCTCATACCTTGCTCTTTCTCTTGCCAGGATGACCCATGGGTCAGTAGATGGGGTCCCAGCAGCAGACATCTAAAAGCAGGTTAGATCTATTGATTATTATTGCAGTTACAAAAAAATGCCAGGAAATGCATATTGAGAAAGAAATGTTGTTGAATTCTGTCAACCAATACTGTGAAGAATGTGAAGGAATACAAATTTAAAGATATAAATTGATATGTATAGTCACAACCATTATTTGATTGTATGATCATTTATGAAATTCCTTAGTGCACCATTTTAAATGATTACAAGAATGATTAAATTAGTGTAATGGTACCTTTTCACTTCAGCAGCTACAGTTCAGTTTTCTAGTTGAACATTTTTCAGTAAATTTGACCGAGATTTCACCAAAACGATATAATGTATACTCCCTCAATATCACTTCAAAGTTCTCATCACTGTGCCACTGTGGTCAAATCAATAGGATTCTATCAAAAAGTTCAACTGTGTAGGATTGCTATAAAATTGTTTACAGGAACTGTTCATAAAGACCAAATTCGGTTGCTTGTCAAATCCATATGATAATGTCAGATTCATGTCAGATCTGTCAAACTCGTACAAGAGCCACAAGAGCATGTGACTACTGTGTCTTAGTTCTGTGAAAAAAAAAAGAGGTGAAGAGCTCGTGTAAAAACAGATGAGAAGAGAGGAAGAAGAAGAAGTAAAACTGTCAGCTGTCCCTATTATGTCATCAGTCATTTGATAAATTTTTGTGTCAAATATTGAATCACCACTTGATTGGAAAATTTCTTCAAATAGTTTTGGTTTTTCCGTTTATTTAGTGCAAATTTGGTGAAAAATGGCATCAGCAGCAGAAGCCAGAGCTTCTTTATGTGGCAAGTTGGGCCTGAAACCATTGACTGGTCAAAATATTTTGTTTTATTATGCGCCGGTACAGGGTGTCCTGAGCTACACAGCCCTATCTGTGAATGTGATGAATCCTACTCTGGTGTTGAGGTAAGCGGATGAAATTTGCATTTATGGATAGTTTATGTGTGTTTTCAATTTCTCCAGAATATTTCCGAAGAGGGATATAACCAATGTTCTTTTGTTCAACACTTTGGTAGGCTCTGGGCTGTACTTGTATAATAGGCCACATCTCAGTTCCCTTTCCACAAAGGAAAGACTTCTGTATAGGTAATAATTCTGCAATTATCAGCTCGCACTTCCATGACAAGGGCTATATTTTTTCCAGTTCTTTTGGTGCTGTAACTTTCTCTCTAGGATCTGTTTTGATTTGGGCAATTGTGAGGAGTCTGGTACCACAGAATGTGGTGCTCTGTTCAGTTTGTGGCGTCGGTTCTGGACTAGCCATGATCAAAATTGCACGTAGCTATACAGAACATGTAGATTCTCTCACCTCAAAAAAAGTTTAATAAAAACCACTCTTTTATTGCAAGCTTTGTTCGAAATGTATTTATCAGTGTAAAGTGTAACAATTTATTTATGATGTTATAATAATTTAGATTAAAATAGATGTTTTTAAATTGGGTTGAAGTTGTCAATTGATTTGTCATTTCCTGTCATAGTGGATGAAATTCAAAATTTAATGAGTATGTTGGAAATAACCTGAGGATACAATGGATTCAGAGACAGGTTTATCAGAAGAAGAGCAATGGAGACAGCTTGTTCGAGCATTCTACTTGGCAGCTGTGTTCCAAGGCAGGGCAGCATATTTTCTGATGTCCATACATGCAGTCAACCCAAACATTCTCAACACGTAAGTGAGTGCCATCAAATACATCAACTGGTAGTTTTATTACTCCATCATGATTTCAGCTTCTTTGGTTTTGATCCCTTTCCATACATTTGGGTTACAATGGTTTATGGAATTGCCATCATGATATTTTCCAGACCCTCATTGACTGTGATATCTCTTGTGAATAGGATGGCATTTGGGTAAGTGAAAATGCTTCAATTTATTTAATACTGAACAGCCATATTGGGATAATTTTTACAACCTCACATTCAAAGCTGAACTCATAGAATCACAGCTTGGAGCCAAATTGAATTATTTCTATTGGATTATTACTAGATAGTTTATGAAGAGTTTTTAGGGTGAAATGTTGAATACAGAAAAAAATCCTTTGGGCATTCAGTTTTGGGTATATGGTTAAATCAACTGGCATATTCATTTTAGGATTCTAGGGTCCCTAATGTTCAACCATGCCAGTTTGATATGCTTCCAATGGTTGTGTACTGTATTTCCTGGTAGACCTTACACGCGGGCATTCATGGCATTCCTAAGCGGCAGAATTATGATGATACACCTTTTAGCGTTCCTCTACCATATGGACACTAGAACTAATATCCCTGGAATGATTGTACCCAGAGATATTGCATTCGAAGGAATGTATATATAGCAAATAAATGAACAGATTTTGCTTATCTAATAAAATTTATTTGTCCTTTATTATCATTTAACAGATGGGGAAATTGATCACCTTCAAAATTCAACACATCACATTATTCAAGAAAATAATTTATAAAAAACCCCGGAGTGGTTATAAACTTTACACTAAATCACAATATCACAATATAATAAAATTTATTCTAAATTCACAAGAAAATGATAATGATTTCCAATTATATAAATTGGTGAGGACTTGAAGAGCCAAAACCAGTTGATCATTTTCATAGATAGATATTGCAGTATCTCTCCATTTCAGAATATGACTGCAATATACAGGGTGATTCCGGTTTCAAGGTTCAAACTGAAATGGGTGATAGATCTCATCCTTTCAATAAAAAAAGTGTATATGAATATGTGTCCGATCTCGATCAGTAGCGGAGATATAGGGGGTCAAAGTTTAATTATTTTTTTATTAATTGAAATATCTTGCTCACTTCTGAACATATCAATTTGAATATTGGTGTGATCAATATTTTATAGAAGATCATCATATGAAGCATTTCAAAGGTTATTGAAATCCACAGGGTGATACGTTTTTGAGGGAAGATGCTTTTTTATTCCCCCCAAACTTTTTTGTAGTATGCCTCTGGCATCTTTCAGTTACCAAATAGGGTGGATTGTTCAATTTAAAGACTTATATGCATCTCAATTTTTTTCGGGAAACGCATCGTTCTCGAGATAAATAAGCATATATTCGTGCAATAACATGTTAATTTTGCCTATTATGACTCGCTCAATGCATTAAAATGTACTAAATTCCAATGTGAATCAGTAGTGGGGATACAGAGGGTAGAATGTCCGGTTGGTCTTAACTTGGTCGGACGCGGAAAATTCGTGTTAAGCCACTGGTTAAGCCCCATCCAGTTGTATCCATATTCCTCATACAATATAACTTTTTCAATATCATTTGAAAGAAATTAGATAGCATTCAACTTGTCAGGAAGAATCTTCTTGTGGAATGTGATTATTACTTTTGCATATTCCATTATTGTCAACTAATTTTGTCCAAGAATAAAATTTAATAAAATAATATTGATAAAATTACATGTTTCAGAGCAAACATTCTTATTTATCTTTAAAACGGTTCGTTTCTCGGAAAAATTGAGAAGCAAAAAAGCCTCTAATTGAAGGATCCACCCTATTTGGTGACTTGAAAATATCAGAGGCGTACTACAAAAAAGTTTGGAGGGAATAAAGAAGCCTATACTTCCAAAAACGTATCACCCTGTAAATTTAAAAATCCCTAAAATGCTTTAAATGAAGAATCCCTCGAAAGTATAAACCACACCACATTTCAAATTGATATCTCCAAAAGTGAGCGAGATATTTTAATTATTAGAAAAAAATTATTAAACTGACCCCCTGCTACTGATCGAGATCGGAGTCATGTTAATATAAACTTTTTCAATTGAAATAATGAGATCACCCATATCAGTTTGTACCTCAAAACCTGAATCACCCTGTATTGTATTTCCAGTACAAACATGATATTAAACTTCAATGAACAAGACATTGTAATTTGGTATCAATATCACCTGGTGAACTGGATAATTAAGGTTGAAGGATTGTCACTTCTTCAGTTCATGCCTCAATATAATTCATTATCATTTTTCTTCTTATTCTCATATCAAAGAGGATTGCCTGAAAAATTCGAGTTGAGCCTTCAGGTGTTTAACATTTCTTCACGTAAAAGCATTGATGAGGGGTTGTTCTTCTTGGTGGATGCCATGGTGTCCGCTGCTTCCATGCTCATGGTCATGACCAACTAAAAACCAAAATTCAATATCAAACACTGAAACCTTTTTCCCAGAAGGAAGAGGAAACTTTTATTGTATAATGTCCTGTAGGCACACCTTGTGCGAATGTCTGACGTTCATTTATTTATTGTTTCCGAGAATTTTGTGCCGGTTTTGTCACTGTCATTCAGTTTCTAACATTCCATTTTATTGGCAGTGTTTTTATTTCTTGGTAGGACTTTCTCCATAATGCAATAAAAATAGTGTTCATTTCACATTTGCTTACTTCCTTTATGGAAAAAGCAGGTTTATCGACTCAACAATCGAATTAAACGAAATAAACGAGTCTCCAATTTATATACATAGGAATGGAATTAATTTTCATGTCCGTATCTATTGAAGTGACAATGATACGTTGAACGAAAAGTATTCTTAATATTCTCATATTGAATTATTGTTATATACAACTGAACATAATTTCCGACAACGATTGCGTTATGTTACAATTATTGATTCATTTATAAATAGCTAGATTCTTGTCAAGTATGGCTTTCTTTTCAATGGAAAATGTTTTGTTGGTGATATAAGCACATATAAGGCACTAAATGATTTAATATAGTTATGAAATTGTTTACTAAAATGAAATTTCGAATATTTATGAGTTCTATCAACCTTTGAACTTCTTGAGTATATACCGTCATTTAAGCTATGGACCTTGTATACAATAACAGTCGATCAAGGTGATAGAGAGTAAAATCACGCTACATTTGAGATTTTATTCTCACAAGTCTACTTTCACTTCCACAGTTCTAGGTTCATTATTATGTAATACTTGTCGTTTTTAATATCAATCGGACATTCAATTAATGTTGTCGAGCCATCTTTTATTATTGTTTATTATCGTCTAGGCAAGTTCATTGAACTCTTTTACCAATGCCAGTAGGGACATATTCTGTGGATGTCGAAAAGTACTTAAGTACTTAACCTACTTAAGTACTTAAGTTAAGAAATCGTTGATAGCGGTTTCTTCATAAGGTTTACCATTAAAAAAAAAATCAAATCAAATGAATTTTTAGCTGCAAAACTGTAGTACCTACTATAAGGACTCTACCATATCACCCAACAAACTCTACTATATTGGCAATAATTGCATTGCCTTTTTCTTGAATAATTCGTCCAAGGCTGTCTCATATCTCGGCTCGGCAACAAAGAACAATCAAAATAAATTGTATAATATATTATACGTTATGGTATTGTTTGATTGAATATATCTTGTCTACCTTTTTATCGTTCTGGTATGCATCCAATGTTTTCCGTCTGTCTATTATCCTATGAGTGCATATCAAACACCGCGGTACAGTGAACTTGGCATTATATGTGTGTATAATATTGGCACAGGATATGTAAGGTACAGGGTGATTCAGAAGACCATCAAGTATATCGATGCCATTACAGTCGATATTTTAATTAGGAATTATTCATTGAAGTGAAAAAATTGAAAAGTAACGAAAAACGGTCCGATAATGAATAATTGACAACAATGAATAATTGATGAATCACTTAGTATTTCTGAGAAACTCTCATAAGACAAATAGCTCAAATGTTTTGATGGATATTGGTGTTGGGGGGTTTCCTTGTTGATTCATGAAATAAATAGATACTATGCAGCTATAATATATTCTATATACGCACGAGATCCATTACATGGATAAAATCTTTCACCGGTTCCATGAACTTATTTTCTGTTTTAACTGGTTTAACCCAGGCAACGATGATGACATGACAGGTAATTTATAATTCATTTATTTTATAATCATCTAATGAGGATCTGTTACATTTTTTTTTAGTTCATTAGCATTTCCACTTTTTTTACCACAAATTCCGACCTAATTCACTTGAAAGCAATCCATAAGTGTGATTCATATTATAGTTTTTTTGTGTGCCTGGATTATAATGGTCGATCTCTCTAAATGTTGCCTGTATCGACATTTTTGTGTTGAAAGTAACTTTTCATTAAATACGAAAACAGTGAACAGAAGTGTGAAGGTGACCCATAAAAACGATCTACCTACTAAAATTGACCAATTGGTAAATTACTAATGGCAACTGTGATTTCAATCATTGCATTAAAACAAACGATGCGTATATTAGGAGCAATTTCTAACTCGATTTTTATTCGGTTGCAAATATTATAAACTGATAATTCATAATGAACGTAATTCGAATTTAATTTGTCGGTAACCGTTCAAGACGATGTTTAGACACTCATAATACTGAAGTGGTATTCATAAAATTTGGGTCTGAATTGTATCATGTACCAGCCTATTTCCGAACACCCAATATGTATCGTAGCGACGGTAGATTCTTGAAACATCTCGAAACAATAGAAGGAACAATCAAAGAGGAAGGTAATGTTCTATTGTTCTGAGCATATTTAAAAGGCTATTGAGGGCGACCAATATACAGTGCTTTCGCAAAGTACTGAATAAATTCATTCTCAGCTGAATTATCAATTTCTAAAGAATCTCCTGAAACAGGTCGATTATTTTTTTCATTCTGCACATTGAATATACAGGGTGATCCACGTTTGAGTTACGACGACCACAAGCATTTTTTGAAATAGAACCCCTATATGTACATTATTAGTATATTACTCAATTTTTTGAATCACCATGGAAAGCTGAATTGAAAAATGTATTACATATTATGTGATTTGTATACAGTGCGTGCATGAAATTCAATACTCTCGTAAAGTAGTGGATAGATTCATTTTCATCCATACTATCCATCTCTGAGAAATCTTCTGAAGCAAGAGGGATTTATATTTTTCTACTACTGGTATGAAAAGTAGCGCATTTCTCATAGCTAACTTAGTTAACACCACATACATTTCCATGAAAAATCAACAAAAATCGATCATAACTTGGCTACTGTTCAGCTTTAAATAGTTGTCACAACTGTCAAAAGAAGTTTTTTAAATTCTTTAGGGTAGTTCTCATTAGTGCTTTTGATAGAAATCGCATTTTCCATCAAATATTATTCCAACAATTCATAATAAATAATATGATGTATATTACCGCCAGAGACAGAGATAATGGAAGAAGCTGCGAAAGTTTGATTTGTTTCCGGAAATTTCAAGAAAGAAGTATGAATTGGCATAAACGAAGAATTTATGGAATCTAAAAAAATACAGAAATATAATCTTTTTCGGAAAGTGTTCTTTTTTGAAATACTTTAAGGAACTAGAAAAGACGTCTACTCTTTGGTCACAATATTCAATGTGACATAGTGCAACATTATAAAATGAATACCATTAAGCTACATCACTCGGATTCTTTGTAGTGCAGTAGTAGAAAAATTTTCAAACGGAACACCCGATCTATATTATTAAACTTTTGGAATCTCTTTTCTGTTACGCGTCGGGAGACAACAAAACCTGGAGCTAAAGTCTACTACTACATAAATAACTATTCCATACTGACTTATGATCTGGAAGATGAACATGCAGGCGAAACCCGAGACGATGGCCGCCAGCTGCCAGAAGCCGCTGTGCCGATTGTTCCTCTCTCTCGACAGCACCTCGAAGAACACCACGTAGAGAAGGGTGCCGGCCGCCATGCCTTGCAGCACCACGCTGGTGATGTCTTCGGAGCTCGCCTTCTCGCTCAGGATCAGCCCCAAGCCAATGCCTAAAGTGAACGAAAACAAATTGTAAACAAGCTTTTATAAAAAACAGTTTCAAAGACAAGATTTTATACAGGATGTTCCTTAATGAAATGCTAATATTCAAGGAGCTGATTATTCAAGAATTGAACTTCATATGAACGTATCTCGTGAACGTCCTAACTTTTGAATGTTGAAAATATGCATAGATTATTTTTTGTCCACCCTGTATCTTTTCGTGATGGCAAAATTCAGTCTCCTATGTGACTGAATCGGTATGAAAATTTCAAAATTTTACATGGTGTGGTTAACCAGTAATGGATGTCCTGAATGGAGTACTCAGACATCAAAATTAGAAGTGTGGTCTCGTTTTTCCGTTTTTTTCTAAAAGGAAGCGTTCTATCGAGTACAACAGGAGGATGTTTTTTGTTCATAATTGAATAGCCTTTCATAACATTGTACGAAATTTGAAAATTTTCCGTCGCTGCTCACTTTTGAGAAAAATATAAACAATAATATTCCCGTAACGGTGCAATACGACGGTTAAATACAATCGGACCATAACAACAAAACTCATCCGTCATTTTGAAGCCGCCATCTTGCATTTCTCAATTTTGAAGGAAGAATCATAATTTCCGATCCAGAAATCTCCGAGATACCAATTTTCAATAGGATCGACTCATAATTACAAAACTCGTTCGCGTTATTGGATCCGCCATCTGGAATTTCCCAATTTTGACGAAAGAAACTCCCAGATGTCGATTTTGACTATAATCGGATCATAATTGAAGTGGCAAGTGGAAGAAGGCGTCAAGTAACATTTTCTGAAAATGTTCGGTTATGTCATGGCAGAAGGTGTTACGTGCATTTAGAGAAGTGCACAGAAAACTGCCAGGACTGTAACTTTTGAAATATTCTAGATAGGGTTTTAAAAATTGGTGGGCAGCTAGTATACCGAATCGCTTATTTATTGACGAAACAATTTTTCTTTTATCACTTCCAGTTTCACCGGAAACGATCCCAACTTCTGATTTTTAAATGGGACACCCTGTATTGTATTCAATAATCGGTTAGGGATTGTTATAACGAATTCGCCGATACCGGGTTTGATAGGGTTATTTCAAACGATTACGCAGATATTCACGTTCTAAGTTTCCATATGCTCAATGAGTGTGACAGAAAGAAATTTTGATATTGCGAAGTCACACCCATTGAGCATATGGAAACTTTGAATGCAGAAATCCTTGTAGTCGTTTGAAATAAATAATAAAAAAATAAGTCTGAATGTAAAAGCGCGGGACGACTATGGTGCTCTTGTCACAATGCAAGGTGTGTAACTCAATAAATCTAAACATTCAAAAACATGAACAGTTGTAATTTCTGTGTTCGTACTCTTATATATACCTTACACCATTACAATCAATATCAGTGGGGCATGCGATATCTATTTCTGTGATTGGGCTGTCGATAGTAACACGAGAATCCAATAGTCATAACGAGGACATAATTATTGTTTGTATTGAGCTGTCACATCGGCACTCTCGTTAAAACGTAACGACTAAATTGTTTCATGGCAAATATAATGAGATTGCAATTAAAAAATAATGCGGAGTTAACAATCTTCAACTTTGAGACAGGGGTGTAAATGTAAAATTACACAATGCCGTGGACTGGGTATTTCCAGTTACAATATTGTGTGTATCACTTGAAAATAATCGCAACGTAGGTATGTCTGGAACAACCTGTATAGAACAATAATTAACATGCAATATTATCTCTAGAGATAGCAACAGCAGATCAACAGTCTGACAATGCTACATCATAAAACTGAAAATATTTTTCGGAAAGAAGAAAGTTCTGAAGACGATGTTATATTCTCATTTGAAGATCGTATTTTATCCTCGGAGAATGACAACAATCAGGGGGGAATAAATGAAAGTATAAATTATACAGAAAGTACAAAGAGTACTATCAATTAAGATATTGTGGAAGATTCAGAAGACGTGACGACGAATAATCATGAAAATAACGAGGAACATTACGAAGACGTAATAGAAGAAGTAAAAGATCAAATAAATTCACATATTCCTGAGAAAATGACGAAATCCGGAAGAGTGATCAGAAAACCTAAATGGATGGTTGATTTCAAAGTAGATAATTTGGGAGATGTAGATGAAGCTAGTTCTTGTAGTCCGGCAAGAAGATCAAATTATTGTAGACGCGATCCCAGAAATTTAGCAGAAGCATTGGACGGAGAATTTGATTTTTTCTGGAGAGAAGCTATAACTGAAGGCAAGGAGGACGGTCTCATCGTGCGAACCACTACTTTTCAGCCTGAACTCAAATATCGGGATGTTAACCCTTCACTTGGCCTCCCACCTTTATGATACTCCGCTGACAAATCTAACCACCAATTTGAAGGCATTTGAACTTGTTTTTGCGCCACGAATTAACCCCCTCTTCCTCATGGAACAAATCTGTTTCGTATTGAAAAATATCAATAGATTTTTCAAATTATTTAGTGATAATTATCAACTGACCAACTTCATATAGTGTAGTGAGAATTGATAAATAGGATTAAGATTTCAATTTGATGCAATGCTTGATTGATTTTCAAAAAACGCCCCTCCTTGAAATTTTCACTGGCGGCGCCCATGGTCTGGTGTATTCCATTACAGTCGTCCCGGCTACAAATAAACGTGAACAAATCCGAAAACACTCACCCAATGGCGTAACGACGGCGAACGTCCCGATATACAGAAACACGAACATCGTCCTCGTATTAGACGTCACCAGCTCGACGCCCACGCAGAACGCGATGACGAACTTGTGCGTCGCTATGGCGGCGAACAAATACCACACCTTCTCGACACTGCCCTCCAATCCCACGGCCAGACCCTCGAACACCGCGTGGAAGCTCAAGGCCAACACGACCAGCAGGCCGCCGCACGAGTTGCTCGCCGATTGGTCGAAGTGACTGTGGGCGTGGTCGACGGGGCGGGGCGGTTTGGACGGGTGGGCGTGGTCGGGGGAATGGGCGGGGCTGAGCAGATCCTTGTGGGAGGTGCCGATGTAGCTGATGTTGCTATGGCCGTCGTCGAGCTTAGCGAGGGAGACTCGCGGGATGGCGACGTCGGATTTGGAGCACTTGCGAACAGAGAGAGATCTGCAACAAATCGAAGGTATCGAGGATCAAATGAGTGAACTGTGTTGTGACCACATTTCATAGCTCCCATATCGCGTTGACCCCACATTTCGTTAGGCCCACATTCCACAGAATTTGGAACAAAACCAAAGGATGCATTGTTGCCAAATGTAAGTGTAACACACGGTGTCGATTGGCTCATAATGGCTGATACCATACCTCTATGAATGGCTCTCTGAATTCCGAAAACGTAATATGAGGAAGGAAAATAACCTTTCTGTATAATGCATGAGACCACTTCTTCCAAATAATCTAACCCAGTTCGGCCTAAATAAATCTTCCTAGAAAGTATATTTTTTGGAGAATTACTTGAGAAATCAAAATTAAAAATATGCTGCTTCATTATAGGGATTCCCTATCGTGCGCCCCAAGAGATAAAAAAGGGCCAAATTTCACTTGGAAAAAGTTACACATTTTATGCTATTCATTGACAACAGCAACTGTTGAGTTGAGTGACAATGATGCATTGTCTCTTGTTAATGTCAATTATGAATAGTTTAAAAAGAAAGGGTCCAAGAAATTATGCTTGCTCTTATTTTCAATGAATAACAATTCAACAGTTTTCGATCTCATAGAAACAAAATGGTTTCTACAGAGGCACCGATTTTATTCACATATAGCATTTGACACTTCTGTAGCCAACCTTAAAATAAGAAATGTCTAACTCTGGAAAATATGGTCAATTGAACCCGAGCCGGCGTGACAGTCGCATGCACAGTTAAGTGCTTGTAAATTTTCTCCATGTAGAAAGAATTTCATCTATCTCGCAGATATCACGTGTTGTGAGTGACGTCATGAGATATAAAGACAGAATTGGCTCAGAGAGCCACTTATGGAAATGGTGTAGCTAGACGCTTGTAGTTCTGGTATACAGTGTGTCCCAAATTCGATTCTCACCATTGGGATATCGATAATTATGAAAGATAGAGAGTCGGTTAAATTACGAAAGTTTCAGCAAATTCAATCCCAATTCAGAATTCGTTAATAGATCTAGACTAGCTTTAGTCATTTTTGTGTTATTCCAGAAAACATGAAATTCTGTATTTTCGTTTTTCTCGAATAACTCAGAAATGAATGAAGCTAGTCAAGATTTCTCGACGGATTCTGAATCACAATTGAATATGCTGAAATTTTCCTGATTTAACCAACTCTCTATCTCTCACAGTTACCGAGATCCAAATGATGCGGATCGAATTTGGGACGCACGATATAGTTGCATAGTATTTGACAACAGTGAACAGTGCATCTTTCGGGTATATTATGTTCGTATGTTCGGAGACTTTGGTTATATTGAAATGTGTTCCTAACTAAATATGGGCTAACTAAATGTGGTAACTATGCGATGTGGGAGTATAGACATGATCCCGATCGCGATTTTACTAAATATACTGCACGCTAGCACAAACCACGCCCACCATAATACGTCATATCTCCAAACATTATACCGATATACTCGGAGTCAGCACATCGCACTAAATATACTGTGCTCCAACGCAAGAATACACTTTTTATGATTTTGACACGAATTCGACTGAAGCTCTCTCGTTGTCAATCTCTTGTACGCAGTAAATTCATATACCCAAATGGTCTACTGGTTAGCGCTGTCGACTTTCAGTCTGAAGGTCCATGGTTCGAATCGCTGTGAACTTGAACTTTTTTTTGCAACTTTTTTTTTCACCAATGTCTTTTTACTTCATTCTGGTTTTCCTTTTTCATAAAATATTTGAAGTCAAATAGGTTAGTGCGTTTAGGATAAACAGTCTCATTTTATTCAATTTTGTTGAAGAACTCAACTTTTGAAATATATTATTAATCAATGTGTTTCTACACTCCATTCGCTTTTCCTTCCTCAAAAATATTGCAATCAGGGATAGGTTAGTTCGTTCAGGATAAATAGTCTCTGAGTTTGGCACAAGGACTTCGAAGATGAGATATTACGGTGGGCGTGGTTTGTGCTAGCGTACAGTATATTTAGTAAAATCGCATCCCGATCGACGTCGCTAATGCAAGGGAGTGTTTTACCTGTGTAAAGCGTCTCCGTGAGACTTCCTGTCCAGGAAGAGATGGACGACCTCTTCGACGAAGTAAACGAAGAAGAAGCCCATGCAAAACACCAATTCCGATATGGGGATGCCATTGCCCATCTCCGGCATGGCGCCGTGCCTTTGCAGGTGTTCGAATCCCTCTCTGACTTCGGGTTGCAGGTGGATGAAAGTGGTGAACAACAGGACTCCACCCCCGAAACAAAGTAGCAGCGATATGAGGAGGTTTTTGTCGCCGTCCGCCGAGTTGATCGAGATCATTTTGGTGATTTTCATAGGTAGAATGCCCAGTATGAATGACGTCACGCCGAGCACTGCCATCGAGACCACTTTGGCGATTATCAGGTCGACATTGGTCGTTTCTGACGTTCTCATTTTTTTTTTGTTATCACAGACGCGGTTTTATATGAACTATAGTTTTCTCGTGAGTTAGTTTTTCATCACTGTTTGCAACATACTTCGGATGTCCATAATCTGAAATATGAAAAATATATCTATTAAAACAAGCGAGAAGTTGAGTTTGTACAAATTAAATGAATAAACTTAATTGTCGCTTTGGTCAAGCCTCTTTGCATGACTGAAGTATAATTTATATCGCATATAGTTTTTGTGAATGATGTCCAGTGATTATATTTATTTCTAATAATACGTTTTATATCCCCCAGTTACAAAATACTTATTTTATTGCAAACTGCTTTTGTGGAGAAACTTAAACATAAAAAACAACAAATATGTTTCATCATTTGTCAATTATAATCGTATCTACTGCTACAGGTCTTGGTGGTCTAAACCTAGCCATTAGCTATTTTTGTTTTCACAATGTCACCTTCTTGAGAATCATTTGTGAATGGCAAATTAATTCACCTAATGCTAATCTGTAAATAGTTGTCAGTGCAGCGGAAATACTAGAATGTGGTAATGAGTCCTGACTATATATGTACAGAGTGACCCATTAGAAAGCGGGCCACCCTCACAAATTCTTTATTTATGCAGCGATTTTCACGTTTTTTTAAATGTAGAGGGGGAAGAGGATTATTTCGGCGCTAAGTGGTGTCCATTTTTTTTAGCTAGGCCAACTACGAGGAGTACTTTATCAAATTCAGAGGTTGAAAAATCCAGAATTCATATTAGCGATTTTTTTAGGAAAAATCTGCGTAGATCACTGGAATCGGCGTCCACTGAAATGGATCAGTACCAAGTTTTATGGAAAAATATTCAACATCAACGAATATACAGCATGTCTCATTTCAAACGGCCCCCCCCTCTAGCCTCTCTTTCTCGTAAGTGATTATATGTATACTACCTATCAGCCATTAGTCGTGTGATATTTACCAAATTGGGACCGGTATGAATGATCATCAAAATATGATCAATTCTTCAGAGACATAAATTCTTTTGGACAGTGCCATGCGTTTTTATTAAAATGAAAAAGGGTACATTTTTTATGAAATATTAGGAATTTTTTACAGGAAAACTGACCTAATAATATTTCCTCATGGTTTCAAACCCCCATATGTAGATTTTCATATGATTCCTATGAATGGTTTCAAAAAAACCGGCACATATGTACAGAATTCTTGCTAACGTAATAATTCTTTACTAGGAAACGGTGAGTTCAACATTAGTATTTCTTGTTTTTTCTTTCAAACCATGATATTCTACCTACCGGAGCTATTGAACGTTCAAAAATTTGCAGTTAATTTGAATTCACCATTTTTTTGAGGTAGAAAATGACAAAAAAATGAAGCCAATTCTGTTAATTTGAAATGAGGTATTTTTTGCATAATAGGGAGGTTCAGAAGCATGAACAATAATATGAGTTTTCTTGCAAAAAAACTCCTAACATGATTTCATAAAAACTACCCCTTTTATTTCTATAAAAAAGTACTGCACTGGCCAAAAGGATGTTCGTCTCTGATGGATATTCATACCGGTCCCAATTTGGTAAAGATCGCATTAATATAATAGCTGAGAAACAGAGGGTGGGCCGTTTAAAGTGAGACACGCTGTAGATTCGTTAATGTTGAATATTTTTTTATGACACTTGGTACAGACGCTGATTCTAGTGGTGTATGCGGATTTTTCTAAAAAAATCGCTTATATGGATTCTGGATTATTCAGCCTCTGAATGTGATCTAGTAGGCCTTGGTTAAAAAAAGATAGAAACCGCTTAGCTCCAAAATACACCTTTTCCCCCTCTACATTTAAAAAAAAAATCGTGAAAAACGCTCCATAAACAAAGAATGTATGAGAGTGGCCTGCTTTCAAATGGGTCACTCCGTATATTAATTAGTATTCAGCATGGCAGTTTAGATAGATACATATATTAAAATTCTCCAGCAATCTGAGAATCATTTGATATCGATTAATTCATTTAGAAATTAGCATATTGAAATGTATTTATTTATTTGATGTATTCTACAAGCGTGTCATTCATGATATTGTCGATTCGTGAAGGTCCTACGAAATAATAATGCCAAAATAAGTCTTTGAGCCTGTATATAGTGAAGCTGTAAAATAGATATAGCAAAAATAAATGTAAAAGAGAATTATAGGGTCATTAAAATATTATATTTCCATGACAATAACATGCAAATTGGAAAAGTCTAGAATGTACGCTGGAGAATCTTATGAATCACCCTGTAATCCGCATCACATCTATAAATAAGTCGTTTTTATTTTCCGGAAAACTAGAAATCGATTGATTTTTAAGCAGAGCCTTGAACGGAGTTATACAAATAGGTAGTACGTTCGTGACTTAGGTATTCTCAACGTTTCATTTCAATTTTAGAACGGTTCACTCTGCAAAATATGATATCCTCGAGGCCCCGAGGTTATCCTATTACTCTTCAAGGCCATTTTTATAATCTTCACAAGTAAAAATTGAGTAAATTGAGAAAGTGCTTTTTTTCTCTTTTCAAATTATGATCATCATCCTGGTGGTGGTTAGGGTTTAAGAATAAATTTCCATGATTTCTTCTTCAGAGAACTTTCCTTAACATCTGGAAATTTACTTTCGTAGAAATCATTCAGCGTGAACATATACTATACGTATTTCGGAGAAATTTTGAGCAATAAAAATTATTTTTTCTGTGACGGGAAAAATGTTTGGCATTTCATCTCTATTGGCAGGTTATAGAATGTCACTTTCCATAAATTACTTTTTTCTCGTGGGAAAAAAGTGAGTACTTTTTTCCCGGATATATATTGCATATATATATACACTGTTGATGACTTCTGATGTGCTATAGTTTCGAAAAATGAGTCAATAATACCGTCTCCGAGAAAGAACTGCAAGTCCTTTTATCTTCCATTCGACTTCGCGGTTACGTATTTTACTAAACAACCGCACTAAATTCGCAATTTTTTGAAATCAAATCACAGAATTAGACTGACAGAAGTGACATCAGATATTTGATTACTTCAAAAGAATGATGATGCCTACAACGCAGGTGTCCCTACTGTTAAAAACTTAAAATTTCACGTCGATAATTTTCAGATTTCAAAATAATGTAATATCTTCTCATCAATATTTCGTCTCGTCTATGGCGATAGGCTTTTTTGATATTCATTTTTTTTTAATGAAGAAACTTATATACCTATGTAGGTAAATATTGGGATTTGTATAACTGTGAAACAATGTTTCGTTTTTCTTTCTTTGCTTCATTTTATTTCTCTCTTCACTTTATTCATTTCACTCAGATCAGTCACTGTCACTGCATAATCATGATCGCATATAATTCGACCCTTGTGATGAAAATGTATTTTTTCTAAACACAATAAACGAATCTATCGAGGAATCTATATATCTATCTAATCTATGTGTCACTTGACCCCCCTTCCCATATGAGATTCTGAGGGTAAATCTACCTCTCCTATAGGGGGGTTGAACCAGTTAAGAGGGCTAAAACTAATCATTTTTCAAGTGCCCCCCTCGAAAATAAAAATGAACGGTCTTTTCCATTTTTCTATATTAGGTATTCACTGGATGGAAGATATTGAGAGAGGGAAGTTTTCATTCAATTCAAAATGTCACCCTATATAAACCTATACAACTGAACAAGTAAAACTCACCTCAGAATTTGAACTCTTCACACAATTTTTCAAGTAACTCCAACTACTAACAAATTCGTATACAATGATTATTGCAATAATAAAGTAAATATGAATGTGATTAACAATCAACAGGCAGAGGTGATGTAAAATTGAGGACGACAAAAGGACTCAATTACTAGAAGACCGTTATTTATAGATCATTATTATTGAAATGAAAGTGAAATATTTTTCAAATGGACGACAAACTGCCTTCGTAAATAGGTACCTGATGTTTCACACCTTCACACCCAATTCGACCGTTCCTTATATTTACCTACCAGACACGTTATCACAAAATGTTTAAACATTCAAAACACGTAATTTATAAATCGGGTACGTTTATTTTATCAAAAATATGCCTCGATTAATTTTTTCGTCCGCTCACCTCTAGAATATTTCGGTGAATTGTTTTTTCAACTAAGCAGATAGTTATCCACCACACGTGCTAGGTAGGTATTTTCCTGTTCCTCATTATTTTTTAATGACTGCTTTATTTGTTATCGTTGGTAATTCCCTCCACATCACATTTCTAGGACCAAAGCATCTATGAAGATACCTATCATCAAATCAGCAGAAAAGTATTATAGTTATTAGTATTTTGTTACGTTACGTTATCATATTTCCGATATTATTGTTTTGATAATAATGAAACTAGCTGCATTTTTTTTATGAGAGAATGATATACTTACACTTGCATACCAACGAGCATTATCAGTTTTAATGTTGATATGTAGTAATCACTAATGATTGGATATTTTCTGTTTTACTTGTTATAATTATTGTGAATTATTTTTGTATAAAATGATTAGCAATCTTATGCGACCATATCATTTCAGAACAAATAATTACATCCTTTTATTCGATATAAGATTCACAAATATCTTCGAAGAGGGATATATTCATATAATCTCCAAAAAAAGGTTAAATGAAAAACATAATATGTTATGTCACAAAATTATACCTACCAGTGTGAGATCAAGCATACATCGTTAACGTATCATTAAAGTGGGGTACATAACTGCTAGTATCACTATATTGCCTTCAGAATATATCAGTGTCGTTCACAAATTATAATTATACTTTAATCTAACATTAACATTGAATAGATTTTTCTGCAATGACAATTTAATAACGATACCTGCAAATCTCAATGAATCATAAACTCGCCAAACAGGAGATAATTTAAAGCAGCGTTTCAAAGTTAACATGCGGTGTGTTCTGATGCATTGAGATTTAAGCATGCTTACCTAATATTTGTGAAAGCAATTATTCTGATATTGATAAGAAAAGGAATGAGTTACCTTCAAGACAAAAAAGCTGCTAATCCACTACGACAAGAAGGGCAAATTGCGATAAACCGGATGCGAGCATCCAAAGGGCCGATTTAGCGGCGGGAAACGAAACAAAACAAGAACCGTTTTGGCGGTCACTCGCGTCAGTCACGTGTCGCTTCCATCGGAGATTGAAAGCGGACTGAGGTCTAAACGTCCAAATGCCGGGCCGGTCGAACGGGGAAAGTCTAGCAGAGTTTTCGAACGTCTACCGACATTCATTAGAATGTATTTAACGGAATCATCGATATCGAGAGACATTTCCAAGTGGGAAGTTTTGCCCTTCACATCACGCATATACAGGGTGACAATTGGAAAACCTGCAGCACTCATATTTCTTCAACTGATGACATGAAAATTGAGCGAAACATGTAAATTTATACAGGGTGATTCATTAAGGATGGGCAAACTCTGTTGCTGGTTCAGGAGATACAGGGTGTTCTAGGGGGAGCTTTTATTCTAAAATTTCTCAATAACTTTGTAAGTATTTTAACAGCATGAATATAAAATCTTGTAGTTTCAGGTTTTCTGATATGAGGAATACGAATTTTCAACCAACTTTGTGATTGCTCATAGAGGAAGCTTAGTGGCACTCTGCTCTTACTTTGGTAAATTACACATAATATCTTCTTTGTCCATCCAATGATGATCAAAGCAAGTGAAACATCTGAAAGCCCGTTCGATATGTTCTATAGGAAATGTATTCTTTTTCAAATTGTCTAGCTCATAGGGTTTTTATGTTATTCGCTCTTGAAGAGATTTATGTTCTACTTAATGACATTTTAAAACTTTTAAATTATAAAGTTAGCGAAGCGATAGTGGAAAAAATATGACAATCACTAACAACGCCAACAACAAACAGAATTTCAAAGTAAATGTTCGACGCAAAGTTATATAAAGGAGAATTTTGTTGTTTACTATTGGTAGTTCAGAGATTTTCCATTCTCAATATAATAAATAAAATCATTAAAATGTTATAAAGTGGAACATAAATATCTTCAAGAGCGAATAGCACAAAAATCGTTGAAGCTAGACAATTTGAAAAAGAGTACATTAACAGATGTAACTTATCTAGAATCACCTAAGGATTTCGAAAATAGCAGAATAATTGGTGGTTGCCATTTATTTAAAATTTCAGGGATAGTTGCTCTGATCGACGGTGAAGGGTTGAATGTGATGTAACAACAAATATCTCAAGAGTTGTCCCCCTTGTTATGTTACAATTGTCGTGATTCGCCAAATTTTCATAGTGTCATCAGTTTGAAGAAATATTGAGTGCTGCTCGTTTTCAAACTATCACCCTGTATTAGAAATGGAGAATTCGAGAGGTATTTAAAAAATGCGCTCGCTGGTATATCAATAATGAAGACACCTCCTGAACCTCGAGTATTAATTTTATCTTCTATATATCTCTGTATCAGAGTTTCTTAGATGGTATTGTTATATGATCATGGCCTTCACCTTTCTATGTTTTCCCAATAGTTGTTATATTGAAACAACAAAAACAATGTATGAGATTCGTTTGCGTCAATAATAAAGCAAGTGCATGAATCATCTCCGTTTACCGCAATTATGCTATTTATTTGTACCCACTATCACTATTATAGGATAATCAGATGGTGTATCTATTTACTTGCTGGAATCATCACATCTTCAATAGCTACATCCTTTTTGATGCTTGATGCATGTGGGTTTTCTGCAAGGTTGGTCAGACGACTATTTTCCTCGCCTTTCTTAGTGATATTCATAATAAACAGTAACAGTACTTTTTTTTTATCTCTTGGAGCTCACGAGAGTGAATCCCTGTAATGTTCCAGGAACATCGTTCGTACCTAGGGAAAAAATGGAGAGAAGGTATATAGGTATTGGACCTTCTTTACCTAATGATATAATATATTAAGTGTGTTTACGAAATGATTAACGAGCTTTCTTTGACACTCAATGTGTTATTTGTTATGTATATTGTAACCAAACCCACCCGGGTCTTAGCTAAATATGGAACTATCTATAACCATATTTCATGTGATCGTCTAGTATTTATCATGTTCGAGAAGTATCGAGATTCAACTCGACACCTCTCCAACATGTTCCCACGTTGTGTACTTTTTTTTTATATAAGTTCGTGATACAGAGTTCTGTGGAGGTAGACAAGAAATGAAAATCGAGTATGAATCAAGAGTATTTATTGGCCACGCATCTTTTTACAATGCAAATTGTACGATGTGAAGTTGAGTGAATTAGCAAAAGCAATCTAACCCTCTTCACTGCGCCAACCAAGACTCAGTATCAAAAGTTTAGGTTGTTATTAGCTGATCAACTGCTCAGATGGACTATGCTTGCATTCCTCTCGGTTAACCTAATGGCTTTTTTCAGTAAAGGGATCGTCTCCTGCCGGGATATAATAAGAGTGGTTGCAAGCCACCTCCGCGGTGTACACCAACTACAGGGACGTCCAAATCAGTATGCCTACTGTTAATATGAAAGTAAGGAGAGGACGCTCCCACAGAACCATCGAGCAATTTGACCACTCATGGTCATCTATAAGCACTTCGAGTTACATAGATAAACTGGTCAAGGCTGAGCAACAGCGGAGTATACAATACTACCCTAAACAAATTGATTATGTGGCAAAGTCTGATAGGTGATAAGATATTATACTGGGACCTGGTTCTTCAACCCGTTCCTTAGGGCTAACAGAGAGGGACGTCTGGTAATCATCCATGTTTCCTTTTATTTCTGGAGATGTTGCTTCTTCGAAGGTTGGAAATGTTCTGCTGAGGTCGTCGCTCGGGCTGCTATTTATAGGGAAACCGTTTGTTGTGATTGTCACTAGGACCACTTCCATGGTTACTGATGTTCTTTTATTGAAACAAACCTGGATTTGGCCCCTTTTTGGCCCCATTTCAGGGTGCTCCCTTGCAGTATGAGGCTTCTAGCTGTGAACATACGATGTCCAAAGGTCAGGTAGCTGTTTTCACATACTTATAAGTCTGTCCCTGTGGTTCTACTTCAGATTTGAAGTGAATTTATGAACGTCTGACAGCGTCAAACGTTCGTGAATTGGTAGAGTTTTTTTCCACAAAACAGACTCTTCCTGCCTTTGTAGCTGGAATAAACCGATACAAATCGAAGTCCAGATTACTTACCAAGCTTCCTGATGTTGTAACAAAGCACAACACTGTAGAATCGAGTATCCAACAAGGTCTTACCATACCTGGGATACAATGCAAAGTTGGAGTGATAGAATTTATGATCTCGTGATGATTTGTTACTCATTTCTCTGATAAAAAATGCCACTACTCATAGAAATTGAACCCTCATTAATGGAGTCATGAACTGAACCACTAACTATGATCCTCAAATATCAGAAATAAGATAATGACTTCCAAAATGAATCAATACTCTTGATCATGATGAAATATTCTACCAAGCGAACTGGCTTGGGTCGTTACAATATATACCTACCTATACTCGTAAAACAAAATGAAATTTGAAAAGATAGACTCTTAGATAAAAGTAATTGAGATAGTAGGAGAGCTGGCTGCAAATTTCGACCGTCATCTGATAACGAAATGGTATATACAGCGTGTCTCATTTCGAACGGCCCCCCTCTATGTCTCAGCTATCAGTCGTGCGATCTTTACCGAATTTGTATCGGTATGACCAGTTCTTCAAAGACAAACATCATTTTAGACAGTGCCGTGCATCTTTATTGAAATGAAAAGGGATCAGTTTTTTATTAAATCATATTTTTTCATACCTCATAATATTGTTCTTCATGGTTTCAAAGCCACATATGTGGATTTTCATATGATGCCTATGATGGGTTTCAGAAGAACAGGCACATCTAAACAGCATTTTTGCGAACGTAATAATTATTTACTCGGAAACGGTGAGTTCAACATAAAAAAGTATAACTCGTTTTTCCTTCCAAATCATGATTTTTCATCTACCGGAGCCATATTGAACGTTCCAAAATTGGTAGTTGATTTGAAGTCACTATTTATTCGAGACTGTAAATGGAAAAAATGAAGCCAATACTGTTAATTCGGAATTAGGTGATTTTTTGCATATGGAGGTTCCAAAGCATGAGGAACAATAATATTTTGTTGTTGTTGCAATTGCATACCTCGTTAGTCCCAGCACTGGGACCAAACGCCCCATAAGCCGAAACTTGTGCGGGGTTAGGTATACATAAAAACACAATCACAAACATCCATGGCCTAACTAGGATTCGAACCTATGTCTCGGTGGGAGTCCCCATCACAGGTCCCCATACGAACTCAGCGCCTTCACGCTCTCGACCACCGAGCCGATATGAGGTTAGATTTCCTGTAAAAAAATTCCTGATGATTTTATGAAAAATCGACCCCTTTTTAGTAAAATAAAAAGGCACGGCATCTCTGTAAAACTGATCATATTGATGGTTATTCATACCACACCAAATTTGGTTGGAATCGCATGACTATTAACTGAAATATATAGACGGCGGGGGCGTTTAAAGTGAGACACGCTGTGTATACCACAGAACACTGGTCCATCGGATATTATCTTTAGAGAGCAGCGAATTATTCTCTCTATATAGACGCTCTGTCGCTATAACTTGATCAGTTTGAATCACGGCACTTTTAGAGATTCCCGGAGAAGATATTATCTCCTTTTATTTGCTTACGGACGGAGGCTGTTAACATTAACCTTTCAATTGACACCTGAATACCGTTAAATCAAAATAAGTGCATGCGATTACGAAAAAATAATAGTTATACTTATAGTATCACTATAATGTCCTGACAGAATTTTTTTCATTGCTGATGTGTATGTGTACTATATGGATTTATCATTTATTCCCTTATCTCTATATGTATGATACGAATCATGATTAAAATCTATTCAACGGATGTCCAAGAGCCGGCTGCAAAATTCGAAATTTACTATATCCTGTTGCTATATCTATACTTACTCGAATCAATAATGATTAGAATGATTGATTTATGTAGATAGTATTATAATAATTATACTCTGCTTATCAATGAAAAGATTATACACACAGATTCTAACATAACAATTTCATTTTAAATAAATTAATGGTGTCTGAAAGGGTCATTCGAGTGAGAGCTCGAAAATGAAAAATGTTTTGTGTCATCGATTGATTTTGCTTCATTTCTTTTTGATATTTAGGTGGGGAGTCTGAACTTCATACACACCATTATAGTTCAGTAAAGTTAAACATGAAAAGGGGGTCGTGCTTGCAAAAGGTCCGGTCGTTCTGAGTTTTTTATATGTTATTAGGACCTGAACCAATATTGAAAAACCAGATTGGCAATTTCCAAACTGCTGTGCGAGCGGCGGTATACCCAAAAAACAATGAAATTTTCGGACTTTTTTCAGTTTTCGCTCAATATCTTAGAGAAGGAAGGGTTTGACCGGTATAGTCACCATATATACTTTTCAATTAAACTAAATTTGCTATAAGATGAGCCCCATGCAGCTATTGGTTCCCAAGATACAGTTCTTTGAAAATAGGCAATTTTTTCGAAAAAGTGAAATTTTTTCAAAACGGTCTCATATTTTGTAAGTTATCTTCTATAATACGCTTCCCACGTGAAATATCATATGTAATGAAGTTGGAGAGAATTCAATAAGATTTGTTTTAAGACCAGATTGGTATCTGTATGCCCAGCGGTTCTCTCGAAAACGGCAGATAGAGTACAGAGTTGTCTAAATGCGCTCATAGAAAATAATCAAAATTTTGCGTGCACTTATTTTTTTCGACGCCCCTGATGCACTGAATTTATCAGCTGATTTATATGATTGTTTCATTGTAGTGTCGAGATTTATCTGATAAACGTTGAATTAAGATTTAATTATTTCATTGTCTGGCTGTTGTCGATATATCGTCCTAATCGAGAGTGAATATATATATATCGCGTGCTACCTACCGTGTTGATTGCCACGATAATATATATATTAACTTATAGGTGAGCCCACTTTTTGTTCTTAATTGTAGGTCATATTCCCGTTTCATACGTGGATAAAATTTCAATGATGAAGTAATATATAATCTTGTCTAAATTCACAATCTCTTGATTATCTCTACTTCTGTACTGGGTGGGCCAAATTATTGAACACATTTAAAGGAAAAGTCTCTGTACCTACATGTAAACAGGGTCATATTTGTTTGGATCTAAACGATGACTAATCCGATGCCTTTATTGTTGGTATTAAATCAGGAAGCCATTTTTTTAGATAAGTTTGATCATATGCTGACTTGTCAATGTCATGATATTTGTACACAAATTCGTAGGTATAATTATGCTGAACCCGCGTCATGAACTCGATTTCATTGAGCCCACCATATCTCCTATTCATCATTATCATTCCTATCTTTATTTGCCAAAATTGTTATCCTTGACGAACCGCTTCTATTGTAATTATTCATTAGAGTTCATGCCGTTTACTTCCGTTATACAAAGTGGACCTAATTTACTGATATCTTCAATTATTATAATAATATCTCAAAAACCAAAGTATGTAAGACTTTCCTTGCATGAAGTTTCCATTTCAACCACCCTGACTTCAAGAGTTCTAGTCGATGTACACCGCGTGACTCATGGAAGGACTAAAACTCAATCATTTTGAATTATTAGAAATCAACAAACTCAAAAACTCTAACATTTTACTCAACTAGACCTCAATACTTCACCACTGTTGAATTTGTTTTCTTAGTAGGTAATAATATGTATTTGCTATCGACCCTTCCAAGTTAATCCATTACGCCGTATTTTAATGTAGATATTGTGCCTATTTTCGGAAAATGAAGGTTTATCGAACATTTCCACAGGTAATTCTAATCCTTCAACGTCAATAACTATAACTTCGTAACGAAGCGCGATAGACATATTTTTTCTATAAAGTACTAACATTATTTTGGCTCACTCTATCAGCTCTATCATTTACGACATGGCGTTTTCGGCCACCCTGTATAGGTAGAAAAACAAAGGAGAAAAGGGACGTATACCATAAGTCTGTGTCACCAGGTATACGAGAATAACTCACAATGTTTGTGAAGTTTTTACATAGGACTCTTCCTTCAAAAGTGCTCAATTTGGCCCACCCTGTACAACCCCATTCCAGACGAACACATCATGCAGCAGCTGTTAGACCGCCCCGTCCGCCACATTCACCACCCCGCCCTGACCGACCCCGCCTCATCGGTGGGCAGCCCGACCACCGCCAAGGCCACCGCGATGGCCGTCCTCTTCGTCGCCTCCTTCGTCATGGGCAACCTGCCCGTCAAACTGGGCCAATGGCTGCACTGGGGCGCCGACGCCAAGGTATTGTACAGTCGTATTCAATAAAAAAGCGTACAAGTATTAAAAGGAGAGAATTTCGGGATCCTAATTCTAGTTGTGTAAAACTGGCTCAGCGAATGCTTTGTGTTTTCGAGAACCTATGACAACTTTACTGTCAACATTTGGTGAACAATCATTCCCGATAGCCCGTTTTATGCAGAATAGGATGACGTTAATTTCTCTCTGTAATATACTTGTACGCCTTTTTTTTAATGCGACTTTACGGTGTGAATGATTATATTTTACTTAATAGCTAAGTATCTCAGTTAATATTCTGGTCTTACAGAAACGTACAAATGGACAAAAGTGAAGAATTTGTTATAAGCATTCAGAATCTATTACTGGAAGATGCAAAAACCATCGTAAACCTGAAAATTTCACATGAACTGATATTATTCAAATGAAACACATTGTATTTCATTTTCCTAAACGGTATATAGAGGTCTTTTTTCTGATTCCAAATATGTACACGGTGTCGAAATTAGCATGCAAAACTTAACCAGCGGCTTCTTCGACCAAAAATAGGAAGAAAAGTTTCAATGAACATGAGTCGAGAAATGTCTCCTGAGGGAGCTACGGTCCTCTAAAAAGAGGCTCCTGAAGATGATATTTCTTGAATATTTCCGAAACGCCACGTGATAAAATGATGCAATTCGGTACAGGAACTAAACTTTCCATGCCCAATGCGGTGAACATAAAATCATTTCATGGTTCCATTCAGGAGTGTATAATACAGGGTGGGACTGGGACTACATTAAATATTGCTCAAACTTTTTCGTTTGCATATTTTTTCACAATTTAATCTCGGATTATGAAAATCCACACCGTTTCACAAAAAAGGTGCTCCTGTTCCGCTATCATTTTCGAGTGAAATCGATTTAAAAATATATTGATGCATAACGTTGCCAATTTTCAAATCATAGTGGCTAAAAAAAATAAAGTACTTCCTTTTTACCAAACAATCTCATAAAAGCGCGAAATATAGAAAAATGATGATGAAAAAATTACTTAAATTTTTGTGAATTTTTTTCCATTTCCACTACGCCTCGTATTTTTAAATCGCTTTTACTCGATGATGATACATATGATCGTCACGGAACAAAAGTACCTTTTTTTCTGTAAAGAGGTGCGGAATTTCATAATCCGAGATCAAATTGTCGAAAAATATGCATACAAAAAGTTTTGAGCAATATTCAATGTAGTCCCACCCTGAATTTTACAGTCCTCATTGAAATCTTGGAATGATTTTATTTTCATTGCATTAGGCACGGAAAGTTGAGTTTTTGTACCAAATTGAATCTTTTCATCACATGGAGTTTTGGAAATACTCAGGGAATATCATTTTCAGGGGATCCGTAGCTCCCTTTAGGTGACATTTCTAGACTCATGTTCATTGAAAGTTTTCTTTCTATTTTTGGTCGTAAAAGCCGCTGGTGAAATTTGGCAGGCTAATTTTGGGACGCCCTGTATACTTTGTTGAGGTTAAATTTTGTCAGTTTTTGAAAAATATAGAATTTGGTATGCATATACATACATACATACATACATGTGAAGCTAATAAAAGAGTGTGAATAAAAAACAACCTCCACATCAATGAAATACCAACTGACATTACATAATATCAACTCTGTGATACTGCATGCAGTGATAATAAATTTCAAAAACTTGTTAAGCAACTTTTTCCTGTCCAGATATCTTCTGACAATTAGGTTGGGTTACTAGATCTGGTAACATATCTTAGGTTAGGTTACTAGATCTGGTAACATATCTTAGGTTAGGTTACTAGATCTGGTAACATATCTTAGGTTGGGTTACTAGATCTGGTAACATATCTCAGGTTGGGTTACTAGATCTGGTAACATATCTTAGGTTAGGTTACTAGATCTGGTAACATATCTTAGGTTGGGTTACTAGATCTGGTAACATATCTTAGGTTGGGTTACTAGATCTGGTAACATATCTTAGGTTGGGTTACTAGATCTGGTAACATATCTTAGGTTAGGTTACTAGATCTGGTAACATATCTTAGGTTAGGGTACTAGATCTGGTAACATATCTTAGGTTAGGTTACTAGATCTGGTAACATATCTTAGGTTGGGTTACTAGATCTGGTAACATATCTCAGGTTGGGTTACTAGATCTGGTAACATATCTTAGGTTAGGTTACTAGATCTGGTAACATATCTTAGGTTGGGTTACTAGATCTGGTAACATATCTTAGGTTGGGTTACTAGATCTGGTAACATATCTATCTTAGGTTAGGTTACTAGATCTGGTAACATATCTTAGGTTGGGTTACCAGATCTGTTAACATCTCAATTTTTTTAATTGGAATGCCCAATTCCTGAAAATAGCAAAAATCGCAAAAATTACTGAAAATTGCAAAAATTGCAAAAATTCCGGAAAATTATAAAAATTTCAAAAAATTCCTGAAAATAGCAAAAATCGCAAAAAAGACAAAAATTGCAAAAATTACTAAAAATTGCAAAAATTTCTGAAAATTGCAAAAATGCAAAAATTCCGGAAAATTATAAAAATTTCAAAAAATTCCTGAAAATTGCAAAAATCGCAAAAAGACAAAAATTGCTAAAAATTGCAAAAATTTCTGAAAATTGCAAAAATGCTTAAATTCCGGAAAATTGTAAAAAATTCAAGAAATTCCTGAAAATTGCAAAAATCGCAAAAATGCCTGAAAATTGCAAAAACTGCAAAAATTTCTGAAAATTGCAAAAATTTCTGAAAATTGCAAAAAATCCTGAAAATTGGAAAATTTCCTGAAAATTGCAAAAATCCCTGAAGATTGCGGAAATCTATGAAAATTGCAATGCAAAAATGTAGTATATTTTGATTTGAAGGACAACGTGTACGTCAAGTTCCTGCTCGGAATGGGCGGGGGCGTGTTGCTGTGCACCACTTTTCTGCATTTGCTGCCCGAGGTGGGGGAGAATTTCGACGAGCTGGATCTGACGCCCGGGGTCGAAGTGCACTACGCCGAGTTGCTCATGTGCATAGGTAATGAATGCCCACTATACCGATATGTAATGATGAACACTGCAAGCCACTTTTTAAACATTCCAAAATCTTTTAACTCTACCCTCACTACTCATTTTAAATATCTTGAGACATTTCCGCAATAACATTGACTCATTCGCGATCCATGCAAGCATCTATAACTGGAGAGTAGAAATTCAAAAGGGTCTAAGTGCCGCTTTCACCAAATTTTAGATTTCACTTATTTTGGGGTCTATGTGCCAAGGCCAATACCATACAAAACGGTCAATGTGCCATTTGCCATAGGCAATAATCATTTTGTGATGTAGAGAACTGCGCAGGGTCGAAGCGCCAGTACTCTATGTTCATTAAAAGGGTCTAAGTTCCAAATAATTAACATTGTTAGTATACAAGATGGACGCACGTGGTGATGTATGTACAAGCCGGTAATATTGCAGTAAAAAGGTGGCAGAATGGTACTGAGAGTGTTAGAAATCAGAGAAAAAGAAGCAGAGTGAGTGGCTTGCAACATTCAAATTATAAAAATGTCCTTATACCAGCTAAAAATCCACCTGAACAAGAGGTAAGCAATTTTATAACCTCAAAATCAGTAAACTAAGTATACTCACTTTATGTTGTTGTTGCAGGTAGCTTATTGATCTTGTAAATATTCCTGCAAATCTTTATCATTCAACCAGGGAAACTCATTATTCCAACAATTTTATGATGTTGCAAATCACGATAAGCAAAATACTTTTCTTATGGGGCAGAGCAGAGAAGCTCAAAAATCTAAAAAACATGATGGACTATATATATTCCATTGAAATATATTCCGTTTAATGAATATCTCATAGAAGGAACAGAATCACAGTAAAAGACTACTTTGGACATAGACCCTTTTCACGATTTCTTGTTCTTGACACTTTGGACCTTCTAGCAGTTGTCATGTTTGAGTTAGTGTTTTTCATATTAGTTTTTGTTTTTTATGTGTAACTATGTATGTAGTTCATATGATCGTGTATTCTGTACTCAATAAACATATTTCGATCAAGTTTTTTTTTATTTTAATTTTTTAGGCATGGTTTATGTAATATCTCAGTTTAAATTTCTTGGCACATCCTTTTGAATTTCCACTCTTCCTATCTAACAAGAAAGGCAGGAGACCTTAGACCGCCAAGGCTCAAACTAACAACATCTACTCGCAATACCTTATTTAGATGTTAAAATATACAATGAACTCACACCACACATCAAAAATATGAATAACTTTTGTTTTAAAACCCCAATAAAGAATTTTTTTGTTGAAAAATCTGTTTACTCTCCAGGAATATATGGAGACTCCATTCATTTAGACATCTGAACTTTTATTATATGACCATTTTCGATCTTGAATGTATAATGTCTAATGTACCATGTCATTACATGTATTTTTATTTTTATTGTATTGTACTTATACACTGATATATCTATTAATTGCTAATTTTCGTTTTTATTTTTTCAAGCAGAAACCAAAAGACCTAGACGTTCCTGACTGGAGTATTCTTAGGGCACTTTTTTACAAGGACTGTCAAAACTGTCAAAATTAAGTTTATTAAACAAAACTGTTGGCGTTCCTTCCAAAGCACTCTTCACAAAAAATGTTTTTTTGCCAATTTTGATCAACAGGAAAGATTCGATCATATTGTGTGATACATCATTGTAATCAGAAAGAACTTTTCAAAAATGCAAAAATTCGATATGGCGCCCATAAGAAAGAACAAAGTTGAGTGTTGTAACTTAGGCATCAAGAACGTCATAGAAAATACGATGAGAGATTCAGATTCCTTGTAAAAAGTGCCCTAAGAATGTCCTAGTCAGAAACGTCTAAGTCTTTTGGTTTTCGCTTGAAAGAATAAAAATGAAAATTAGAAATTCTCTCGTTCTCTTCGAATAATTTGAAAACTAAAAATGCGCAATTTGGCCCTAAGTTAGCCGACCTCGTATCTCTTATGATAACTTCGATCCCCACGGTGGAGCTCGAAAAACGGGCACCCTGTATAATAAAAAGTAAAGGACCCAGTATGTTAGATGTCATCAGATCTTCCATCTACCTCTTCTGCAGGCTTCTTCGTGATGTACTTGGTGGAGGAATGCGTCCACGTGTACTTACAGATGAAAGAGAAGTCGCAAGAGATGGCGGTCCTGCGCCGCAGCCTGTCGATTAGGCGTGGCGTCTCGATAGACGTCAACAGAATCGAGGAGGATGAGGAGAAACCAGCGAAGTTATTCGGCTACTCGGAGGGGCCGAGGCCTAGCCAGCACAGCCATCAAGCGGGCCATTCGCACTTGGTTTTCGGCACCTCCTCCACCGTGACCATCGTCAGGGGGCTGCTGGTGGTGCTGGCGCTCTCCGTACACGAACTCTTCGAAGGTGAAATATTACTTTTTTTGTTTTCTGTTGAATATTCAGAATGATATTATATGCATATCTTTATATGATCTTTATATGAAGGAGAATGAAAATTCTCTACTTCAGAAGATTTTGTTTTCAAATTCTCATCGTGTTCAATAGATGTAATTCAATATTCGTCGTGGCATATCGCCCGGAAAGTAGTTGTTTATTGTTGAATGAACCGAGAAAGAATTAATATTCTCATCACATGGACAATGCGAATTGTTTTGTGTTTTGTTTTGTTCTATCCGTCATTCGGTTGCCCCCTTACGAGCAACCCTCAAAAGTCTTCGAAAGTCTTGTGCGAGCAAGGAATGACGGGGGCCTTACCTTTTAACGTGTGATCCCAAACACTTTCTTGGGCCATCAGAAAAATTTCTGCAGTCGACGGGGATCGAACCCACGACCGGCAAGCGAATGCGAATTAGAATATAGACACTCTGTCCGCACGGCTACCTGGCCACCCATTCTCAATGTATTTCTTTATTTATATATCCATTTTTTTGTGTTCATAAATATATCTGAGAATATTCCTTTTGAAATATTACCATTTTTCTGTGACAGGAAATAGTATATTGTGTCACAATTGCAGAAAATGAGCTTTATTAGCCCGCGGCTAGGGGCCCTTGATGTAAATTGACGTATTTGTCATCTTGACAGGGTACGGACAGATCCTCGTCTATTCTCACTCTAAAGTGTTAGTGAAACAGTTATATAGCTCCATCTTTATTCAATTCTGGGGATTAATCATTCCAGAATTACGTCATTTGACAGTTTGCTGAGGGGCAAACATTGTATTTTGTCAAGATTTTTCATATGGATTCAGAATTAGTGGGATCGTCGTTTTCCTTGGAATCCGAGTTCGAACCAGAAAGAATTTCATAATTTTGTTTGGTGGATATGGCAGGGATGGCCAGGGCTATGCTCATCAAAGGTAAACAGATAGTTTGTGTGCCCCTCAAGAGACCATGTCAAAATCACGTGTTCTGGAATTGTCAATAAACACTAGACTTCTGACATTTGTTGGTTTTTAGGTTATATTGAGGACATTGGCGTATCATACGTAATTTCCACAAGTAATTTCTCATTCAACTCTACATATTATATCCAAATGATGATGGAAATTTTCGAGTTTTTGATTTTTCAACTCCAGCATAATCTTTGTGAGCCAGTGAGCGAATTTTTCTGACAGTTTAATACGTTTTACCAAATGGGAGTGTTCTTAGGCAGTACCTATCAATAAATGAATTTTGATTTCAGAATCATTTTTGCAGTTTTTTACGAACACTTAATATTTCCTGAATGTAGGTTCAATTTTATAAATGGTAGGGCACATGCTTCTTCTTTTAATCCTCCGTTTTAATCATAACTGTTTCTACCAAAATGCATTCAAAAACTTGTGGAGTAAATAATTTTAGGCATAATGAGAAAGTATAATATGTGTTGAAAAGGAATATTCTCAGATGAATTATGGACATACAAAAATGGATATATATAATTATGAAGCAATACATTGAGAATTCGTATTCTCTATGTGATGAGAATATCTACTATTTTTCAGTTTATTCAATAGAAAACAACGACTTCCCTGGCTATATAATATGTGATTTCGTATTTGATTTACCTCGAATATTTTGCTGATGTATTTAATTGATTTTTTATGTGCTATGATCTCCCCTACTTACGAAATCGAGGCGTCGCAGTTTCTACTGGCGGTAAATTTCTAGCAGTTTGTAAATTACCGTGGCGATTTTTACACCCAAAAAGGTATTTTAGTGATGATTCTATTCAGTAAAACAAAAATTAGTTCACTCGTCTATTCTCCTTATATTTTTTCAATATATCATTTGAGTTGTGGTACAGGAAAGCTATACTTCACAAGTGATCTTTTCGGACGAGGCGCTTCATATAATCTCGTCGAACTTTACTAAGTTCGAGCAATTTCAACAGTTTTCGATCTTTAAATAGAATAATTTCGGCAGTTGCGTTAACATCGTTATGTATCCAACCTGACCAATCGAAATGTCTTACTCTTGACATTTTAAATTATCTCTTGAGAATATGGTCAATAGGCACCAGTCGACGGATTCACTGATTCATTATTAATGCTATTATTTCAGGTCTCGCCGTGGGTTTGGAGAGCTCCCCGGCCGCCGTCTGGTACATGTTCGGGGCTGTCAGCGCCCACAAGCTCGTCATAGCGTTCTGCATCGGCGTGGAGCTGGTCACTTCGGGCCTAAAAACGTCTCTCGTTATACTGTATGTGTTCACTTTCGCGGTGGTCAGTCCGTTGGGCATCGGTATCGGCATTTTAGTCAGCCATTCGGAGGGCTCGTCCACCACCTTGGTTTCGGTGGTGTTGCAGGGTTTGGCCTCCGGAACGCTGTTGTATGTTGTTTTTTTCGAAATTCTGCAAGCAGATAAAAAGAGCGGGCTCAGACAGTATTTCGCGGTTCTTCTCGGTTTCGTTATTATGTTTGGCATAACATTCCTCGGTTGATCCGATTGCGTTAGGCTGAAAATCTTGGCCGTCATCTGATAACGAAATGTCTGTGCCAATCACTATCCTGAGCAAAATGATTGGAAAATTGTATTTTCCTGTGCGGTAACCCAGCGAGCACAAAACATCTCAGAGATGTAAAAAGTACGAGATGTCGGGACATTTAGTGAACTTCCACTGCGATGTCCTCTTCACACATGAATAGAACTTTCATAAAACAGCCAATGTATGCCGCAGGCGGCGTTTAAAATGATTACTTTGGGATTTCACAAAAAAAAATGTTGATAGCCTTTTCATTGACACAACATAACCTTATTTCCAAAGCGGTTTGTGCACATTTAATCGCTGCAAATAAATCATCCCACCATATAGATCTAAATACACACATCCCACTAAGCAAAGTTGAAAGTTATATGTTGATGCAATGTTGAAGCGATATTACTGAAACGGACGTTCATCAATATTACATGTTGCTGAGACATTGCTGGAGCGTTTTACATTTACAAATATACATTTGCAATATTACTTAAAAGAGCTTTCCCCGCTGGAAAATCAAACCTACTCTCTTGTGATAGTATTTTATTCACAATCCTTACACCTTGTCCACTGCCCTATATTTGAGAACCTTATTGATGAATGATATGAATAGAAAATTATGTCTACATATCATATGCACTTCATTATTATATATAGTAGAGGATAATAATTAGTATTGAGGCTAGGGAATGAAAGGGGAGTCAGGGGAAATATTATAAATGTTGACAGATCAAGAATAACATCATCCATATCATATTTTGATACGATTCTATATATTCTGTTCATAGAATTCTATCAAAATATTCCGAAATAAGTACGAACGTCCTGAACATTGTTAGAATATTCATTGAATATGCTGTTTGAAATATCATCACGGATTATGGACGACACGTCTGATGGTCATTTGTAATTAGAATGAATAATACACCTATATGTCGTTGCTTCTGCTGTTCTGGGAAAAAAAGGAGGAGAACTCATCGTATTGTGACGTAAACATATGAAACGTTCGTGAGGAACGAAGACAATACTTCAATATATCCTTCAAAAACCTCTTTGGGAAGTGCATATTACGTCCCAAAACAACATCTTCATACCAACATGTTCAAAACATCCCAGGGATGTTTGTGCTCGCTGGGAAATTGCACTCAATTTCGCGATTTGATAACGAGATAAGAATTATGCCATCCGATACCACTTGAATAGTAGATCTCAGAAACCTAACCTGTTGTGCTCGCACTACAATTGTTCTAAATCCACATGTTGAGTTTCATATTGGTCCATCCGATATTATCTTTCGAGAGAGGCGAAATATTCTCGGAGTTATTGATACTTTTGAGGACAACCATTCAACTGCGGTATCGAACGGCATAATTCAAATCTCTATATCAAATCGCGAAATTAAGTGCAAATTACCGCACAGGGAAGTGCCAAATTTCGATCATTTTGTTCAGGATAGTGATTGCCGTTCGATAAAATACAATGTTTTTACATGCTTTTCATCATCATCTGTTATCAGATGACGGTCGAAACTTTTGCAGCCGACTCTTGGACTGTTCTAGTTCGTACAAAAATGATTACCACTTTTTATGATCCCGTGTGTAGCTTTCATTGTGACGAGTCTGCAAAGTTTTTTGTAAAGTGAACGTTACTGCACACCAAAAGATGCGCTGCTTATACTTGCTTCCGCAAATAAAAACGTTGGTAAACTTCGAGGAATTTAAGACCGTACTGTTGGTCTCTTTTCAAAAATTAATTTAGATTTATTCTGCTTTTTATGAGTCCGAAATTTTTTTTATTTTGTAAAAATTCTTGTAAATTGGGCGTTATTGCTGCTCAGTATGAATCGCCCCATTGACAAGAATTCCCGAAAATAAAAATGTTGGCAAACTCGTCAAAATAAATGAAAGCCATACATATATGGGGTGGTATAATTATTTTTGAAAAACGGAGGTTCCGTGGAATATCATATATGATTGGTATATGTAGGTCGTGTATAACCATGCACTTCTCAGTGAAACGATGTATGCTTTTTTTGGATGAGTCGTCTAGCTTTTTCTTTAAATGAAGAACCGTTCTGTAAATTATACTTATTATTATTGACTTGAGGTTGGTCTGGTCTGAAGAAAAACATAATTTGCGCATATATTCTGGGAAACTACAGAATATAATATCTTATTCTTTTTAGCGTTTGATATAGGAATTTTTTAAATGAAACTCCCTGATTTATTTTTCTAGAGAAGCCTGAAACTTAAGTGTTTTTCATTCGGATATTTCGCAATTGGGTTGAGTTGGAGAGCAAACAGCAGCCATTCAATTCAACATAATGCATGTGAAATGTGGGATAACTCTGAATATGTATAGGTATTACCATATAATATCTACTATTTCTACCGAGATTAAAGTTTTGTATTTTTTTGATATTTTATTGTTCCATTGTATTATGTGTATGTGTAACCTATTTCTGTAAGTATTTCAACCTATTTTCGAGATCTGAAATCATAATTAACAGGTAGAATATTTGAAAAATAAGGCCCCCAAAGTAGAAAAACGTCTGTACACAGGTACTTAATAAAAACTTGGCAGCACTGGTTGACGCACAGGACTTGTGTGACACACTGGTGACAATTTAGTGACACACTGGTGACAATGATCCTGTGGTTTTGCTGTCACTGGGGCTATTTTACTCACAGAACTCATATGTTGTAAGTAATATGAGTTCTGTGATTTTACTTGATAGAATGATAGAAATAAGTCTTGACACTTGACAGTGACATTGTGTTCTCCACATGTCTTTTCTCTGTTCTGTGAATTATAAACATCTCAGTTGGGTTTTTGAAATTTTTTGGTCGCTTTTAGTTACTTTGTTACTTTAGTGAAGACAGTGAAGTTGTAAACTCAAATCCTCAAAGATCAATTCTAAGGTTCCCAATTATTAGGAATAAATATGGGCGAAGGAGAATATGAAGTTATGGAACCGTCTAAGAAGCGTCGACACAGAAAAAAGCATCTGTATAGTTTGATCTTACAACAAATGGAATTTTATTTCAGTGACTCAAACCTATCCAAAGACAGATTTTTGTCACAACTTCTTAAAAATGACCCCTGTGAGATAAGCGAATTTTGTTGTAAGTGTAGTAGAATTCAAAAGTTTCATTTACAGATATTGACTTGGAAGTGTTCTTGACATTCAATAAAATCAAAAGACTAAACTGTACCCCAGATGATATTCGGAAAGCAATAAGTAAATCTGAACTTGTAGAATTATCAGATGACAAAGAAAAAGTTCGCCGTAAAATACCACTTAAAGTCAAAGAAAATGTTGAAGAATGCACCATTTATGTTGAGAATATAAAAACAGATGCAAATCATGATTGGATCACTCAATTATTCTCTGATTTTGGAAAGGTTGTCTATGTATCTATACCAAAATATAAAAACAGCAAAGGTAACAAAGGTTTTGCATTTGTGGAATTTGATAGTGAGAAAGATGCACAAAATGCCTTGTCTTTTTTTGAGAAAATTGGTTGCAAAATGCCTTCAGAGACCAGTCCTGAAGAACTAAAGAGCATAAAAACTTTTGATGAGACTATGGCTGGAATTGATTCATTAGAAAAAACAAACAAGAGAAAACTCACTGATGAAGATGATGAATTACATAAGAAATTGAAAACTGAGGACAATGAAAGCAACATTGAGAAATCCTCAATAGCAATAGATAATGTGGTAGTTGATCAAGATAATGTTGAAAAAACAGTTCAGAATGAGGTGATTGAAACTGAAGACATGGAAAATAGAAAGAAAAAAAAACACAAAAGAGACAAAAAGAAAAATTATATAAAAGAATTGGGTCTACAGGTTTTATCAAAGTAAGTTTTCTGATGAAACATGAACCCAGTAAAACATTCTGTATCATACTGATACTGCTATGATTTTAGGCAGGAATGGAAAAAAATGAGAAATCGATACTTGGATTTGCAAAGGAAGAAAATGAAGGAATTCAAAACCCATCTGAATAGGCAAAGGTTCAGTCAGAAAAACTATGATAGGCAGAAACTAAACAAAGAAGATAGTTCACAGCCTTCTGATGAAACCCCAAAAGAAGATGTTGCCAAACTAGAATTTGTTCCTGGAGTCATAATAAAGATGATTCTAAATGAACCTTACATGGATTCCAAGAAATTGAAGGTAAATTATAATGTAATTGTATTTTGAAATTCTACTTGGTTTATTAGTTTTTCAATTCCTTATTCCTTGTCTTATCACATTATGTTTTGGTTCAAAATATTTTCAATGAAGTTTTTTTTTATGAATTCCAGAATGATATAAAATCTTTTTCTGCTGAAGTGAAATTTGTTGACATCCCACTGCCTTCTGACAGTAATGAAGTGTTTGTGAGATTTTCCACTCATGAAAGCGCCAGAGAGTTCTGTAGTAAGGAGTTTATGGGAGAAAAGAGTATTTTGGAAGGTAAAAATGCTGTTGAAATAATTTGCATTTAATAATTTTTCAGCATCAACTTACATTCCAAATTGTTTATTTTGATTTCTGAAGGAATAAAACTGTTCCACATATATTTAACACATTGATTGCCAAGCCCATATCTGGAGTTTATCCCACGGGGCCAAAGGTACATTTTAGTTCCATTCATGAATTTTCACTTCCAAAAATCAAGTTTGACCCTTAAAAGTCATTATTGATTTTTTTTTCATCCATTTTGTTTGTTTTTCGATGTCATTCATATATGAATGACGTGGCCTCCCATGTTAGCCTAAAGAGTTATTTCACCACGCTGGGCCACGTCATTCAAATATGTATGACGAATATGATGATTGTTTTTTTTCTACTAGCGTGCGAAAAAAAAACACTTTTCCGCACCCATTTCAGTGTTGAAAGAGTCATTGTTCCGCACTAGTGCGGAAAAAACTCTCCACAGTGAAATGAGTGCGGAAAAGAGGAATTTATTTTTCCGCACGCTAGTAGAAAAAATAGTGTACCTAACACATGCGGAATAGTATCACTTTCCGCACTTGTTAGGTAAACTACTATTTTTCATTATTATGTAATATTAGTTTTACTGTTTTTACGATGAATGAACCTTTTCATATATGATTTTTGTATTTTATTGTCTTGCATCACGATCTATCAAAATTTGCTCTGGCCAAATATGCCTGTGACTTCCTTGGAGGCCACACATTCATATCCCCATCTGAATTGCATTGGCTATCATTCATATTCGTATGACACGGCCTCACAACAAAAATATGTCGTCATACATATATGTATGACGCGGCCTAAACGGAAGTGGTAGTGTCATTCACATATGTATGACGTGGCAATCAATGTGTTAATATGAATTTCTGTTTATTTGTAGGTGAAGAAGAGTCATTATACTGGGAAAAAGTACAGAATGACAGGAGTGTAAAGTTTGCTAAGAATGTCAAAAAGCAACGGGGAAGAGATAAATTGCTGAAAAAGGCAGAAAAGGAAAGAGCAAACCATATTAAGTTTGAGGAAGGAGAAAATTAGCAATTTTTTGTAAGGCTAGTATAAGACAGAAGAATCAGTATGTGTTTGAAGTATCAGTAAGTGAATTAAAATTAACTATTTTCATGGATTTCTTATTGACTATTTCCTCATAGGCATTGTTAATTGTATTAATTTCTATGCCTTCTACAAATATAAGATAATATGCTATTGAAAATTAAGGTTTCCTTAATGAAGCCAAGACAAAAACTAATGGAAAACATTGCCAAAAATTACTAAAAAAACTTGCTTGAGTGTATTTAAATCAAGTTATTGACTTTCTCAATATATTGAATTTTATGGTCACATTTCTTGTGCCATTTTGATTAATATGTAAGAATCATATCTGGGTTTGATATATATATATTTCTAGTTTCAAAATAAAACAAATTAGTAAAATAATTATTTAAAAAAATGTTTATTCATTGCATGTGTTTTGTCCATCAATATTTATATATAAATGCAATAATCATCAGAATAAAATGATATATACTCCAACTGTCACAAAACAATGAGGGACTCAGAAACAAAACAAAATAAACGCCCACAGTCCAAAAAAACTTCACAATTAAACTACCAGTTCTTGACTCCCCCCTCGCTGTTCCTCTTAAATCCCCTGTCCCTATTAAAACCTCCTCCGCCCCCACCGCTGTCCCTATTATAACCGCCGCCTCCGCCACTGTTCCTATTGAAACCGCCCCCTCTGCCGCCCCCGCCTCGGCCTCCGAAACCGCCTCTGCCGCCACCGCCTCCCCTACCACCGCCTCCTCTGCCACCACCTCCTCTGCCGCCTCCAAAGCCGCCCCTGGCACCGCCCGGGCCGCCCCTGCCCCCGCGGCCCCTACTACCGCCCCTTTTCTCGTTGCCCGGCAGGAAGCGCTGGAGGGGGAGGAGTTTCGTTGGGTCTATGAAGAGCTGCAAAATAATGATTGAATGATATTTGGATTTGCCAAAATTCAGATTTAGTTGAAGTTGGGATAGTATGATAATTATTGGGATATTAAAATGTTATGTAAATAGAAAGGGTGTATCATTTTTTTGTTTCACCACTTGCTATAAAACCTACCATTATTTTTTGCTTTTCAAGACGTGAAGTCTGTTTACTACCTACAAAAGTAGTTTTTGTCATTTTATGAACCACCAATGAAGGCCTGGAAGGGACACGTAAAATAAAAAAACTTAACTCTTCAAAATTCTGAGTTTCAACTCGGAATTTTAAAATTCCGACATATCTCGGAATTTTACATCCAAAATTCCGAGTTTTAACTCAGTATTTTAAAATTCCGTGTTATAACTCGGAATTTTACATCAAAGTTCCGACTTATTGCTCGGAATTTTAAAATTCTGAGTTATAACTCGGAATATTGGATGTGAAATTCCGAGTTATAACTCAGAATTTAGAAGTTTTATATTTATGTGTCCCTTCCAGGGCTTCGTAACCGCCGGTTATCACCGGTCAATAAGACATAGCCACCATTATAATTAACCATAATTCACTGTTCCTATGCGACGTTCGGAACCTAATAGCTATGTACTATTTCTATATATGGCTCATCGTCTATACGATATCTCAACAAAAATGGGACCAAAATGCTCGGTACTTTTTGAATCTATAAGGACGGAAAGTGAAGGATGGAAACAGCCATACTGGTTTGACAATTTTCGTATTATTTTTTCCCTACGTCGGCATCAACGACTATTGGTCGATTTCGTTATCTATAGAGACAGAAGTTGGTCCCACTTTGAAAACAGCTATGATTCATATATGATAACGACTTGTCATATTATGCTGATAAGGCTGGTGATAAGGTCATGGCTACTAGATATTAATTAGAATTGAAAAGTACTTTTATAGTGAGGCAATAGGTTCATATTTCAGTTGGATAGAACTAATATAATTAAAAATGTATTGCTAGTGGTGATAAAAATCGATATACCTACACCTTGGTAGTAAAGAATATTAGGTAATTTTTTACTTAGAGGGCATTGTCGAATTTTTTCAAAATTTTTGCCAGTACTTACGTATTTTGGGGTGTAGAATACGAATCTGAAAACCAAAAAGCTGGGAAACCAATACTTTTCGAGATATTTGCAAAACAAAATCTTTATCATCACTGTTTTGCTGTTGTTTGGCGGCTCATCACTGGCAATAGGTACTGGCATGTCTGGTGTATACGCACTCCGTGCATATGTTAATGGGAAATAAATTACCAAATTTAGGGTATTTTCTTTGAAAAATTAATGGATATTGCAAAAACTTAATACTGTTAGTTATTTTCCTAGCACCTATTCACAAAAAAATAACAACTATGACAGCTAACAGCACCAAAAAAATCAATGTCAATTGTTTGATCAACAAACAACAAAGAAAGATGATGGCAATGTTGCCATAGCTCGTCCGTTTAACGCTTATTTTCTTTCTAGACGATTCTCAGAAATAAACATGAAATAAATTAAGTTAAATTAATTTAAATTTAATTTCTATACATAGTTTTAGTGTGATTAAAAAAATTGAAAATTCTTTCATTGAATGGAATAGAAAACAATATAGGGAGGGTATTCCAACCATATTCTTTCCAATGTGTGTTTGAAAAATGAGATCTACTTAACCCGAACAAACTAACCTAACTATAGAGCTCGGATTACGATAGACGTTGCGGTTACGATAGACGCTGCGGTTACGATAAACGCTGCGGTTGCGATAAACGCTGCGGTTCCGATAGACGCTGCGGTTACGTTATCCGAGCTCTATAGTAACCGCGGTTCTATCGTAACCGCAACGTCTATCGTAATCCGAGCTCTATAGTTAGGTTAGTTTGTTCGGGTTAAGTAGATCTCATTTTTCAAACACACATTGGAAAGAATATGGTTGGAATACCCTCCCTATATTGTTTTCTATTCCTATTACGGGAAAAAACAAGATCTGGCAACATTGCTTGTTATTGTCTGTCAATTTATCATGTCTGTCAAGTGTCACGTTCACGTTTGATGCATCTTTTAATCATAAAAAAACACATACATAAAATTAACAAGGTAAATAGCAAATGAAATGCTTTCATTGTTAAAATACCCAAATAAAATGAATTGAGAAATACATAATTCATCAATCAACAACGAAAGAAAGAAGATAGAGAATTATACCGCTTGAGGAATGTTGCTAAAAGACGCTGAAAAATGATGAACAAAATGACTTATTTTGCAAATATCTCGAAAAGTATTGGTTTCCCAGCTTTTTGGTTTTCAGATTCGTATTCTACACCCCAAAATACGTAAGTACTGGCAAAAATTTTGAAAAAATTCGACAATGCCCTCTAAGTAAAAAATTACCGAATATTATTTGTATTCCTGGGTTGAAGCCTCTGGATATAATCTAGATTACTGGGTGTATAAATAACTATTTCCGTGGACCTCCTATTATCCAGTATGTTCAATGTTCATGAAATTGTCGATAACAGTTTGGCCTTTCCAATTTTCTGAAACGGTTTTAATCCATTTTCTAACAAAAGGAATTTATTTTCCATGTTGATTATTCCACAAATGTCAAATGTCACTAATGTCCGTGACAAGTTCGGCGTCTCGCAGTAGGAATGTAGAGGTTATGAGTGTGGTTGTTTTATCATTTGTACATTGAATTTTTCAAATAGAACTGGGCCCTAAACGGAAATATCATTGAAACTAGGAATAACTGTGACTACATTAAAATGCTACTATCTTTCCTCTACTGCCATCAGGTCAGAACATGATGAAGCTAACACCTATGTTACGGTCCTGGTCCGAGACGCTCGTGACTTTCAGGGCTACTGGGCGACAGTGTTGCCATCTTGTGGTTGAGTTTTCGCTTTGTGACAAAATATAGCATCTAGTGCATTAATTTTGGTGAATTTTTTCAAATAAATGATGAAATCTGGTGGTCCAGGACCTGGTGATTTTTTTTCTATTCCATCAAATTTGGTGTTTTTCAGATGGACATTTTTGGTCTTTTGGAAGTCTGAGTTGGCAACACTGCTGAGCTATTGTTGCTTGTTTGTAGTTTCCAGATGAATGATGTATTCAGGAACAAAGCTTTCTTCATTACAGGAGAAAAGTTGATGAAAAACATTTGCAACCAACTCAATATGGTTATTAATGATCTTGAACATTAATGCACTTGCTTTGCTTGTATATTACCAAACTATTAAAAAATTCAACAATAAATTTTTTGCATGAAACAAAAAGATCCAGACCCATAGTTTTTGAAAAATGAATTCAGTTTCCATGATAAATGAGATTGAGCAATTCCAAAAACAACTTTTCAATTCTGCTTTGTCCATGCTGAAATATAATAATGATTTATTTTAACAAGATTATATTAAAATTTGAAAAAATCCACTCTACACCTCTGTGAATTCATGACATTATTGTACACCCCATCAAATCTACAAAATCTGAGTTACCCATGGCACTATTGAAGAAAGTTCCTATTCTCCTAAATAATTATTTACCTTTTGATTTATCTGAAAACTGCTTGCTTTCATATCATCCCCTAGTCTTACTGTCACCCAGTAATTCCTCACTGGTCCATAAATCTCATCAATCTTCCCAATTTGTTCCATATTTTCCAAATAAATGGGTGCATTGAAATAGGGTACATCCTCAATTTCCACCTTGCATATCAACTCATCCTGAACAACCTTTTCAAAAAATCCTAGAGGAATCACTCTTTCAGGAGGGCCCTGGTCAAAGTTACGTCCTCCACCTCCACCTAAAGGAATAATAATTCATATTAGTTTATAGACAGAGGGAAAACTAGTTGTATAACATTGATTTACCTCTTCCACCCCGGCCTCCAAAACCTCCACCACGTCCTCCTCCTCCAAAGCCACCCCCGCGACCCCCAAAACTGCCTCCACGGCCTCTATTGCCACCTCCGAAACCTCTACCACCTCGAAAAGACATCCTAAAACAAGTTTTAACGTTGATTTTCGTAATTAATTAGTGTTCCGCATGTTTAGCTAGAAACTTAACCTCAAATTTAAAGCACGAGTTATGTACTAGTGAGGAGTCACTAGTGTTGTTTTTGTTGAAATGACAATTTTTTTCTCTGTTTTCGAAACAGGATCACGAAATTTTTGTTCCTATTGATTAATTATTAGAATAATATAAAATGTTTTTAAATTTTGAAACATCAAACATAACCCCAATAATTATTCTTCTTTTCTTTTTTCTTCAATTTGACAATTTGCTCTTAATTCTTACTCTTGTTTCAGCATCAGGGATCAGGCTTCAGTGGTAATTAGCCATTAAGGCCATTTGTGAAATTGCACCATTCTGCCCAATGGAAAATACCAAGATCGTTTTGGTTGTTTCTTGTTCCCTCGATTGTTTTGGTTTTTTCGGTTTTCGGTTATGTCCGGGAAGCCCCTCCTTGTGTTTCGTATAATAGTGATCCATAATAGTGATTGATTTCCTCTGTGATTCACATGAATGCTTTTGTACATTGAGAAAAGGTAAAAATAGCAAACATTCAGGAATGAAAGATTAAAGATTATTGTGTATGTACGCCGGTTGAAACCAGGGAGAATTATAATATATAATATAATATATATTTTTTTAATGGGTAGTGTTCCCGAGGAAAAATGTCGAATCCATCTACATCTGGGCAGAATGGAAGGTTTGGTAGTGGTCGTTTGACCCCCCATTCTCGAAGAACGAGGGGCCAACGAGGTAATTAATTCAGCTCAAATGTTTTCAACATTATTATCTATATATTAAGCTGGATTTATGCACGACGCTTTTTCGTTACTCTTTCATTTCATAATCATCAACGTTTTCACTAACTTGTTGAAACATTGGTTAACAATATAACCATTTATACATCAAATTTGTCATTAATCTTTCATTAACTATTCGCTAAAAGATGACCAACTTTTATCTCTTAACGACAAATACAAATAAAACTGACTTGCGCAGGCGCGATTCTGTCAGAAGTCAGACAAACAATTTCTTCCTCTTCTTTTGCCAAAATGTGTTTGAAAATTCTGAAAATTCTAGTCGTATGTTCAAATTAGACTTTGAAAACAATATGAATGATTGATTTTTATTGTAATTATGTGATCACTGAAGGTTCTAACACAAATATTTTCATCGGGCTATGTACGATGACGACTATGTTTTGACCAAGAAGAAGACATCAAAATTTAAAAGTGGTGGTGCATAAAGGTATCATAGTCCTTAAATGAAAATAAACTTAATGACAATTAATGAAAGCAACAGATAAATGAAAAAGCGTTGTGCATAAATCCACCTTTACTCATTTTCATTTGCATCTATAGTTAAGATATTGTTATTAGTTAGCAAGTAGATGGTTTATTCTGCGGTTGTATGATGACTTGTATAGTTCACTATATCTTATACTTCCTTTGGCTCAAAGATTTTATGTAAATTGTAAGATGTACAAACTTTACTATACTCTTCAGGCAACTGGAGGAGAGATAAGACAGATTCTCGAAAGAATAAAGATGATGAAACATCAAATGCCAGTTCTTCTTTTGGTGGATTTCCTAGAGGTCAAAGTCAATCTGAAGAAAGTTTCAATATTAACACCAGAAATCATAGGAGAGCTCCACACCATCATGGTGAGAGAAAAGCTGTAAGACAAATGGGATTCAAATACCTCCAAGATTTATTGAGAAATGAGGATCTTGAACAAGTCATATTCAGTTTGAACAATGACAAGAGAGGCTTCAAAGAGTTATTGGAGAGCAGGGAGATTTCCAATGATATGATTGTGATGTTGGTGAAGCTTCAATGCAAGATGACTGTACCTTTCCTGAATTGAAATTGGCACTGTTTGAGCTGGCCCTGAGAACTAGCTTCATAGATAGTATTGTCAAGTTTGTATCTACTGTGGTACTTCAAGTAAGTTTTTGTAAACTTTTGAATCTTATTTCTCATAAAGGACTTAATAAATAATGATCTAATTTACAATTAAACTATTGTATGTTGTTTCTTGTTTCTTAAATGAACTCATCAGGGATGGTATTTAGACTGTATTGTATAATAATAATTTGATAATAATGTATATATTCCAGCAATTTTCATGTAAAAAATACAGGGTAATAGTGAAAAATATCAGAAGGTGAAAATATGCAGGGAATATAACAAATCGCAATAAATACACTATTATTGATTGAAACATTCTCATCTACACATATACCCATAGATATACACTTATTTACACACTATTTACACATTATTAAGCAAATACATAAGCTTAGGGGTGTATAATTTGCTGACCAAAATTAATGTACATACATGCTGACCCAGTATTTCTGATTCAAATTTTTTCTTCAAATTGCACATTTGAATAGAATATATAGATTACACCCAGTGGAATTACTTAGATCTGCCCCTTCAGAGGGGTAGTTTATTCTTGCTTTTGAAGATATATGTATACTGATGCCACCAGTGGAATAATTCTGATAGTCAGAAGGATAGATTATACCTGCTGTTTTTAAAAATTCAATCTGATGTGAGATAATTCCCATCAACCCCTTCAGAGGGGTAGTTTATTCTGGCTGTTTCTCAAGAATCCTTGCTGACCAGTCATTTCTAGTTTGTATTATTTCTTAAAATTGAATATTTGAATATAATATATAGATATATAGATGTCACTAGTGAAATTATTCCAATTCACCCCTTCAAAGGGGTTCTTTATTCCAGCTGTTTTTGAAAAATCCTTGCTGACCAAGTATTTCTGGTTGGTATTTTCTTATCAACTCACATGCTCTAATATTGTATAAGGATATATATGTACATAGATGGAATAATCCCTATCAACCCTTTCAGAGGGGTAGTTTATACATACAGTTTTCAACAAATCCTTGCTGACCCAGCATTTCTGGTTTGTATTTTTCCTTCAAATTGCATATTTGAATATTTTTTATAGATATATATATATAGATGCCAGCAGTAAAATAATTTTGATAGGCCCCTTCAGAAGGGGTCATTTATTCTAGCTGTTTTTCATGAATCTGCCGACGGAGCATTTCTAGTTTGTATTTTTACTTTGAATTGCATATTTGAATATTTTATAGAGATATATATAGATGCCACCAATAAAATAGTTTTGATCAACCTCTTCAGAGGGGTTGTTTATTCTTGCTGTTATCTCTATTAAAAATTCATATATTTAATTGGAAGAAATAATACCCACCGGAAATGCTTGGTCAGCAAGGATTTTTGAAAAACAGCAGGTATAAACTACCCCTCTTAAGGGGTTGATCAGAATTGTTATTTTTAGGAAAAATACAAACCAGAAATGCTCTGTTAGCAAAGATTATTGAAAAACAACAGGTATAAACAACCCCTCTGAAGGGGGAAATTATTTCACTGGTGGCATCTATATATCTCTATAAAAAATTCAAATATTTAGTTGGAAGAAATAATGCCCACCAGAAAGGCTTGGTCAGCAATATTCAAATATGCAATTTGAAGGAAAAATACTAACCAGAAATGCTCCATCAGCAAAGATTATTGAAAAACAGCAGGTATAAACTGCATTCTGTATGTGATCCACTAGAGCATTATAGCATTATATTATATATAAAATATATATATTATATTATAAAATAAATTTATGAATTGTCACCCGTTGCTGTAAGCAACATAATCAAGAAGCCTTATTCTAATTGGTAGAAAATAAATTTGTGAAATTTTCACTGCAATGACCACATAAACTTAGTGCATAACATATTTTTCAAAGTTTGCTGCAGACAATATTGCCAATGTGAATTCCATGAATGTTTTGAGTCAAAAAGAATTTTGATAGATTTAGAAGAAGACATGACGTCATCCGTATTCTCAAACAATAAAAGCTGGTGGTGTTTCCAACTATTTACTTACACCAAATAATAAACATTTGTCTTATCATGTCTTATTAATTATTAGAGGGTTTTTGTCTGACCATGCTATCACTCTTCTCAGCTAATGTTCCTAACGGTAATATATATTCTTTTCTATAATTAAAATGTTTGTGGCATCTACATAACATGTTGTAATAATTTCATTGTGTTCATTCAAGCAGAATACTAGAAATAGGAGGGGGGCTAATATTGATCCTTATTATTATAACACCGATTATAACAGGTTCATAAATTTTCAATATCTGTAATGGGTATCAGAGAATGTTGGGGTAATGTTTTATCTTACCATAATAACATTCCTATCTTATAGAGCTTTGTTCTCTCCTTAGTTGAATTTTTCATAATATAGGTACTATCTGAAGTAAAAAAGGGTTTGCCTTTGCAAAAGATAATATTTATGGCCTATATAAGTATTTAAGATAATTCTTTGATAATTTGCTGGATTGGCATTTCCGTCTGAATGCCGACTGATATGTTTCATTACTATATTACAGAGTGAACGTGAGAAGAAACGTAACGCCTTATTTTGGAATGGAATTGACGAATTTTTGAAGAACTTGCTCAAAATTTCTGTAAATTATCATGATATGATCCCAACTACTTCCTGTGAAGAAATTTTGAAGCTTTTAAAAGCTGCAAAATTGAGTATCCCTGTGATTTTGAATAATCATAAAGGTGTACATATTTCTGATGAAGTTAAAGTTGCCGTAGAAAAAATGTACGAGTTGGTAGAGGCAACATCTGCCGAAATAGAGAAGAAATTAGAAATAGAGAAGGTGAGAAGGGAGAACGGCGAAGAGGAACCTCCTAACGATTTTAGAGATATCAGCGTTTATCCAAGTCCCATGGAGGTTACCCTTCCAGATTCTCCCTTTCTGAGGCCAAATGTCACTAAAGGTCCTTATCAGAACGTCAATCACTATTTGGATGTGCAATTTCGGTTGCTCAGGGAAGATTTTGTAGCCCCTTTGAGAAAAGGAATCTGCAAGTAAGTAGCTATATATGCAGGGTCCTACCGAAGAATATATGAGGTGTTTTTGAAATAAGTACACATATGGGGAAAAAATCTAGTGAGCAGTAGTATCTGGTCTGCTCAAACAATGGAAATCACCTACAGGTTTCTGTGGCCGATACCGTAGTGCCGCCATACGGTCAACTCGAGGAAACACTCATTTCAATTGTTTTCCTGTCAAACCTACATAACCTTGAAAATCGTAAACGAGTTGAGCAGCTCCCTCAGCGGTGCTCTCGACATTCTCGGCCTGCCGCGTAGTTTGTTATTCAGTATCACGAAAATACAATAGTCTCCAATTGCGTAACGTTCAGCACCTAAATTAAATGGAAGGTAGAATGAATAGTATGGATTTTAAACTTTTGATAACACTCAATATCGAATGAATTCACTAATGTTGCAGAAGAATATCACTTGGAAATCTATAAATGGAGACGGTTTCACACTTTCTGGTAGGCACAATTGAGAGACAGAGTTTGTAACAAATTATCAATCAGAATAAACTATAATGCTGGGAGCAAAATACAAAACTATATTTATAAATGAAGGAATATTAGAACAATGAGAATTGAAGAAGAAAGATTTTTTTCAAGAAAAATACAATACAAGTCACGATGGCACGACGGCTCTTGACACTGACAACTTACATAAGTTACATAACCACAAATTTCGAAAATTTTCTAGAAAAAGCGAAGATCATTTTGTTCGATACGGTAACATCCTCTGGTGGTCATACACTCAACTGAGCTATAGAGCAGACCAGTAACTACAGCTCACTAGATTTTTTTCTCCATATTTAGCAGACAATGATCCAGTCTAATGAATATTCCCATGATATCAGATTTTTTCTTATTCTTCTATTCTATATCTATATTCTTCGTGATTGTGCCTTCCGCACGGAGATTTGAACAGAGGTGACGTCAGAATTGCGGTGTTAAACTTTGTGTGGAAAAAGAGGTCTAACCCCTAATTTCATTTTGATCCCTATACAGGGTGTTTCATTACTAATTGGAAATATTTCAACCATAGAATACCGAACTCAAAATATAAAGATTTAACTCAAATCACCTAGATGAAATATGTCTCCTGTCTAAGTTACAGGGTGTTTTATTCAAAAATTTTTGAATGTTTTTGGCTCAGTTCTTCAAAACTATTTGACGTATCACTTTCATGTTTGGAAGGAAGTGTAGGTATTATACATCCAACTGAATTATGTGAAATGAACTCTTCTAGCTATTACCAGAGGCGTGCGACAGGGGCAATAAGTAACTGGTTGATCCTTCCCAAATTCTACGCCACTGGCGGAATTTCAATTTTATCAGAATTTTTCGATTCTTCAATACCTTCTTCGTAAATATTGTACTCTGTCTTCATAGCGATAAAGTCATTATTTTTCGAGATATTTCAAGATAAACATGAAGCAGCACAATTATTTTGATTTTAATGTGTATTAATAATGTCGATATTTTGGATCAATGGAATGCATTCATCAATCAAATGAAACTTCAATCCATATCAACATAAAAACATAACAGACGGGAGCTGTTACAAGGCGTTTTAAATTTTTTAATATACCTTTACATAATCAAACACCCTGTAACAGCTCCTGTCTGTTATGTAATTATGTTTTTATTGTTAATATGGATTGAAGTTTCATTTTATTGATGAATACAACCCATTCATCCAAAATATTGACAAAATTAATGCACATTGAAATCAAAATGATTGTGCAGATTTATATTTAACTTGAAATATCTCGAAAAATAATGACTTTATCGCCATGGAGAAGGAGTACAATATCTACGTCAAAATATTGTTGGAGAATCGAAAATTTGTGATAGAATTGCAATTCCGCCAGTGGCGTAGAATTTGGGAGGGATCAACCAGTTAATTGCTCCTGTCGTACGCCTCTGGTAATAGCTAGAAAAGTTCATTTCACATAATTCAGTTGAGTGTATAATACCTACACTTCCCTCCAAATATGAAAGTGATACGTCAAATAGTTTTGAAGAATTGGGCAAAAAACATTTCAAAATTTTTGAATAAAACACCCTGTAACTCAGACAGGAGACATTTTATCTAGGTGATTTGAGATAAATCTTCATATTTTGAGTTCGGGATTCTATGGTTGAAATATCTCCAATTAGTAATGAAACACCCTGCATTTTTCTTATTGATACCATTCCATCCATGGAGCTTTCTCAGGGTTTGAAATATTTGCACTTATTTCAATGCCACCCGTATATTCAAAGGATCATATTGTTCTACAAACTCTGTTTATTGAGTCTCATAGTGTTTCATTTTTCATGTTCTTCTGAATACACTAAATTTCATATATTTTATTCTTGTGAACAACTAACATGCAGAGGGCAAATAATTTCATTTTCTAGAATAATAAGCCTATATAATTTTTCTCTCTACAGTCTGCATGAAAATTTGCACTTTTTGTTGCAGTAAGTAGCAATTCCAATTTCCATCTAATTTCCATTCTGGATACATATTTATTTTGAGTGCATTTCATTATTGTAGGTATAGGAAAAACCCCAAGGAAAGATTGGAAAACATAAAAATATACAATCACATCAAATTCCTAGAACAGGAAACAGTTACTGAACAAAACTGCTACAGAATCCAATATGATTTCAGCAAAAAAAAACGTACTTATGTGTATGAAAACTCCAGGTAAGGTTGTCAGCTTTTTATCTTTTATTATTTTGACCCCATCCATCGAAAACTGTCTAATTTCAGGAGGTTCATATTTGGTGCTTTACTTTGTTTTACACATGACAATTTCCAGACGGTTTTGTTCGGAAAGGTGGTGAAGCGGGACGTGAAAGATTGTCTGGAAAAAGGACAGCTCATTGTAGGGTTCAATGCTGATGTCGCTTTACCACCGGATTTGTTTCAACTCAACTATTTAATGTTGGAAAGTACCGTGTTTTTCGAACCTTATTATCAGGTTAGTCTTGAGTAATAAACTATTCTTTTGAAAACGTTGATGTAATAGATAACTATCATTTTTCTTTCAGAAATGTTTGAATACATTAATTTAACTTGATATATTTCCTTGAAATAGAATAGCTACCAACACCGAAAAAATTGTAGGGGTTTCAAATGGTGTTTTTGTTGACGCGTCACAGCATCTATCTATATACGATATAAAAATGAATGTTTGTCTGTATGTCCTTTATAGAATCGTAAAACGGCTTGACTGATTTTACTAATTCTATTTTTCGTTTGTTTGTTAATGTCAGGAGAAGGTTCTTATGAGAGAAAAAATTAAGAAATTCAAGATGGCGGATCCAATATGGTGGGCGAGTTTTGTAATTATAATCTGATTTTATTCAAAACTGGAATCTGGGGGTTTTTGGGGTCGGAGATCATGATAATTTTGTCAAAATTGGGAAAATCAAGATGGCGGATCCAATATGGTGGATGACTTTTGTAATTATATCTCGATTCTATTCAAAATTTGTATCTTGGGGGTTTTTAAGGTCGGAGATTATGATTCTTTCCTCAAAATTTGAAAATTCAAGATGAAGTATCCAATATCACAAACGGTTTTTGTAATTATGATCCGATTCTGTTCAAAATTGGTATCTGGGGGTATTCGGGTTCCGAGATTAAGATTCTTTCGTCGAATTTTGGGAATTCAAGATGGCAGATCCAATATACGGCATATGAGTTTATTGATGATCATGATCCGATTCTATTTAAAATTGGTATCTGAAGGTTTTCGGGGTCGGAGTACTCACTTTTTGCCCACGGGAAAAAAGTAATTTATGAAAAGTGACATTTTATAACCTGCCAACAGAGATGAAATGCCAAAATTTTTTCCCGTCACAGAAAAAAAATATAAATAGTAGTTTGAAAAACTAAGAAAATGCTTTTTTCTGCAACTGACACAAAAGTCGTCCATTTTGATACCAAAATCAGCTCTTTAATTGACGTTTCTATTACTGACACAAAACTAGGTATTTTGCCAGGCAACATATATTTAGTTCCTAGGAGCTAAAGTTGATTTTTAGTTCCTAGGAGCTAAAGTTCAACTTTAGCTCCTAGGAACTAAAAAGGATTTACTGGACGTCATCAAGAATAAACAAAATTGTGACGGTTGGTTATTTGGGTTAAGACGCATACCTGATTTGTTTCCGATTTCGACAGATTCGGCATTTCATACCCATGCTGGAGATATAAATACACCTTATTATAGTTTAGAATTGGAATTATAAACATATCTCAGTTAAGTATTTTTGTTTTGATCAGGGAAGCCTTCAAGATTCAAATACTTGCTGAATCTGTATTTCATTCCTTATTTCTCGGGATGGATAACTTGTTATTGAATAATCATGGCAAGCAATAGTTTTTTTGTCTCAAACAACGATATTGTTTAGTTTCATTTGATTATCAAGTCAAACACAGTGAAGTATGGAGAGAAATAAATAATCGCTATTATTGTAGTTGTTCCTATACCTGGCACTGGCGCGGTATTTGCAGAGCACCTGTTCCATACACAAATATGTCACTCTGTGGTTGTATTTATATTGAAACTACAATTCGAACATCCCTGAAAATTGAATAAACCTGCTATTAATGCAGGTAGAATATTCTCCCCACACGGATTATTTGTCAATATTTGTTGCATTGCGTACATATGGCACGGCATTGGTGGTTACTTCATATATTTATTTGAGTTAATTGTTTCGGTTGCAGAAAAAATAGCATGTTTCATTCGGATCAAAAGTGACTTTTGATCCTAATAAAACAATCTACTATTATGGTTAGTCAAACTAAACAGATGTGGAAAAGCAAATAATATAAGTTGTTCTTAAATATTCAACTGACAATATAATTCATGTATGAAGAATCTCACAAGCTTTTCCAACCAGCCATAAACAAATGTTTGATGAATTAAACTGTCTTACCGAGTTACACTAGCTTTTTTTTAGTGAAAGTAAACTTGGCATTTATAATTCGAATTTTGTTTCCTCTATTTATTTATTTATTGAAAATGTTACTTACTAGGTAATTCAACTCAAATAACTGCCAGAAAAAATTACTCGTCCTAACGGCCTCGTAATTTTTTCAAAGGCAGGTTTTTCGTCAAATTGCCAGGCAACAAAATTCTTATTGATACACAACTTCGACAAAAAAAAGCTCTTGTGTAATTAAAAGTGAAATATATTTTATAGAAATAATGTACATAGCAAAACAACGTTGGCTGGGTCAGCTATAATCAATGAAAAGACTCGAAATAAATTCAATAAATGTGTATACTTTATTGCCTCCAAATTTATTTTAGTTAGTAGCATAGCAAAAAGCGCAGGTTACAGCTATAGTATCTTATGAAAACGGCGTGATCTGTTTCAATTCAAATTGTATTCACGTTTTTGTGTTCTTGTCTATTGGATATTCCCAATTCCAACAGGTACTGAATGTTTTGAAAACCATGCGCCCCGAGGCTTTCCCAATGGAGCGCTACATCATTCGAGTGGAAACACAAACTGCTCCGCCCGACTATCTCCTCAAAGGCGGCCCTCAAATGTATACCATAGAATCCGAAACTTTCTGTCCGCTCGACTGGGGCGAAAAGAGATTCTACGGTTTGAACGACGCTCAAAGTGAGGCTTTCCGCGCAGCCCTGACCAAGGAGTTCGCCATCATACAGGGTCCTCCCGGGACCGGGAAGACGTTTCTCGGACTCCGGATTGCTCATACTTTGTTGAGGAACAAATCAGTTTGGTACACGAAAACGCCGATTTTGGTGATTTGTTACACGAATCACGCTCTGGATCAGTTTCTGGAAGGGCTGCTTCCGGTCACTAAAGAGGTATATAAGTCCATAAAACAAATGAACAAACTAAATTAATGATTGATGATGTTACTATAGTCATTTTTCGGGGAAACTGAGCTAGGCAAGAAATTGGTGTTCCATTCCATAGTTTGTAGCAAAATCTATATTGGGTGGCTTTATTCAAATCGCTTCCCGAAATAGCCATTATAGAATTGTGTAGCATTTTTAAATCATTCCACAATACTCTTATTATTACCCCCGAGAGTACTCCACTGGAGTTGAATCCTCGTTTCCATATATAAACAATTTTTTTTTACACATTAGAAATCAACTTGTTTTCATATACAGGGTGTTTCATAATTGAATGCTGAACCTTAAGGGCGATAATCTTTGGATGATTTCAAAGAGAAAAGTTCATATCAACATATGTCCCAAACCTCTTAATTATTGAGCTACAGGGTGATGAAATTTCAAGAAAAAAATGAGTTTTTCATTATAATTTTTTATCACTCTTAGATATTGTTATGATATTTTCTATACACCTTTTCATTATTAAGGAGCATTTTTTTACGTGAAAAATATTTAAAAATTTCCACCAGTGGCGTCCGTACGGGGTTTGAACTGCCAATTTTTGAAGAAAAAAATAGTACGCCACTGATTTTTCTGAGAACCAGATTTTTTTTTCAATTCTTATTCATTTTGGAGCAAATTTGGTTCCCAGACTTACTTTCATACAACGTACCGTTTTCGCGTGAAAAAATAAAGACCAAAGAATTTTGTTCCTCCAGTTCTTGGATTTTGTTTTTGGTAATTCAGTAGACACCCACTATAAGTGGAAACACATTTTGTTTTGGGACGAAAATCAAACTTTTACTTTTACCAGTGATGTCCTCATAGACCTGATATTGAATGTACACCCTGTAGCTCAAAAACTAAGAGGTTCAGGACATATGTTGATATGAACTTCTCTCCTTAAAATCATCCAAGGATCATCGCCCTTTAGGATCAGCATTCAATTATGAAACACCCTGTATATCAGCAATATTTTTCGGGCTATCGCACGGAAACAGTGCACGGAAAAACTTTGAGAATAACCATGGAAACGAATCATACATGCCAAACACATGATTTGTCAGCATTGTTTATTCTCTGTCAATTAAATGTATGCTGACAAAATAAACTCTGAAGAAAATCCCGAAATACCCGATAATATCGTAGTCGTGTTTCCAAGTTTTTTTTTCATTCTTTCAACTGTGAAAATAAAAATGCTCCAAGTTTCTTTTGTGTCTTAAATGTAATACTTTATTATTATATTTTCATTCTCATCGAAGTGTAATGAAAAATATCGTTCATTACTCGTCCAGAAATGATTTTTGCATGAATGGATCTTCTCTACTAATACTAAAGTCACTGGATGGTATTAGATAAGAGTTCGGACACAGCTGAACTTCTGTACTTTTCTATTTTCTATATTACAATGGTTTGAATAAGAAAAATAATAAGACAAATATTCTGATCTTTGTCTTTTCCATTTTCCCTAGTAGCGCCTGATTGTCAGATACGATTTTGGAGGTTAGATTTTCTGTCAAATCAATCATTGTCGCAGATGGACAATGGAAATAGGGTTTAAACATCCACTTCAATTTATATAGCGATACACTTTTCACAGAACAATAGTTATGAAAACGAAAATATAGCTATATAGTTCCTTATTGTATTTATTTATTTATTTATTTATTGAAAATGTTACTTCCAGTCAGAATCAAGTTCTGGTATAAGGAAGTATAGTTAACAATAATACCTAAAACTGTACAACTGTACCGATGTGATATAGTTTAAAACATGAAGATTGTTTTGATTTTCCACCTTCTGCTGCATTTACTTTTCACTGATAAATTTTGAATTTGGTCGGTATAGAAAACGACATTCAATGATTTTATATCACATTGCGATTTACTTGATTTCCTCAGTTCAGTTCTCAAACTCTCCATTTCATTATGGAGTTTTGCAATCAATTCCTCTTTCTTTATGATCATATATAGTTTCATTCCAATCTGCTGTCATAAGAAGTGAATTTCAATGTATGTACTTACCTCACAAATTTTGCTTGTTTTCAAATTAATTTTCCATCCAGGCCGTATCATACATTCCTTCCATAAGGGAATGGTTGATAATTCCTTTGAAAAATCGAAGAAATGAAATCGCCATTCCGTTCGGAATTCCCAAAATTCATTACACTGCAGGACGTTTTCATTTATGCTTTTTTCTCAATTTTTGTTTTGTTGAAATTGTTCTTATCCATCATTCAACAAAAGTTTATTAAATTATATCTCAATTCTGATGTACATAATATTTAAAGGAACGACTTTGATGCTGTTGTAATGTATGTATGTATTATATTTATTCAAGGTTGTGAGAGTAGGAGGACAATCGAAAAATGAGAATTTAAACAGTTTCAACATCAGAAACAAAAGAAGAAGGTATCCGAACGATGCCGTGCGTCAAAGAAGACAGGAGGTTAGAGATTTCCTGCAAAAGATTTCTACGATAAACTCGCATCTGAACATGATAGCATCGAACAGCAGTGTAATCAAATTCAGTGTGTTTGCAGAAGTGGTGCCAAATTTTGCAACCACCTGGTTTGGTTCAGCCAACAGTGATCAAATTTACATGTGGCTCTTCGGCGGATTCGATGTCCGCAGATCCAGACAAAGAGACAGAACCAATGTAGGAAATCAGGTGAGAATTCAATGATTTGCCTAAATTAAAGATTTTTAATATTTTTAGGTGGACAGAGACGCTGCTGCCAATAATGAAGAACCAAAGGAAGGAGAACCAGAAAAGGAAGAACCGATAGTAGGAGAACCAAAAGAGGAGGAACCGATAGAAGAAGAAACTATGGATGTCGATAACGATGTTATCATAGATGACATTTTCGACGACATAGTGGTGCACGCTCTCAATGAATTGGTGGGCGTGAGAACTTTACAAATTAAACTCAACAACCTCTACAGGATCTTGGGAGAACTGAACCAAAGACCAGTATTAACCGATTGGGAGAAATGGGCGAAATTGCAGGAGGAAGATATGTTGAACATTGAGATTTACAGGACCGAAAATGAATTGCAGTACCTCCAGGTAATTCATCATGTGGAATGTACAGGGTGAACGGTTAAGGGTAGCGAGCGGCCATATCTCATAAGATATTGGTCGTATAGATTCGAGAAGAAAAAATTATGATAAAAGTTGCCAAGAGAAATTGCTGGATATCATTTTCGAGTTTGTCAAACGTCCGGTAGAGGGCGTAACAACCAACTCCTAGTAGAAAAATGGGATTTTTATAGAATTTTGTCCCATGAAAGTATATCGATATCATTTTAATATTTACTGACCATTTACCTAAATTTTTGATATTTGCTGTCGCCGTTAGATGGCGTTAACTGAAATGTAAGCAAATTTTTGAGTCTTTTAAAAAAACCAAATGTAATGGTATATTAATTTTTATGTTTTGAAAGAGGATGCATTTCTCTATGATTTGATGAAGATAATTTATCATCTACCTTTTGATATTGACCATAATATAATTTTATTACATTAAAAAATGGCACGGTACTGTTTTTTATCAAAATAAAAATCAGTTTTGCAATCTCTTATTAGTTGCTAACAAGAAGTACCTCCCGACTTTTTTTCTGTAGACAAACGGTTTTGGATTGAAACAATAAAATAGGTTTACATACTGGTTCAAAATTATATTAGATATGGGCGCCCCATGTAAACCTATTTTATTTTTTCAATCCAAAACCGTTTGTCAGACGAAAAAAAGTCAAGAGGTTCTTTTTGTTAGCAACTAATAATAGATTATAAAACTGATTTTTATTTTAATAAAAAACAGTGGCGTGCCATTTTTTAATGTACTTGATAAAGTTATATTTTGGTCAATATCAACGGTCCAAAAAGAGGTAGATGATAAATTATTCTCATTAAATCATAGGGAAATTTATCCTCTCTAGAAACATATTAAAATTGATATACCATTACATTTGTTTTGTTTTTTTTTGAAAAAAACTCAAAAATTTGCTAACATTTCAGTTGACGCCATCTAGCGGCGACAGCAAATGTCAAAAATTCAAAACCGAATGAGCGTTTTGTAGGGCAAATTATGCTCTTCCATATGAGCCTATAAGTTTGCTAAAATCGGTGGGAATAAACGGGAGAAATCTTGGTTTGTTTAAAAAAACAATTGAACTTTCCCCACCGCTTTACTTTGATAGATAGAACAAAACGTTTCAGACAAAAAATGTAGGTTAATGGTCAGTAAATATTAAAATGATATCATCGATATACTTTCTTGGGGCAAAATTCTATAAAAATCCCATTTTTCTACTTGGTGTTGGTTGTTACGCCCTCTAGCGGAGGTCTGAAAAACTCGAAAATAATTTCCAGCAATTTCTCTTGGCGACTTTTATCATGATTTTTTTTTCTCAAATCTATACGACCAATATCTTATGAGATATTGCCGTTCGCTACCCTTAACTGATCACCCTGTACTTATACACAAAAATTTGTTTTCATTAGATAACGATGTGTGTGCTGGTGAAAATAGGGTTCCCTTTAATAATATTGTTTTTTAATTCATAGTTGAGACTGAATGAAAGGAAAGTGAACATAAATGGGTTCCAACCGCAGTTTGTTGATTTGGTGAATCCTCACCGCATGACTCCTAACGACAGATGGCAGTTGTACTATCACTGGCTGTCACTTTATGTCGAACGTCTGAAAGTCAAGAAAGAAGAAAGCACCAGAATGTTCAGAAGGGTATATGCCGTGTACACCCAGATGATGAGCATGGAAGATGCCCAAGTCATGAAAGGTAGAGTAACCACTTCTTTAGGAGGCCGATAAAATTATTACCTTTCACTGAATTGAAGAAGTTATTTTTTGTAAAATCGTTCGAGATGAGGTCAGAAAATATAGTTTTGTTTAGGATGCTTAGCTTAATATAAATCATAATGTTGAACTGGCTTGAGCAAGATGTTCCAAGAACATTATAGGAATTTCCTTTCGTGCGGTCCGAGAGATAAAAAAATATATTGTTAAACATTCAGAAATACACTATATTTTGGATGTTTGCTCGATTGAGGACCATGAAGTTGAAATATAAAAATCTCATATAGTTTACATACAATGCGAGAAGTATGTACTTCACGCATCGTTTTACTTTGCGCACTGCTTCGCACATGGTGTCGTGATAACGTAGGAAACTGAGAAAAAGTGTCACTTCGCAATGCGTTATCAATGCGCGAACCGTGTCATTGTTTGACGTTTGTAGAAAAAAAATTTCGCATCTTGGGTTCGTGAACTATTGAATTTGTTTTCTTAGTAGGTAATAATATGTATTTGCTATCAACAATTGGGTCTAGTTGTGGTATTTCTTCCACAGTCAGCTGGTGTGTTTCCAGTATGTTCAATCTTTTGTGATGTACAGCGTCACACTCCATCAGTATGTGATGAGGTGTTCCTGGTTCTTCCTCACAGAATCTGCAGGTGCCGTCCTCCTGTAAGCCTAGCTTCCTTAGGTATTCTTTGAGTCTACAGTGCCCCGTTAGAAATCTCGTTATTGCTTTAAGACTTCCTTTGCTGAGGTTTATCAGTGTCTTAGATCTTTCTCGGTTGAAATTTCCAAGGAGATCTTTAGCCTGCCGTAGTCCTGGAAGTCTTCTCCATTGTCTGGCTCTCCAGGCTCCTTCCGCCTTCTCAAGTTCTCCTTGGAAATAGGAATTTCCAAGGCCGTAGTATGGCTCTGGTCTGATCAGTGGCGTTGAAGCCCCTTGTCGTGCCAGAGTGTCTGCTTGTTCATTCTCCTCCACTCCAATATGACCTGGCACCCAGAGGAGGATCACTTCACTTCAATCATTTTCAAGTTAATCCGGAACACCGTATTTTAATGTAGAATTTGTGCCTAATTTCCAAAAATGAAGGTTTATCGAACCTGTCCACAGGTAACATGTTTCAGGATGGGAAAGTAGGATATATAAAGTTTTGTGGAAATCTTATCGTTTGTGAAGTTCTTACATTTGCCATGGATTTCCATATCAAGTAACGGCCGAGTCAATTCAAAAAATAATAAGCTCAGTGAATACATTCAGTAATCATAATATAGAAGTATAACAGAATATAAGCTATATAGCTTTATAGATTCTGTACAAATTGTACAATAATAGCACCTAAGTGAGTTAACACTTCTGTTGTGGTACGAAGCAATATTAATAAATCTAAGTACAGTTGTGTACAGAGAGAGTAATGAAACTATAGTGGTAGAGTGTAACTTAATTTTCCAATATGTTCATAAATTCAAAGTAATATTGGAAAATGAATGTTTTTGATTATCCCAAGAAGTCTTTATGATTTTAGATTTTTTTTTCATCTAGGCGTAGAATATTACAAATTTCAGGCAATGTGTAGATTAGAAAACGATGACAAACATTTTTATCAAATTTTAGAGTGGGTAGCAAATCGTTGGTTGAACTTCTGGTAGTATAAACTGTTTATTTTGTGTTTTGAAGCCGTTTTTATGGCCTGTGTAAGGCAGTGTTCGAATCAACCTAATAATTTTTATTATCTTGGAACAATCTGACTTATCCAACACCCCTATAATTGTGGTAATTTATGGATCAATAAAGAAAAAAAGAGATGTACGAGGAATCGGATTAAAATGAACAATAATTCCGGAGCAACATCAGTTATGTAAATTGATCTAGAAGGAAACATGTATGTTCTTTTTAGAGTCTTTGGTAATTGGAATGACAACCACCGGTGCTGCTCGTCTCCAATCGTCTCTGCAGGTTCTCAAGAGTCCCATAGTCATTGTAGAAGAAGCTGCAGAAGTACTGGAAGCCCACATTATCAGCGCTCTAACCATGCACTGTAAACATCTCATCCTCATTGGTGAGTAAACCACTAATTACAAGAAAAACTGGAAAAACAGGCGGAATGATATTTAAAAGAAGTAGACTCCTCAACAATCAAACTCATTCCTAATAACGAGTTTCACAATTACTCAACAAGAGCGGCAAACAATTGACGGCCAAATAGATTCAAATCTACCAGAACTCAAAGCTCAATAACTTGCAAAGCTGTTAATCATTATAATAACCTACCAACTGAACTAAGAAATAATGATAGTATGAAATCGTTCAGAAAGCAGTTGTTTGATTTTCTGAATAACGATCTGATTTGACAATTTATGTTGTAATAGCGATGTGTTTTATGTGTATTATTTCTTGACATATTTTTCATATATGCATCTCTTTCTTGTCATCTACTAATAAGTTCTAGTGCAATCATTCAATCAGTTATCAAGTCAATGTATTACTTTTAAAAACAGTATGATACTCATCAATGGATAATGGGATCCTGTACAAGCTCTTTGTTTTGTGGATCTAATTATGTCAAATAAATAAATAGAAACATTATTGCTCCATTTATCAGCAAGTACAAGAGATTACTGTTTCGGTACACCAGGTCTCATCAGTCGCATTCTGCTTTGAATTCGTTGATTAGAATAATTTTTTATGTTTGAAAAATAGTCCAGCCGGTTAATTCTTATTCGAACACTGGTTTCCCTAACAGTTCTTGCAATTTTTTGGAATCGAATGATATTTTTACAAACACCTCATCAGATGAGTTATCTGGCAGTAACTTCCAAATTATGTGATATACAAATGAATAACAGGAGACCATCAGCAGCTGAAACCGTCAGCCGCAGACTTCAAAATCGAGACGAAATACCGATTGGGCATCAGCCTGTTCGAGAGGATGGTCATCAACGAAATCCAATGCCACACTTTGGACGTCCAGCACAGAATGAGGCCGGAGATATCGAGTCTGGTCAGACCGGCCATCTATCCTGTGCTGAAAGACCACACATCCACGTTGAACAGGCCGCGTATCGCCGGTCTCGACGATTGTCTCTATTTCATTGACCATCAGGAGCAAGAGCAACTTTGCAAGGACAACAGCAAGAAGAATATCCATGAGGCGCAGTTTTTGATACGGTTTGCCAGACATTTGATCCTCAACGGGTAAATTGATGAATAATTTCACTAAACTTTTCGAAACTTTTATCCCCCTACCTTAATTTTCATGTTGTATATATTTTTTTCAAAAGTCATTGGATGCAGTTCCCCATGATTTATTTGGAATTTATCTACTTATCAAATACTTACGAATTGTTGTGTGGGTGGATTTCCCAATCGATTTGTATTTATGAACATTAATTTCTCTCAATATTTGGAATTTTCTGTCGTTTCTATAAAAAAAAATATCAATATTATTATTGAATAATAGTTCAATTGATTTGATGACGGTATCAGAGTTCACAGGATTGTCATAAAAATGGTTTCTTGAATAGAGCAATCACTCAAATACCTTTCAATTCCACATTTTTTTAAAATTTTTCGGTCGATTGTAATCAATAATGCCACGGTAATTTTCAAACAGCAGTGACAAATAACGTGACAGAAGATTCTGGAATGTTCTGGAAACAATCGATGGAACAATTAGAGAGAGAGGTTTTGTTCTAAGAAGCTTCTAGAACAAAAAGAAGGAGACGGAAGATCATTCGAGATCGTTCTCGAACCAAAGCCTTCCAAGGGATCTCATATATAAACGGCCGAACAACTGCCGTCAGTCAGTCGAGCAGCGAGTGTCAGAGAGACAGTTATATACCGCGTGATATAAATCGTTTTACATAAATTGTAGTTATAAGTTCGATATAAATTAGTGTTTCCTTAGTTCAAATAAATCAGTTCGAAAATAAATAGTGTCTTGTTCGCTTCTGCACCCGAATAACGTAACAATACATTTGTGTAAATAATAATTATATTAATTCACACTGGAGGACAGTTGGACCGGTAAACGTGACAACACGGCGCAAGAATTGTGGGCGTGGTCTTGTCAGTTCTCAGCATTCAGCACAATGTTGCCAAGTCTCCAACATTTACATGATATTTTGTTATGGAGTATAAGCAATATTTGGACATGCTGGTTGCCATAAAAAGTCAAGAATGAACTATACTATCATCTTAACATCTTTTTGATAGCTTGATTATAATTGGTGACTTGGCAACCTTGCTTCATGAGTGGGAATGGGAGATTATCTGACCAATAACGAAACAGCATAAGAATTGTTGTCACCATTTATTCGACGTATCGCCAAATGGCGGCCATAACGCTACTTTTGAAATGAGCACTGAAATTCAACAATTTCGAACTACGCATAGACTCATTATTCACATGAAAAAAGCCTGAGAAGTGTTGTAAATATTTATTTAGACCCCTAACGACACAGTGCGGTAATTGAATGCCAATAATTCAATATCAGTACACTCGCCCGGCTTTTCTACAGAGCATTATAGACTGTGTTGATCATTTTATTACCTACATAATGACATTATCTCCTGATGGAGGATTGATCTCTATATAATGTGTGAAAACATCATTTAGTATTCAAGATTAGTATTATACTGTACTTGATATTGATTTTCAGTTATAAACCGGAAAATATCACGATTTTGGCTGCTTATCTTGGGCAAATGTTTGAGATGCAAAGAGAAAAGGCTAAGTACAGGATGCAACTCCAAGACGTCAGAATTGCCGTTTTGGACAATTACCAAGGGGAGGAAAGCGACATCATCTTATTATCCTTGGTCAGAAACAACCAAGATAATAACATTGGATTTTTGAAGACAGAAAATAGAGTGTGCGTTGCTCTGTCTAGGGCCAGAAATGGCTTTTACATGATGGGAAACATGACCATGCTCTGTAACAACAGTGAGGTTAGTACCCCTGAAATTCATGTGGTTTCAACTCTCTACTTTTACAGAGGATTGGGGTGAGCTCCAAGGAGGTGTACTTGGGCTGCTTCTGTTCTCAATTTATTTCAATATATTCATTACATCTTTTATATAGATTTGGCCGAAAATCAACGAGACATTGAAGAGTCAAAATGCCATTGGAACCCATTTGACTCTGCGTTGTCAGGTGCATTTCGACAAAGTGACGATGGTAAAGGCCGCAGAGGATTTCTCGAAGTTTCCCGAGGGCGGATGCGACCGGATGTGCGAGGCGATGTTGAATTGCGGCCATATATGCAAGCGGTTGTGCCACGTCGAAGATAGAGAACATCAGAGATTCAAATGTAACGAGAAATGTGAACGGTGAATAACTACATCAGTTTTTTTGAATGAATTTATTTCAGAACAAATATGCCCGAATGAATGACGTATTCAATGGTCGAAATTACACTCAAAACATATCAGTTCAGTATAATCCTCTATTCATCCCTCAAACCTATATTCTAAAAAAATGTTGTTCTAAAATTGTTCTTATCCATCATTCGGTTGCCCCCTTACGAGTACTACAGAATTCTGAATCTTGAACCACCCTGTATCTGTTCTGTTTATATATCAGTAAATAGTGAATCAAAATTTGAGATAGGGACATGTGAGCCGTTTTGATCGATAATGAATATAGTTTCGACACAAAAATATCCTAAAGCTGAGGAAGCTCGATTTTGAACACCCCATATCTCTGTAATCATTTTCGATAGACCGCTAGTGTGATATATCGATGAAATCAGCTTTTCAGGAAGAATCTAATAATGCGATAAAATACAGGGTGTTCCATTTGAAATATCAATGTTTCTACTACTTTCAAGTGGAAGCGGCAACACTGCATTGTCGAAAATATTTGTAATGAAGAGAGCGTATTCTAAAATATGAGCATGCACATTTTCATGGATTTCTTCCGACCGATTCTCGATATAAAGATAGTCCCAAGCAACCAGATGACGTTCTAGTGATATCTTTTCTACGCACTTGAATGACCAAGGTGACGTCAGTAGTTGACGTCGCATGACGTGAGAATGACGTGAATAAGTCACAGCCCAGTGACGTCATATTATTGACGTATTGACGTCATTTACTCAACAAATTGTGACGTCCGACTGACGTCATAATAACGTCAAATTGACGATTACATTTGGCGATGATACGTAAAAAAGATTCCTTCAACATGGTGTGATAAACACCACTGGCCTCTGATGACATTATATAATATTAATTATGCATTGTTGTGAGTCTGCTTGGTGGGTCCCTCCTGTGTCATGTTCATTCAATCGCCTATTCAGCAGCACTATCCCCTTCAGTACGCATCTCCATCAGAATGCAATCAGTTACTCGTATTTTTATAAAAAATTATGTAGTTTGTGTCGGCGAGATGTAAGCAAACAAAGAATAGTTTGATAGCAATGGAAAGGATGTTGGCGAATTTGGCTTCACTTTGTTGAATAATGTATATTGATGCATTCTTTGTCACCCAACAAAAATCTAAATAGCAAATTATTGAAAATTTTTCTGAATGACGAAGCTCACCAAACTGGTACGTCACACCGACGTGATTTTTAGACGTCATAGATACGTCACTGCAACGTCATAAGAGTAACGGTTTCAATATAGGTATACCTAAACAATCATTTGTATATATATATATACATAGCTTGTTGGTTTTCGAGATATACATCGCAGTGTGTCAAAGTTTCCTCCTACTCTTCGGGTATATTAATAATTCCAATAAAACTTGCATGTTGATTTGCTTTCATGAGTTATACTTCTGTTTCACATGATAATATATAAGTATCCATGGTTTAGAGAAGGTCTGGGAAAAATGGACGTCGACAGGACGTCCCTGCAACGTCATGAAACTGACGTCTTCTTTCACCCATCTAAATGACGTTCACTCGACGTCGAAACGATGACGTGATTATCACGTCATAGAAAGTACGTCATAGTGACGTCATAAATTGGTGGGTGACGTCTCTGACAAAAAATCACCAATTAGGGACGTCACAGTGACGTGATCATTCGTCATCTGGTTGCCTGGGGTGTAAGCTCGTCGTGACATACCCTGTATACATGTAATTAATATTCAATGACAAAATGTAGTTTTTACTTGATTCAATGAATAAACAAATAAATAAATAAGTAAATGACTTCACAGACTCCATTGAAGGTTGCTCTTGTTTCAGATTACTCTGTGAAAATACCGAGCACAAATGCAAGAAACGTTGCTCAGAGATATGCGGCCCTTGCAACTATCCCGTGGAACGAACCCTCGACTGCGGTCATACTGTATCCATCGACTGCCACATCGATCCGGCCGTGTACAAGTGCATAGTTCTGGTCGAAGCGAAACTGCCTTGCACTCACGAAACCCGGAAACTCTGCCATGAAGACGCAGAAACTGCCAAGTGTCCGCATCCGTGCGATACTAGAGTGGAGCCTTGTGGACACGCCTGCGCGAGGGCTTGTCACATCGGAGACGATCCTGATCACTTGCAGGTACTTTTTTGATCATCACTCATCTTATTCCCAAGCAGTGAACATTTGAATGCCTGCTATTGTCTGTTGCAAAAAATTGTATTCCATACTGATTTGAAGTTGCTTTCATTAGTTGCGTTTGTTTGGTATCAATCTGGTAGTAGAATATTTGGGTCACCAAACAAACGCCAAATGTTGATGAATGTCAGTCCATGTTTGTCAGTTTATGTAGTGATTGATTGATTGAAAGGAAAGAAGCAGACAACATATAAGAACTCATATAGTTGAAGATTTGTGGGCTCATAGACAACAGAGGTTTTGAAATTTTGGTCAGTTCTCGTCTCGGTTCTCGTGTGATGTTCTTTGGAATAATTGGGATAGCTATACGTTTTTAAAACATGTATTTTCACAGAAAGAAATTGACATTTCGAATATTCACCTTTAGAATTTGTTTTTCATACAAATAACAACATATTCAGAGTGTTTCAAACAAGGAGGCCCACTTGCGAGGGCAGGAACACTGCAAAATAAGTTAGGTTTGCTCAGTGAAAAATTTTCTTACGGCATCCGTATTTTTTTACTAAGCATACTCAACCTATTTCGCAGTGATCTACTTATCCTATCATAGGAGGCCCATTTCCTTTCAGGTACACAATTGAATATCTAAGAAAATCAAATGAATTTGAGTTTCAGATTCTACTTCTGCTCTGGATTATTTTTTTGGAGAATCTCTAGAATCTCTGCCATCATCTTGTTTTCCTGGTGTTGTTTTTCAACCAGCAAGAGTCTTGCATTCTCTCTGTTCTCTACATCTTTTTTGGAATCTTTCAGCCACTTTAACATTTCAGCTTTGGGAGAACTACGCTGACGAACTTTTTCCTTTTGTAATCATCGTTTTATTTCTCTGGGACCTTTTTGCAAAGGGCTCAGAAGTATCAGATATTGATGCCAAACTTTAACTGGTTGGACATTTCTATTCTGAACTCACGTTGAGAATTTTGCCATGAAATTTCCCCGGAAGGTGTTTGTATTAATTGCTCCATTGCCTCCAGATTATATATCATTTTTCTGTTTGTAATGAAAATATCCTCAAACATCAATATCTTGACAAATTATGACAATTACTGCAATTGTCATTCCGATCATTCTGTTCAATTTGATGGATTGAAAAGTAGCAACCGGAATAGAATTTGGTGTGCAATCAAAAGCAGGAATGATGAAACCGGTAAGGGTTTGATACCAAACAAACGCAACTATTGTAATCTACATGTGTAGAACAGAATAGATTGATCCTCATTAGCCAATCAAAGTATTGAAAAGAATAAAGGGCTTTGACTAAAAGATCTTGTTATGCTATTGCCATCTAGTGGCTCAATACAGGAATTCATCTACTCCGTTGAGAAATAGCACTGTCTGTTGCTAAAGTGGAATGAGGCCGCACACTCGCATACATGTTAGGGCTGTGATGATGACAAAAAGCTATGATACTATAGTCGGGACATTTTGGGAAGGCGAAGTCTAATATAAAATGTTGGTGAGACGAAATATATATGTTCATTTCATTTCAACTTTAGGTATTTTTTCCAGTTGATCAGCCACCGGTAATAGAGCGGTTATACCCCCACCAAAAAATAAACCGAAGGCCGTTCATCCTTTGATTTCTCACGAAAATGAACCCGTTAACCGTTCAGATTTAAGTCAGCTGGGATTTTTGTTTTCGATCATAATATATGATCATAATATATGATCATAATAAATGGACAGTTACATTTTGGTTGCATGATCGTTGGCTCCGGCCGCTCCGGTGGCTCAACAAAAATCATCTCAAAATGTTCCCAACAGTACTGTCGATGATTGATGATTTTTTTATTCAACTTCGATTGTACTTGTCTCATCCCGTTCAACTTTTCAGAGTACAGTTATAAAGCCACGATTTTCAGAAAGTTATTTTCATCCTAGAGTGAATCATGGACTGGATAAATAAATATAATGAAGTGGTATTTTTTCAGCTATTTCGAATGAAAAGAACAACTTTTTCAACGTTATTGACAGTTCAAGTTGGTGTTCTTGTTGGTGTTCTTCCATTTCTTGATTTAAAAAGTGAGTAGTAGGTATCTCAAAAATAGTCTGAATAGTTATAAATATGCTTACTTCTAATAATGTTATAATACTTCGAAAATAATGATACAATGTCACTTGTCAATTACTGAAAGCTCCAGTAACCATGTTCACAGATGCGGGAACTAAAACAGTTCCCGTTTTATAAATTGTGACGTCACTGATGACGTCATTTTCATACTCCCCTATTACCGTTATGACGCGAAAATGCAACGGGAACTGAATATCAGTTCCCGGCAAATCAACGGGATCTCGCGAAAAAATACCTTATTTGTATGTCTACCTTTTTATTTCCATAACTATGATAATTTCTATTAGCTGATGATAGGCTTGTATGTGCCGTTAAAATTGATCTTTGATCATTCTAATAAATGTTGTGAAGATGACTTTAGCTTTTCATCTATGGATGGTATATTAATTATACCTAATTAATTTCGAGTACCTCTCTGTTAATCTACCTGGTTGTGAAAAGAAGTACCTCTAATCGGCCATTCTTCTTTGGTATAATCAATTCCTCCATAACAGGTATTTTTTCGCGAGATCCCGTTGATTTGCCGGGAACTGATATTCAGTTCCCGTTGCATTTTCGCGTCATAACAGTATTAGGGGAGTATGATAATGACGTCATCAGTGACGTCACAATTTATAAAACGGAAACTGTTTTAGTTCCCGCATCTGTGAACATGGTTACTGGCGGTTATAGTAATTGACAAGTGACATTGTATCATTATTTTTAAAGTATTATATTATTATTAGAAGTAAACATATTTATAATTATTCAAACCATTTTTGAGATATCTACTACTCACTTTTTAAATCAAGAAATGAAAGAACACCAACAAGAACACCAATGTATGAAAACACCTTTCTGAAAATCGTGGCTTTATAATTGTACTTGTAAAGTTTAATGCGATGAGACAATTACAATCGGAGTTGAATAAAAAAAAAACATCAATCATTGACAGTACTGTTGGGAACATTTTGAGATGATTTTTGTTGAGCCACCGGAGCGGCAGGAGCCAACGATCATGCAACCAAAATGTAACTGTCCATTTATCATGATCATAATTATATTATGATCAAAAACAAAAACACCAGCTGACAAAAATCTGAACGGTTAACCGGTTCATTTTCGTGAGAAATCAAAGGATGAACGGCCTTCTGTTTATTTTTTGCTGGGGGTATACCAGCTCTATTACCGGTGGCTGATCAACGGGAACTCGCGAAAAAATACCTAAGTTAATCATAGCTTAAGTTGGGAACGTACCTGGGAGTATCTTAGGTAATCGTTTGGACGTATATATGTTGTGTCTCACCAACGTTTTATGGCGGATTTCGCCTTCCGAAAATGTCCCGACTATAGCAAAGCAATGAAATAAAAAGAACGTGCAGGTATTCAGGTTGGAGCGGAAGTGATTTTGCCGACCGGCGATGTGTACCTACTAGAGAGTGTTCTTTACTATTCACTGCCAGTGAACATTGATCCAAGATCAGTCGACTTTGGTTTGCAGAAAATGCAATACCTATATAAAAGAAATAGTACCTATCAAGCCGTCATTGACTTGACTAGCAAATTTTGCACTCGCTCACAATCACAAATTTTGCTTGTAATCTTGTCAATTTTTTCGCAGTATGAATGCAGAAAACAATGTGAGAAACCCATGAAAGAATGCACGATGCCAGAAGCTGAAGGTCACTCCTGCCGTAAATTTTGCTTTGAAGAATGTTCCTATTGTGTGAGAGAAGTCATCAAGAAAAGGACCAAATGCAGTCATGCTTCCAAAGTACCTTGTCATGTTAACGTTGATGACACTTTGTGTGAGAAGCCTTGTGCAAAAATATTGCCATGTGGTCATAAGTGCAAAGGAAAATGTCATGAACCATGTGGGAATTGTATGAAGAAAGTTTTGAAAGAAGTTCCTGATTGTAAACACAACATTAAAATAGCTTGCTCCCAAGAAGCCGATCGCAAATACTGCGGAAAGAAATGCCCACGCTTATTGAGCTGTGGTCATCCATGTAGAAATACTTGTAAGGACGTATGCACTGAAGATTGTAAGATGACAGTAGATTGTGCAATTCCTAGCCCTTGTGGACACACTATCAAGAAAATCGTCTGCTATCGGAAAGATACTGGTAAATATAAACTTTATTTCAAGTAACGTCAATAACAATGGTTGCCCAGAGAAATTAGAATTGCTACTGCACTGAGAAAACTCGGCCAAGTCAATAGTTTTCTTGAAAAAAAGTCGATTGTGACAAGAACATTTTCACCAACGGTAGGAAAATAGGTTACTTGAAGTAGGCAAAACAATATTTCTGAAACAATGTTTCTGCTGTTGGTATTAACCAAATCGATATGTATTCTGAGATCGCTAATTATAAGTGAACACTAAACTAGTCCTAGGTTAATGAATACCCACCATTATCAAATTATTTTCCTTAGATAAAATCACTTCCTCTGAGCGAACTCATCGACGAAGACAATCTATCAAGTCGATTGGTACAGGTGACAGCTCACCTTTGGTTATACATCTTTTCGCCGTTCGGACATCTCCGCGATATATTATTCGGGTGTCCACGCCTAACGTGACCACTCCCACTGTCTATTATGATGTTAGCATTCGTGAAGTAAAGATGCGTTCTCGCTAGTGCTATAGTACAATTAAAATTCCAGGTCATGCAAGTACCCTTCTGACCAACTGGTATATCATATTCTTGAAGATTCTCAGTTTGTGTGCCGCGCTCTGAGCTGTGAGGTATTGAGTTCTTGATCTGTCATTCCTTTGAAGAAGATAATGAAATACAATACTCTCCCAGAACATGACATAATTGTTGACATCATATTATATACAGGATTGTATATTCCACTTCCGATTATACTCGAAGTGGGAGAACGTGACGTTTAATGAGTATGCAAGTTAATTTCATTTTCACTTTTTCATCTACATCACTGAAGAAAAAAATAGTGTAAGAGTGCATCTGATGGACCGTTTTTTTCCCGGTATCTATAGTGTCTCAATATTTGTCGTCAGCCTTATCTTTCTGTGATTTCTTGATTCATCATAGATACAATAAATTATCTAAATGCTCGAGTTTTTGTCTACGCAAGGTTATAATTTTTCAGAAAATATTATATGCAATTTTTTATACTACCTATGTAAATAAGTCACTAATGACAAGTGAATAAATCACTGATGACCAAATAAGTCACTAATGGCAGTTGATTAAGTTACTAGTGACAACTGAATAAGTCACTAATGACAAGTGCTGTGTTCACTAATGGTAATCAATCTAAAATTCAATGGAACAGGTTATTAGTTGTAAGTGTACATTTTCAGGAACACATATTCTTGTGGCTATTAACTGGTTTCCTTGACCCAAATAGTATACAAGTTTTTACTTCCCACTATTAAATATTCACCTAAGGCTAGTGATAATTTTTTCTGTGTTATTATATTTTATATTGTAGTTTATAATCATTAAACACTAGAAAGATGAACGTGGCGGCACCACAAAGTTTCGTAGTAGACGAGCGATAATCGTTGTAAGAAATGTCATTAGCCGTTTTTGTTGTTTATGGTTTTCCAGCTATTGTGTCATTAGTTTTCGGTGTTTCAGTAACTCATTTATATAATATTATAAATCTATAGCAGACTATTGTAAATAAATATGGTTCCGCAGTGTCAAATCTTTGAAGAAAAGTTAGTTACAAATATCCCAACCTGATATTTCACAGGTACTTAGAAATTTGGAACAGTTTGTTTTTGTTGAGGATTTGCTTTTGTTGATATAAAGCGTGTTTATATTCTCTTGATGACGTATAAGTATGTTACAATACGTGAGAGTTAATTTATTAAAGCACGTACATACCTATATAGAAATTCCGATTTAAAAGATGCATGTGCCACAGAAAATTACTCGACAAACTAGACCATTATGGGATAAGAGGAAATATATACGGAATATTAAAAAGCTTTTTGACAGAGCGTGAACAGAAAGTAAGTATTGATGGGGAGTTGAGTGATAGTAGATATGTAACATACGGTGTTCCACAAGGAACTGTACTTGGTCCACTGTTGTTTACTCTGTATATCAACAGTTTACTTTCTTTAGGAACCAGGGGCAAAATTTTGAGCTTTGCAGATGATACTGCTATATTCTATGAGGCGAAATCATGGAACACCTTGAAAGCAGAAGTGGAGGATGATTTTAGAGTTATAGAAAAGTGGTTTCGATATAATACACTAACTCTCAACCTGGAAAAAACAAAATATCTACCGTTTTCCTCATACTCCAGTGGATTACCAAATATGGGTCCTTTGATTATCGGACCAAATTCAGAAATACCTGAAGCTGAATCGATTAAATATTTAGGTATTGTAATTGACCGACACCTCAAGTGGGACCTTAACATAAGAAATATAGTCAACAAGTTAAGAGGTATGTTATATAGATTTAAATATCTGAAAGATTACCTTGATACGAAACACCTAGAAATATTATACTACGCACTGGTTCAATCTCATCTAACTTACGGTATTGTGGGCTGGGGTGGTGTAAATGACACGCACTTAGAAAACTTAAACGTCATTCAGAGATGGATATTACGAATTATATACGGTAAACCACTCAGATTCTCCAATGATAAATTACACGAAGAATCGGGAATATTTGACAGTAGGCAACTTTTCTGTCAAAATATACTAATCAACATAAAAAAAAACAAGATCTCTTCCCACCCTGTTACACACTCCTACAGCACAAGAAATAAAACAATATCGTTAAGCGTACCTCGTTGTGACAAAACCATAGGGCAACGTCACTGTGACTTTCTTGCACCAAAACTTTATAGTCTAACACCTGTTGATATAAGGAACTTACAGAGCATCAATTTATTCAAGAAAAAAATAAAAAAATGGATTTTGGCTTTTGGAAGGAGCAAACTACACGATTTTGTCAATCAAAAACTAAATTAATATATGGTTAGATATTTTATACTCTTCAATCAAAACAATGAATGGTCTACTTATTATTTCTATTAGTAATATAATTTATACTCATGTTCTCTCGTGTTAATTGTATAAGTCTGAACACATCTATATATGTACGTATGCGAATATCTCTCAATTAGTTACTCGAATTTTTATATTCTGATACTTTTATATTTTATATTTGTACATTTTAGATTTTTAAACTTTTCCCTTTTAGCACTTTACACTTTACATTTTACATTTTACATTTTTATAATTTTACATTTTACATTTTTACATTTTTACATTTTACATTTTTAAATTTTCATATCTTCACATTTTATATCTATATATTTTATATTTTCAAATTATTTCATAACGAATCATCTTCAACTAGTTATGTAATGATCACCTACTAAAATTGATGGAACATACAACAACATGAAGCCACGTACAAGCGATAGTTACTTTGGAACTAAAGCTTCTGTGGTATCCCCTGTTTATTTGCTGTACGCACTTTAATCATATATACCCTTTTTTGTAATTATTTTCTTGGTGAATAAACTTTATTATTATTATTATTATTATTATTATTATAAAATATATCTATGAAAACTATCAATTCTCTAGCTATTATTCCGCACAGTTATACCCACCATTCGCGATTTCGTTCATTTATCCGTGTTTGGCGTTTAGAATAGTTGGCGTATACCTTTCAATGATCTATTGATGAATTAATGAATAAGGTCATTATCTGACGTTGCGATGACATAAAAACTACGAGAGAACATTCCTATCTCCTGGCTCATAGTTTTCTTGTCATCGCAACGTTAGATGATGACTTCGACTCCCGCGAATATTTCTGTTCTTAAAGTGTATATTGACCTTTGAAAGGAGATGATCAGTCATGGAGAATCAATAAATAATTGAGCGAGTTGTTATGCATAGAAATGTGTGTTTTCCTTATTTCAGCCGATCCAGCGATGTTACTGAAAATGTGTTCGGAAAAGTGCTCATACAAGCTGGACTGCGGCCACCAGTGCGCAGGCTCTTGCGGCGAATGTGTGCAGGGTCGGGCCCACCAAAGGTGCTGTAAAATTATATAATTTTTTTTTCAGTAATTATCTCTGTCTAGTCGTGAAATCGTTTTACAATCATGAATTATTCAGAAATCACCTGACCCTGTCACTATACAGGGTGTCCCTAACTTACATAGACAGATTTCAGCCACCGATTCTAGGAACAAAAATAGTAAAAAAAGTTTCACATAAACATGAGCCCAGAAATGGCCCCCTGGGGAGTTATAGCCATCTGAAATTAGGCCCGAGATAATGTTTTTTTGTTAATATTTCCGATACCCTTTGTGTTGAGATAAATGATCGATTAATCACGGATTGACGATATGTGATTTATTAAAAATATTTAACACGTTATATACCATGGCAACATTGGCAACACGATATCTAAACACATTACCATGGCAACACAGTTCATTAAACACAGCTTCAGTAATTTGAGACATGTCTGGCCTGTCAATTGTATTAACTGTCAACTGTTATTTCCAAATTTTGTATCAAAATTATTCAAACAATATTCGTTAATATTAGAATTCTTCATTGAAAATGCGAAATGTAGACGAAAGTGAAATCGAAGAAAATGTTCTGGTGCTTGCATATCTCCAAGAAGCGTAAAAATGAAGCATCCATCTTTGAGAACAATTTATTTATTCTGCGCTAAGCATGACAATAAACGTGAAACAAAGGTTAGGAAGCAGTGGACTGGACACATCTACAACCAATATCACTTATACGTGTCTCGCTGGTTGCATGCAGTTGCATGTATTATGTTCTCAATTCCCATTCCTTTCGAATTATTTTGTGGGTTAGGAAAAGCAGGTATGTCAATGTAATTTTCGGAGTTCGTCGAAAAAGCATAGTATGTAACGCGTTTATAAACTCTTCTAGACACTCGTTTATTAAACACTCGCTCCGCTCTGCTCCGCTTGTGCTTGCAATACTTGTTACTAAAAGGACGTTTATATCACTTCTTACATAATATACTATTATGGCTTTATTTTGAAGAGATTTTTTTTGATTTATTGAATAAATAGATAAATCCTCTTTAACAGGTGCCAGGAAAAATGCGGGGTGCCGCTGGTGTGCGGTCACGATTGCCCTATTCCGTGCAGGGAAGCATGCAAGCCCTGTCTCAAGGACTGCCTTTATCGGTGCTCGCACAGCAAGTGCAAGAAGAAATGCGGGGAGCCCTGTACGAGGTAGGTACCACCACTGACATAAACATCTATCTACACTGACAATTCCATCAGAAAAAAGTTGAGCCACTCAGGAGATCGAACCGGTGAAACCGAATCATGCGAATTTGTGATTTCATCACACAACATAATACCTTGTCAAAGGTCGGGTTTTTTCGAAATCTGTTGTACAAAAATACCAAACCTACATTTTTTTCTGTAGAAGTTATAGGCACGTCGCGGGCAGTTTCACCAGCTTGACGTTCAACAAATTGATTCTCAATGTGACACTGAGTCAGGCTTAGGTCGAATTTCTAGTTCTTTAGCCAATTCCTTTGCAGTTGAAATTGCAGCATTCTTTCAACATTTCTGTGCATTTACTGAGATCTATATCTGTTGATTGTAGAGAGATGCACGTTAATTTGAAAAATTTTGAGAATTTATAGGGGTATCTGCGGCGCCGCTACTACTGTCATTTTTACATTTCTAAATGTTTCTCTAGTTATTGCCTGACATTCAATCCTTATTCTTCTTTCCAAATGGTCCAGATTAGTATATTCCGTTTTATAAATAACTGATTTCGATTGGGCTCAAAGAAAAAAATCATTGTAAGCTATATGTCCGGCGAGCGTGCTGGCCATTTCATTGATTGAAAATAAAACTGGTCCCAAGACTGACCCTTGCAGTACACCTCATAAGATGTTCATTGAGGAACTGCAAGTATCACTCACATCAACATATTTCTTTCTATTTGATAGATAATTTCGAAACCAATCATGGATTCTTCTTCCTACACCTATTGCAAATGATGTATTTAATAAAATGTTATGGTTAACAGTATCAAAATCTTTGCAATGGGCCAACAGGCCTAAGTGTCTTCAGAGACCTTGGTCAGACGAGCCTTGGAAAGAGGTGGAATTCACTATCGTGAAGGGAATGGCGGTCCTTCGTGATATCCATAAGGGATATTGACCACCTCCGAAAAAAAAAAAAAAAAAATCGCACTGTCTGAATCCAACTTTTAATGTTTGAAAGGTTTACTATCGAAATCACGTAATAATATTTTTGTTGTTCGTATAAAAAACGATTCGTAGATGCAAGGAACAATGCAACAGACATTGCGACCACCAGCGGTGCCGGATGAAATGCTGGGACTATTGCGACGTCGGTCCGTGCACCAAACTGTGTTCGAAAACACTAAAATGCGGCCACCCTTGCGTCGGCTTCTGCGGAGATCCATGCCCAGTACTTTGCAAGGTATGTAATACTATGGAATTATACAGCGTGTCTCATTCCAAACGGCCCCCCCTCTATATCTCAGCTATCAGTCTTGCGATCTTTACCAAATTTGTATCGGTATGAATAATCATCAATGTGACCAGTTCTTCAAAGACAAACATCATTTTAGACAGTGCCATGTATTATTATTGAAATGAATAGGGGTCAGTTTTTTATTGAATCATATTAGGCTCTTTTTCACAGGAAAACTAACCTCATAATATTGTTCTTCATGGTTTCAAACCCACATATATGTGGATTTTCACAAGATGCCTTTGAAGGGTTTCAGAAAAACAGGCACATCTAAACAGCATTTTTGCGAACGTAATAATTATTTACTCGGAAACGGTGAGTTCAACATAAAAAAGTATAACTCGTTTTTCCTTCCAAATCATGATTTTTCACCTACCGGAGTCATTGAACGTTCCAAAATTCGTAGTTGATTTGAAGTCACTGAAAATGAAAAAAAAAAAAAAGAAACCAATCCTGTTGATTCGGAATCTGGTGATTTTTTGCATATGAAGGTTCGAAAGCATGAGGAACAATAATATGAGGTTAGATTTCCTGTAAAAAAATACCTAATATGATTTTATGAAAAATCTACCCCTAATTAGTTCAATAAAAACGCACGGCCCTGTCCAAAATAATGTGCATCTCTGTAAAACTGATCAAATTGATGGTTATTCATACCACACCAAATTTGGTTGGAATCGTATGACTAATAACTGAGATATAGAGGGGGGCTGTTTACAGTGAGACAAGCTGTATAATGATCGCATTGTATATAATGATAATGATAATTTATTCACAACTATAAATATGCATAATACTTGAGAAATATTAGTTGCGAAAAGGGGCCGAAAGCAACTAAAATTAATCCTACTTCAACCCCTGGATAATAAAAAATGAAAATATTTTCGTAATGTCAATGTCATCAAATTGGCTGTTAGAAATTGTTTAATCGGTTAATACCGATTTCCGAATTCAACTGTCAGTACTGAATCTACTGATTATTTGTTCCGAAATTGAAAATTCTACTAAAAGTGGCAGTTCTCGAGAGCAGACATATTCATTCTCAATATTTTCGGCTCAGATTTCTGCTGAAATTAATGACCAGAAAAAGATAGTGTGCAGTCAGCAATCTGTCAATAATGAAGCGAAAATATTTTTACGGCATGAAAGTGTTAGTTCGTAACATAATTATGATTAATTTAGGATTATCAAAGAAAATTATTCGAATCGAGGCATTAATACATTCTGCTCCAAGCAGGTGTGCTCGATTTATCATCAATTTACCATCATGGAAACCCTTCTAAAATAATTAGTTGCTGGTCCACGTATGAATTATTTTATTTGTTATACTGCTGTAAAATTTGTTCCGAATTTCAGCACAAATATTCCCACTTAATTCTGAACTTACTACTTTCGGAACAACAGAATTTCAGCAGTGTCAGTTACAGTTGAATTCGGAACAAAGCCATTGTGAATATTATACAGGGTGTTTCCTAACTACGGTTCCTAACTGCAGGTGGTGATTCGTTAAGTCATTTTAGGAAGAGGGCTTTGAATTTTATGAAAAAAAAAACGGTAATTATAAAATATCATGAATATCCTAGAACCGATTTGTTTGAAATTTTGTACTTTCATTTGAACTAATAAGGCGCTTATTTAGCCCTATTTAGATTGAAATTATTGGGGCCAGTGGAGTCTCAGTGGGCACCACAGCCAACAATATTGTAAAAAAAAGTACGCCACTGACTTTTTTTGGTAAATTTTTATTTTGTTTAGATTGAGCAACTCAAAAATCAACTTTTTGGTCTCCTGCATTTTCTTCATATTCAGCTTCGTTTTCGAGAAAAAAATCAAATCCATTGTATTGCATATCATGAACACCTGCATTGGAGAAATGAATTTTTCATTATTTCCGCCAAAAATTTAATTGACACTTGATATGCTGAAAATTTAGAAAACGAAGCAACTCCGGGCATATGCTCATAGAAACTTTTCTTCTTGAAATGACCCCCTGCAGTTAGGAACCGTAGTTAGGAAACACCCTGTACTATGGAATGAAGTCACTGCATGAATTTCAAGTCTTTTTTCCATGCCTAAATGCTGTTTTTCTTTCTCATTTTGAAGGAGATACTTTCATATTTGCGATATTTAAATCAATCCTCACTGTGTATATATAAATGAACCAGTTTCTATGGAGGAGAATAAAATGATATTAGTCTTGTAATATATCTGAAGAACTCGACTTGTACTTCTATACTTTGATGATAATTATATGGATCCTATTGCAAGATATGCGACCGGGACGAGCTCACGCAGATCTTTCTTGGCAATGAGGACGAAGAGGACGCCGTATACGTCATGTTGGTCGATTGCAAGCACGTTTTCGAGGCCGGCGATATGCTGCGTTGGCTTGATATGGACAAGGACCAGATAAAACCGAAGGTATATATAGTGTTCACGAAGTCCCTTGATAGACCGACAAACAATTTTTACCTACTACCAATATGTAATGTGACCACATTACTACACTGATTTTAGTATCGTAATGAGAAACTCTACCGCACTAGTGAATCTGAATTTTCCTGATCCGAATTCATGCCGATGAATTTTTTTTCGAATTGAAATTAACGCGTCAAAGTTGACAGTTGGCCGAATAAGTGACAACCGAGAACACAATAGATTCACGACAACCATACGCCCAACCCTTAAAGCTTGCTTGTTAAATATTCCTAATGATTCGTCAGTTGGAGGAATATTGATTTAATTAAATAATTCGAAAAATTTCCCATCTCATATAATATGAGTCTTTACGATACTCGTATCGTAAATATCTATTTCGTGCATCCGTACGTTAAAAGAGTACTTCGCGTTATCTCTACTCAGTTCTCGAAGTTCAACTTCGCAGCCGTTTCCGATAGCAGCGGCCGCCAAACTAAAGTAAAATACGACAATAGTAAGGTTATGCAGTGTCAGATCATGATTATATTATATTGATGATTTGTCAATAACTGTTTCAAAATGTCATTCCAGTTATTTAGTTCACTATTTTTGACGGAACCTACTGAAAACCTTTACAGGAGAAGAGTTATTAGATATATACGTTCACTATATAAATTCAAATCATTATCATATTCATTCAGTTGAAAATTGTCAAAAGCATTCAAATTTAGTTTTCCAAATTAATAGTAGTCATCACAACCATACAACTAGACAAGCAGATCATTTCTGTGAAGAAAATTGAATCAGATATTGGTAAAGACTCCATCTATCACAATGGATTAATACAATACAATTCACTACCAAATAACTTGATGAGTTTGAAAAATTTAAAAAAGAATTCAAGAAACATTTATTCCAGTAATATTAAAATCTTATCTTTGTTTTTGCATGTCTAAAAGTTATTTTGCAGTCTAGGCATACAAATAACTAAAACGGTCTCGCGCCGGCAAATCTTTTGAGAATCTGCCGCAAACTGTTGCCGAGAATGATATTTTGATTAGGTACCAAAATAAAAGTAATATTCAAAAGATTATTAGAATTTTGTTACGGAAACGGTTGAGATTACATATATCTCCATTTTGGAACATCACAGGTGAGACGAAAAAATAAAGGGATGCAATATTGTACTGCTGGATCGTAGAAGATCTGCAGTACACAGCCCTCCACTTTTTTCAATAGGCTATATCATGAAACGAATATTTCGTTTCTAATAAAACTGTATATATGTCCACCCCGTATATTCTCGATACCATTACTGATATCGAATTATTTCTGAAAATGACAAGTTTTTGAGTGACGCGAAGAAAAACAACGACTCGCCGGAGATAGACCGCTCCCGGATAAAGAACGACACTCATGGTCAAGCAGTAAATACAATTCATAATCATGCAACGAGACAGTTGAATTCATTAATAGCAAACCCATATAACTCCATCATTGGCAAACAATCAGTATTCTACAACGGAAATATTTTATATAATTCATTACCTTGTGATTTGAAACATATTGATGATGAAACAAGAAAGTCAATATGAAAAAATATATACTCATGACACAATAAACGGAGCAATTTATTCTCATTTGAATACTTGGAATGGTTTTATTTTAATTATTATGTTATATTGACATAACTTGTTAATTAGTTTTTTTTTATTGTTTTATATATATATATATCATATATGTATCCCTATTATTTGAAGTGCCGTTTAGACGGATATAAGTCAATCACTAGTGGTAAAATTGAGAGTTAGTTAGGCCCAGTAGGTGCACTCGCAATTTTGTTTCGTTCAATACGGATCAAGCTGAACTTAGATGCTGTAATCATCTGTAATCTTGAAACGTCTAGGCAATAAGGAAACTGTGCTAGAGGCGTTTTCCTATGAGTTATTACTTTTGGAATTATCCGGAGAAGCTACAAAAATAAAGAATCTCACACCCGGGGAGTGCAAATCTCAACATTGGTTTCGTCACCTGAAATCTCTCCAGTGCCGTACCCACGAGCACACCAGCTGGTAGCGAAGGGTACCTCTCCCTCCGCTGGAATTCACTCAAGTACCCCCTCTGTGGGAAATTTATTCATCAAGGATATCGTTTACGTACCTTATTTATTCATGGTTATGGTATATTATTATTTCGCTGATATTCATATCATCCCCATCAGTTTGAATTTGTGCATTTCAAGATATCCATAAATTAATGTACCTGACCTTGGAAAGAGAATATTTACCTGTTTCTCGTCCCAGCTCAGTTACTCTTGCAAGAGCTAGGAAATTTCACCCATTTTAGTAGAAATCACCAACTTCTCATATTTTTTTTATCAATGAAACGATATAACTTGTCTTCACCAAAATATTTGTAGTTAACTCTTCCTTCCTACCAAGTCAGTTGAGAAAAGAGAACATTTTAGTAATTTACGTTATTTTCCTTTCTAATTTATGCTGATTTGATTATTCAAATTACTTGGCGCCCATTTTTTTTTCTGAGCAACCCACCCCAAGTCACCGCTGTGGCAAACCGATTGGCATAATTTTAGCCGTTATTTTCTTTTTGGTCAAAATGTACGTAACAATCACGGCAATCTCTGACGGTTCTTTTAAGAGTAATAATACTATAAACTGTTTTTTTTTTCTCCATAGGTTTGTCCTAAATGTAAAACTGTCATAATGAAAACAGACAGATACTCAGAGTACATCAAGGAAAGCATTGATGATATGATGAATGTCAAAATGAAATATTATGGGAGTCCAAAGGAAATCGCAGCCACAAGACATCGTTTGCTGACCAATGTGAATAATTTATACAAAGAGTTATACCACCGTACAACCTCAGTACAATTGGGGCGTTTACAGCAAAAACCCCTTCCTCGTGTCCATTCAGGATTGGAGGGATTCATTAGGGATTTGATAAAAAGATTACAACCTGTGAGTCAACCAAAACCTAATAGGAAGGGTCCTAGATCCCAGAATGATTACCGCCGTCAAGATATCAATAAAACCGATCTTCATGCGATCGATTCCAAAATAAAACTAATCAGCGTTGTACTTGGGGTTATTAAAGAAAAAGATTTACTCTCCCCCACTTTTGACATGAGTATAAATCAACTAAATTTCATATTGAAGTTACTATCCAGAGATGTGAATTCAATAACCAAACAGGAAGTTGATGACATAATATTGGAAATTGACAGATTTGTGAGGATCGTGCAGTTTGAAGAAATTATGTCAGTCAGTAAATCGGCATATTTATCACCAAAACTCGAAGATAATGAAATGGTAAGGCAAATGCCTGATTATTAATTTACTTTTCATATTTAGCAGGGCGAAATTAATAATAGAAAGGTGTTCTTAGTAACACAATGCTGTTGAAAATGCATTGAAAAGTGGAAAATAATGTAGATTTTTGCTAATAATATATTTTCATTTTTATAGTTATGATCAGATGATTGCTTAGTATTAATTTCTGATCATTTTTTTTAGGTCATGTCTGTCAAGAAACTACTGGAAAAACCAGAGATTTATGATAAGCAGCAAGACGATGTCTTGAAATCTGAACTAGAAAAACTTAAAAAGATTGTCGCTGCTGCCATCAAAATTACTGATGCAGAGAGAGTTTCGATCGTCAAAGCCGTGGATCTGAGTAAAGGGCACTGGTACTGTATAGATCATGATAATAATTGTTATTTTGTTGTAGGAATGATGACATTTTTTGATGTCTTCTATTTTCAAGACTATCTTTTTTGCATCTCTCATGATCACGTTAATTAATGGGATATTAAGAGCGCCTTTAGATCAACTTTTTTTTTTTTTTATCGCTTGGAGCGCACGAAAGGGAATCCCTATAATGTTCAAAGAACATCGTGCGTTCCTAAATGATATGCCTTTCACTTAGTATAATCATCTTCTACAGCCATATACAGGGTGGGCCACCAGTAACGCCTCGGTTTCTAGAAGGCTAACCACTTATCTTCTTGGAATTCTTCCTCTCTAAGAAGTTGCATGTCAACATAGGCTACCATTTGAAATTATTTTGAAACATACAGGGTGTCCCCAAAAATTTCAAAACACTGAAGTTGAACTTTTTTCAATCGAACACCCTATATATTATTTCATTTTGAGATTCTCCCTGGTGAGCTGATTTCAACAATCCATCATACTTGGGGTCTAGCAGTTATAATTACTGAGATATAGGGTGTGAGAAATCGAGATTTTCCAAGTTCAAGAATTTTTTGTGTCTAAACCATTCATAATAATAAGGTTGGTGCAGAATTCAGAATCTTGATCACCCGGTATATGTCCCAATTAAATATCAGTAGATAGTTAATCAAAAGTTGAGATAGGGACATGTAAGCCGTTTTGACCAATTATGAATAGTTTCGACACAAAAAATTCTTGAACTTGGAAAATCTCGATTTTTCACACCCTATATTTCAGTAATTATAACTGCTAGACCCCAAGTATGATGGGTCGTTGAAATCAGCTCATCAGGGAGAATCTCAAAATGAAATAATATATAGGGTGTTCAATAGAAAAAAGTTCAACTTCAGTGTTTTATGGTTTTTGGGGACACCCTGTTTGTTTCGAAATAATTTTAAATGGTAGCCTATGTTGACATGCAACTTTCTAAAGAGGAAGAATACCAAGAAGATAAGTGGTCAGCCTTCTAGAGACCGAGGCGTTACTGGTTACTGGTGGCCCACCCTGTATATGAAAATAGCATATGGAATAGACCAATTACAATTATTATTTCTGAGTAGGAGAAATTCTTGGGATGCGGATTCTAAGTGAAAAATATGAATTTATTCAATTTGAAACGATTCGCTTCCTCAATCATTTTTTTACACCACATATTATATTTATAATACTGGCATGTTTAGATCTATGATACTGGTCTGGAATAGAGAAATGGAGAAGGTATAATATTTATAGTGGAAAACATTTCTAACATTTAGAATTTAGATTGTCCATGGGTCCACTTTTCACTGAAATGAGCAACATGTCATGTCATTTCGTAATTCCATTGACGTTTTAGAAGATGATTACCAATTAGGAGGTGTTTAATTCTAATTTGAAATTGATTAGTCTCAATTTGAACTTGAAAAAGTATTGTTTTATGTGATATACTGGTACATGTATCGTAAATTCATATTACAGGTTCAAGTGCCCCAACGGTCATCCTTACGCCATTGGGGAGTGTGGGGGAGCGGAGCAAGTGTCCCGTTGCTACGAGTGCAAAGAACCAATCGGAGGTCGAAATCACAGATTGTTACCTGGACAGCAAGTGGCTACTGAAATGGACGGAGCCCTACACGGAGCTTGGTCTGAGGCGATGAACATGGAGAACTTTAGGCTGTAAGTGCTGTTCTCTTCATTCCAAATAAGAAGATGGTTAGTTGAAATTAATTAATTGCGCCTGATTCAAAAAGCTTGCCATGCTAATGACTGAATTTGTGTACGACAGATATAATAGCTATTTGTGTATTCAGAGCGCAAAGTGATAGATTGCCGCTCGACAAAGAAAGTTACCGCGCGATGCGGAGCGGAGCGTGGTAATCTTTGGAGACTCTGCAATCAAATTGAACATGACTCATTGATGCAATAAAATAAAGATACACTGTCTTTCTGATGATGACAAAGAGTTCAAATACATATAAAGTATATATAATTTACCTTTTTTAACAGATATTCTTCATTGGGAGCTTCTTGTGAAAATTTGTTGGTATATATCTTCAGTGGTGAATGTTTTGGATTTTTTTCGCTTTATATCCAATAGATTGTTTCTTGAGAAATGCGATAAGTTTCGGATACTTATTGATTCCGATATTATTTTTAACATTCAAGTATGTATACGTACCATCGAATATATAGACCAATGAGTTGATGACTCCAAAGTCTTTGATTTTTCACCAAAATAAGCCAGTAAAACGTTTTCTGAATACTTATTCATCTTCTCGGAATGGCACCAATTTATGAATGTATCGTATTGTAATTCATATTTCTTCCTTGATTTCTCAGACAACATCGTGAGAACCAAGGGAAATAAGGAATTGGTGTTCTTCTCAAATTTCTGGAGGTTATATGCCTCGGGGAACAGAGATGTGCGAGCGTTTTTTCAATATTTCCGCTCACGAGCGCAAATGCTGTCAAAGAATGACATTTCTGGGAAATCGTCAACTTTGTGTTGGAATTTGAAAGCGTCAAAGGCTACTTTGTAAATCGTTTGTAGAAAAATGAAATTTGATGATGTGATCATCTTTCAATTGAGAAAATTTCAACCGTTACGTTCACGTCATAATATCAGGCAGGTGTCCTCCAATATTAACCAATCAAAACTAAGGTCAACGCTTCCCTATGGTTTCCAATGCTGTCTTCTTAGTTGAAATGGACTTTATATAAGTACCTCAATGATTTCCAACATTTATGTTGACAACGTTACCGCTTCTCAGAATTTGTCTTCAATATTGATAAAAAATGGTATGTTACGTAAATTAAGGTTGTTATAACTTTGTTGCCAATCTATAGTTAATTACTATACACTACGCGTAGCGGAAGAAGACAAAAAACCGTTAGCAATATCTCATGTGCCTTGGTGGATTATTATGGTTTTATTATTTTCTAGGTGAATTATGCAGACCAGAACAGTTGCTTCCTCTTTGTCAGAAGGAGATTGTTTTATTATTCCTGTTTTTTTCTTAATCAATATTTCTTAGAACATCTGATATGGCAAATTACCAAAAGTAACTACCTACATGGAAACATTTTTGATACTGTTTAGTTTATTTTATTTTGTGAGTCAAGATATATCTCTTGTTATATATATAGTTATTTTCAAGAATATTATGATCTGTTTTATAACCTGAATGATTATGTTGAGTTATGAAGTTCATTTCGTTTTTGCAGTTATTATAATTAGTACTTATGTGATGCGATGTTTTATTTGCATAGTGTTTATTCCTAATATGATCCCAGACATCTACATCTACAGACTTTGGAAGAATACATATGCCTTGAAATTTGGTATACAGTGTCTTATAGGAATATCTGCTAGCAGAATAGAAGCAATAAAGCAAAGAAAAAAGAAATTCTTTTCAGTGATCTAAAAAATCAACTTTGTCATAGGACCTTCAATGGTATATAGGGTCATAGGGATGCTTAAGGATGGAGTAGAAGCACAGCACTCTAGCTTTAATATAAAAATAATCGAAATTTTTGGCCTACTTTTCATCCCATGTCGTACCTTCAATATACAATTGATTGATCTATTATCTCGAAATTATGAATTTTATTTTATGGGAATCACTAAAAAACTAGGGCAGATTGGAGAAAACGGACTTCAAGTTCGAAATCGTCATAAAGCCTCCAAATTTGGCATGGAGGACTAATGCAATTGTCTACCTCCCACCAGCGCCATTTTCGTCTCTCTTATTGAATAAAAGTTATGAATTTAATTTTGTATGGGAATCTCAGTGACCGTGCAGTCTCCAGAATAGCTAAAATATTGAAAAAAGTTTAATCTTTTCGAGTCCCAAAAATCAACTTTGTCCTAGAGAGCCTTCAAATTCAGTATTTAGGATCCTTCAGGGATGCCCTAGTGCGGAGTAGAAGCACAGCTCTCTAGCTTCAATAGGAAAAAAGTTACAATTATTCACCTATTTTTCTTTCCTTGCTGTACCTTGAATATAAATTGGCTCAATCTAGTACCTCAATTGACTGAGGATCGGAAGTGAGGTGAGACCTAATGAAATTCTCGCAAAACAAGATTTATGCATGCATTTTGCCCAATTAGGAAATAATTTCTATTACATCATACTCAGCGATATCTGGGAGTTTTTTTTCTTCTCCAGATGCGAATATTTCGAAAACGAAAAGCGATAGAGGAAAACTGATTTCAATTTCTAATTCAGCGCATCAAGAACACATGAACTACATCCTGCCCATTATGGCGCCGTGGGTCATGTATAGAATGTTGGAAACATTGAATATATTCTTTTATTGAAAAATTAATCATATAACTTCAAGTTGCGAATATTTCATCCATCTTTTGAGAACCGGAAAAGTTGCGTTGTGTTACAAACCCCGATGTCGAAGAGTCACACTGAAAATAAAAGGTAAATAATGAAATTATATCATTTAAAACCAAAATTGCAAATGCACATATACTAATAGGAATATTGTCAGAAGCTACTGAGGATGCATTTTTCTCTCTTACACTGAGTGCGACTTCATTATGATGTGCAGTATAACCTTAACAACTTTTATAGCCTTATAATCATAAACCAGCTGAATACCCAGGCCGCAGGCAACCAGATGACGAAGGAACACGTCTGTGTGACGAACCAAATTGATGAAACTGGTTTTTAGTAAAGTCACTCACCAATAAGTGATGTCACCGTGACATTAATTTCAGGACGTCACAATGTTTTGTCAAAAATTTGCTATTTATATAGTTTCCTGTTGGTGACCCTATGAATTCCTGAATACCTATATGTAACTCAACAAAGTAAAGCTTAAGCCCATTAAGATTGTTATCAAACTATTCTTGGTCAACTTACTATCTAGCCAACACCCTTGATTCAAACCCTTGATCAAATTTTTAAAAATCAAAATTTTCAAGGGAACCCTGAATCCTAAACTGAAAGCAAAACCAGCTATATATATACAAAAAATGAGGTACGAAAGGTACATGCAGTTTAATAGTAATGCTGATTCCTCTATTTCAAGTTATGGTAGAAGAGTACATCAGTTTGAAGACTAATTTCGGGAAAGCTAGGGGGGAGTAATATGGGAGAACCCTCATTAATAATATTGGGTATTATGTCTGATTGTCATTAACGATTGATAAAAAGAGTTCAATCTAATTTTAATTATCATTTTATTTGTGGATATAAAAATCCATACACCTTATTCCATCCCTCCCATTGAATGAAATTAGTTTATCATTTGCTTACTATCTTACTACTTAGGAGAAAAACTTTTACACTTAAGATTTTATTTGAGGCTTATCACTTATGACTTCATTGCTTATGACAGATGGAACATGGAAATTAAATATAAACTTCCAATACTTCTCTACACAACAAATTGACCATTCTAGAACACGCGATTTTGACATGGTTTCTTGAGGGGCACACAAACTATCTGTTAGGTTACCTTTGATGAGCATAGCCCTGGCCATCCCTGCCACATCCACAATATAATAACAGTTTTACGAAACAAAATTATGAAATTCTTTCTGTTTCCAACTCGGATTCCAAGGAAAACGATCCCACTGATTCTGGTTTTATATGACAAATCTTGACAAAATACAATGTTTTGCCCCTCAGCAACCTGTCAAATGACGTAATTCTGGAATTATTAATAGTAGTTCACCTTGTCGCTCGTAGATACCGCCACCTACTGAATAGAATCTGTAAATAGAATTTCTGGCTTCCTTACTCTCATAAGATGGCAACCCTGGACGTCACCGATGAGTGAGTGAATGACGCAAGAAAAATGTCACTGAAAAGTCATCTGGTTGCCTGGGTATTGAACATTATAGCAACCAAGAAATACTGACCGCTACTTCCAAGTGCTTTCAGTCCGAACCAGAACCCGCCTTCCGAAAACAAAGTGACACTGTTCCTGGCCAACTTCACAGGTATCTGCGACTTCCCCACCGGCACAATCTCGAATTTGGACAAGATGTGAAAGAAGACGGTCTTCGCCTCGAGAATGGCGAACCTGGATCCGATGCAGTTGCGCGGCCCGCTGCCGAACGGCAAGTAAGTGTATGGCCTGAAATAATCACGCAAAACTTAGCCTAAATGAATCTTCTTCATAGAATAGTAGATTGTTTTATTAAGATCAAAAGTGACACTTTGTTTGACAAGCGAATTTTGCAAAATTTGCGAGTCAGACAAAGTCACTTTTGATCCGAATGAAACATGCTATTTTTTCTGCAACCGAAACAACTCAAATAAAATTTTGGAGTAACCACCAATGCCGTTCCATATGTATGCAATGCAACAAATAATCGGTTTGGTCAGAATATTCACCCTGCATTAACAGCAGGTTTATTCAATTTTCAAGGATGCTCGAATTGTAGTTTCAATATGAATACAACCACAGAGTGACATATTTGTGAATGGACCAGGTGCTCTAATGGCAAATACCGCGGCAGTGCCAGATATAGGAACAAGACGTGGAAAATGTTAGGTTAGTGAGCATATCAACAATGATAATACCGATTATTTATTACTCTCCATACTCTATTGTGTTTGGCTTGATAATCAAATGGAGGTAAACAATGTCGTTGTTTGAGACAAAAAACTATTGATGGCCGTGATTATTCAAAAACAAGTTATCCATCCCGAGAATAACGAATGAAATACAGATCAAGCAAGTATGTGAACCATGAAGGATTCCCTGATCAAAATAAAAATACTTAACTGAGATGTTTATGATTCCTATACTTATACTTAACTATAATGAGGTGTAGTTAGTTATATCTCCAGCATGGGTATGAAATACCAAATCTGCCGAAATCGGAAACAAATCCGGTATGCGTCCCAACCCAAATATCCAACCGTAACAATGTTGTTTCTTCTTGATGACGTCTAATACATCCTTTTTAGTACCTAGGAGCTAAAGTTCAACTTTAGCTCTTAGAAACCAAAGTTCAACTTTAGCTCCTAGGAACTAAAGTTCGACTTTAGCTTCTAGGAACTAGATATGTTGTCTAACAACATACCTATTTTGGTGTCAATTCAAGAGCTGATGTTGGTATCAGAGTGGACGAATTTTGTGTCGGTTGCAGTAAAACTATATTTTTATAAGCATCTAGGTCTAGCTAGAGTGAGTAGATTAAATAGTGACGACAGCGACAATAGACCTCCGAATGGCTGCCGTTTCTGGAATGTCAACTCACTGAATAGCTAAAAATCTGAAGAGTATCTCCCATGCATTAATGAATTTGCGCCTTCGAAGTGCCAACCTGATGTTAAGTTCAGATATTTGATATTTTTTATTTCATCATCTAAATAATCTGAGACCCACGAGCCCAAAAGACAGATTCTAATAGTTGATATCCAAGGTACTGACGAATAAAGTTTCATGTCTGATTGTTGGATGTTTTGTGTCCAAAGAGCAAAAAACAGACACAGATAAAGTGAAATAGAATAGGTAGAACTGAATGGGGGAAACAAAAGACAGATGGAGGCACCTCTATATCAAGTTACTGACCAATCAAAAAGTGTACAACTCTTGTCGTCACTCTATATTTATAAAGTCACTCTAGGTCTAGCAACCCACACTGCATATGACAGTAAATTCGAGTTTGTTAGCAAGTCTTCAGAAAATTCGCGTACGTTCGATCACTATCAGACTCAACAGTAAATGTCTCCACATTATTTTTTTCAATTAATCGAAAAAAAAAAAGGTGGAGCAGGTCGAACCCGGGACCTTTGGCTCGTACGTTGTTCTATTGTCCACTGTATTTCTGGCGAAATAATGTACAATGTACTCTTTACTTGATATCTCTGCTGTTTTCGTCACTGAACCGCTCCGGGTCGAAACGATCCGGATCCGGGTAATACTGGGGATCCTTGTGGATGCCGATCACTGGAATCCAAACGACTTCACCCACTTTGATGTGAATGGGCACCTCCCCGGGCAGCTCTGGCTGAATTGTGTAGGGCTTCGTGCAAACCCGATCGGCTACGAAGCCTCCGGTCCACTTCCTCAATGTTTCTGCAATAAATAAATGATTTTCTGTACTAACCGACAAAATTATCGATCTATGAAGTGAAGTTTGCTGATCAATAACCTTTGGGAGGGTGACACAAAACGTGCCTTTTCAACTCAACTTGAAAACAATCTCATTTTATTATCTGGTAACATCTATTCATTACATCTCCTTCTTTTGATTGTCACAATAACTTCATTTCTCTGAAAGAAACTGAAGTTTTAGGAAAATCTTACATTCCAGCAATTTATCGACCTCCTCAAAGCTCAGCTCCTGAACCCAACTGATCATGTTCGAGAAGCTCTTCTTATTCTTATTGAAGAAGGTAGCAAATCGCTTTCAGCTTGTATTTTTTATACAAAAGTATACAGCACACGTGTTATCGATTATTTTTAAAAGTTAAAAAAAGATGTGAGTGAAAAACTTAATATAACTTCTATGACCTTTCAGCATTTCGAATACCTCTTGGACAATACGGGGGAAATCAGAATAAAGTTAGATTAATTGTTTGTTATATTTCCACGTATTAGCGAAAAGCATGAACTAGAACTCGATAACAATTAACAAAAGACTATACCGACCCAACCGACTCTGCTCTGAGCTGGGGAATGGGGAAGAGGGAACCACAAACAGAACCCGACGACGTGACGTTGAATAAGTAGCATATGTAGTCAACAGCCCGAATAAAAATTGAAAACTGCTGTGAATCATTGTTGATGGTTCAATATCTGATGCTTGCCATATTTTAATTTCGCTTTTGGTTTAACGAAAAAGACAGCACGGGAGAGCAGTAGAACGGAGACAAAAACAGTAGATCTACCAACGCTGCTGAAGGTGCAGGTGCAGCCGTCGCATATCAACCAGACATCTGTGTCCGTAAAGTATGGAACAAATTCGATATTTCTATCTATTTTCTATTCTCAAAAAAATCAGAAATACGTCAATTTTTGATTTTGATGTTCTACATTTTACCACAAAATCTCATTCAACAGGGTGGTACACAAAGGTGAGGACGCCATCGACAAATTTTTTCTATGTAACACTATATTTTGTGACATTTTTAGATCAGTGGAAATGAGCTGGTTCCAAAAAGGTATTATACTTGGGGTCAAAAAATAGAGGATGTTACATTTGATAAAATTGCCGATGCCGTCATCACCTTAATGTAGTATAAATCACACTGTAAAATGAAATTTAGTGTTGAAATGTAGAACATCAAAATCAAAAATTGACGTGTTTCAGATATTTTTGAAAAGGCTTTGTCTAGGAAATATCGAATTTGTTTCATACTTCACGGACACAGGGTATATAGGTAGGTATACACTGGTACGCGCCGTCTGTGACGCGAGACCGGCCGTTTTACTCCCATCTCAAAAAATGCCTCACGGGTCCATTAAGTTATCACCTCAATAATCAAATTGGGCTCGAATCAATGGAGTTATTGATGAGGTGACTGTATGCTAACATTTCTATTGTACGGACAGCCTCGATGAAAACCCAAGAAAATAAGTCAATTCAAATAGAGCATTCTTGATTGCGAATTAACAATCGCAGCATTTTAGTACTCCTATGGTGATGTTTATGAAGAGAGATGGATTGGCTGTCGAGGTCCTGCGGATTGGCCAGCCCGCTCGACAGATTTGAATCCTTGAGACGTTTCTTTATGGGTCTATTTGAAGCAAAATGTGTAAGAAAGTGTACCTGCTTCAATATTAGATATACGACAGAGAATAATAAATATTTGTAGAAATATCTACGCGTAACTGTGATCAAGAGAGTGTTCGACGTAAAATATCGGATAGGCTGTTCTCATGTCAGGGACTTCAAGGCAACCAATTTTGAGTATCTTCTGAACTGAACTGAGCATATTTCGTCAAATTATGAAGTAAACGTCGATGTATTCAGGCCATTATTAAATGTTCCGCCATAGTAGGTGAAGATATTAACTTCTTATTCTAGAGTTGTGCATTATTCGTCGGGAGCTTCAAAAAGATGTATCACAAGACCCCCTTTCCATTCAATTTGTTTTCCAGATGGCGTCCAGTCGCCATCTTGAAATTTTCATCTGTCAATTTCACTCCAAAATATAGTATCGTTGCATCAATTTCAATGTCAATTTTTTTAATGGACCCGTTCAAAAAACAAAAGGGGGAGGATATTAAAGAAAAGCACTGTATGAAAGATAAGGAAATTGTGAATAAAATTTGAAAAAAAGTCTTAGGCCTCTGTTATCACATATTATAGAAACAATGGCAGCCGCTGACAGACCTACTTACGGAAGCACTAAAATTGACACATAGCTTAAACGGAAACTGGAAATGTGGGGGAAATTGATTCATTTCATGGTTTTATTTATCTGGAATTGTCATTGTTTATACACACATTATTGGGTAAAATAATATTTCTATAGGAAAACAATGCTCTTTGTGTGTGATGATGAACATTCTTGCCATTTTGCCCAGATTGAAATGAGAAATTCATTTCTAATCCCACCAGAATTGCAGTCGATCTTAAAAGTCTGACGTACGAGCGTAAGTCAGAATGGTTGAATCCAAAGCTAGAGTATCACTACAGAAATAAAAGTTAATTTCAACGACTCTTTTTGGACATCTCATCGGATAATTTCCCGTTTTCTTTTTGCTGCAAATGCTATTCCTTATAGGGTTTCCGGAAAACAAAGTAAACATGCTACATCAAAAAAATTAAAAACTGTTAAATATTTCACCTGAAAAGACCATATCAAAGTATTTCATCTTGAGCAAGGCGTCGTAGGTGACAGAACCGTTGCATTCGCTCAGAGTGGCCAGCACCTCTTCCCTCAATTTGTTTTGTATCTCCTGGTGGGTTGCCAATTCGTAGCCCAAAAAACACATCAGCGAGGCGGAGGTGTCGAAACCGCCCAGGAAAAAAATGAATGCCTGTGAAGCTATGTCCATGTTGGTGAGTTCTGTCTTGCTGCGGATCTGCTTCCCTGAGAATGAAAAACATTATTGATGAAAGTGATATTCTTTCTTTCTTGACCCTCTGACTGAATTGATCAACGTGGAACTTGTGATCTATGCTCATATAATAGCTGGCAAACGTTGTTTTGCAATAAACATTATTTCTAGAGAATTTTTTTTAGATAAATAGTTATCAAAAATCTTCTATTATTTTATTTCTATTTCTTTTCAATTTGGCTATCCATAAAAGCTTTAGTTTTTAAAACTATTCTATTTATTTTCTAATCCTTTTTAGTTCGGCACTCTACATCTCTTCATTTTTTCAAACTACTCTTCATTTTCTACTCACTTCTATTTAGTTTGGCTATCTATAAAAACGTGTTTCGTTAGTTTTTCAAACAACTATTTATTACAATAGCTGATACCCAGCAAACCTTGTTTTGCTATGTACATTTATTTGTAGAAAATGTTAATTTAGTTGAATATTTACCAATAACCCCCAGATACAAACTTTGAATGAAACCTGATCATAATTAAAAAACTCGTGTGCCATATATTGGATCCGCCATCTCAAATTTCCAAATTTTGACGAAAGAATCATAATCTCCGACTCCGAAAACCCTCAGATACCAATTTTGAATAGAATCGGATCATTATTACAAAACTCGTCCGCCATATTGGATCCTCCATCCTCCATCTTTAATTTCCTAATTTTGATGAAAGAATCATAATATCCGACCCCAAAATTTCCCACATACAAATTTTGAATGGACTCGGATCATAGTTACAAAACTCGTCCGCCATATTGGATCTTCCGTCTTGGATTTCCAAATTTTGATGAAAGAATCATATTCTCCGACTCCGAAAACTCCCAGATATCAATTTTTAATAGAAACTGGTCATAAATTTGAAAAAAATTCGTCCACCATTATAGATATCCGTCATTTGGAATTTCCTAATTTTGACGAAGGAATCATAATCTCCGATCGACCTCGAAAACCGCCAGTTACCAATTTTATAGTGGCATATTGTGTACAGAACGGAACGTGAATTTCTGTATCGTTCAAAATAAATCTTACTTTACCCTAACACGAATTTTTGACACCCTGTATATCATAACATCTCAAATATTATTCAATATCATCTCAGTATTAATATTATCTCAGAATTGATATCTTATAAATTGCTTAATGTTTATTAGATAGGATGATATTTATATTCTTATCGCTATTTATTTTCTTTTGCTTTTTATCAATACTCTCGATAACGCAGATTATTGATTATTATTTAAATTTCAGTATAATGATCAATAAGTAGGTAGATAATGTTTCTCACCAATATCCGATTCTTTGACAGTGGAAAAGCCATCGACAATCTCTTTATCCTCTTCATACTTTAGAACTCCTTTTTGAGCTTCCATCAATAGATGGATCATGTCGGGCCGTACTATATTCTTCTCCTCCCTTATTCGAATAGAATCTTCCACCAGAGTGAGGAAGAAATTCTTCAATTTGGTACTCACAATAGTCATATTGAAGAACTAAAAAAACAGGAAATTTCACCCAACTATAATTTTTTAACTTTTGGGGTTTGGGGTAACTCTCAGTTAGTCTTCGTGAGTAGTAAAGTAGTGTACTGTTTAACAAATATTGATATTTCTAGCTATTTGTGGAGAGTTTTTAAGTTTGGCGCCCAAATGTAGTATAATTCATCATTGTAGTGGTTAATTTTATACATATTCATTCCAAAAATGTATACAAATACAATAGTTTTTCTCTGCTCATACTGTAGACAAATTATTGATATAATGTTTTTCTTAACTTTCGATTAATTCAATTTTTATCCAATGGAAAATCTGAATCTGGTAAACAATTCATCAGTTTCACTTAGGTCAATACGATATTAAGTTTCTAATATAAATAATGCATATTAAACATTTGCAAAAGATTATCGTTTTCTAACAAAAAATTACTTAAGTATAATATCCCTTTTTTCTTATTCTGGGAAGGTACTTGCATTGAAGTCAGTAAAACGAAAACAAATAATTGTTCAATACCCTGTCTAGATAATAATATAATGATTTGAAGCATCAAATATCTAGCAAGACAATTTATTGGCTACTCACTCTGACTATACACGTTGGAAGGAAGAACATCAAGAAGAATCTGAGTCCGTTGAAAATAATGGAAGTTTGCTTGCTCATCAAGAAAAATTCATTTTTCGGATCATTAATAGAATCAGTTTTGATGCCGTAAGCTGTAGTGGCAATGATGTCGACGGCGTATTTCGTGAAAGTGTCCCTCAGCTCAAGTTCAATCACATCCTGTTTTTTCTTCAAAAAATGATCGACAAAGGTTTCTGCGCTTTCAGACATCAGCCCGAACATATCCTTCAATTTTTTGCTAGTGAACGACGGGCTCAGGACAGGCCTCAAGTCTCTCCATTTTTGTCCTGCAAAAAATAATTGACTCGGAATTTTACCGTCTTTTTTTTTCAGATTATATGTTGTTACATCATGTTTAGACCCCCTAGAAGTCATCATCAGTCTCAAAGGTGAGAAGCAGAAAAAATTGAGAAATACATTTGAAAAGAATAAGCATGATGACTTTCGAGTTTTTTCCTCAGTATGCAGATATATACACTCACCAGTGAGGGCAAAGAGGTTTCTACCCCAAATTGGATCAATATTTTCAGGAACGACAGCTCTGTGGTCTACAAAGTGGTCAAAATCCTTGATAGTGATTTGTTTTATCAATTCGGGATCCCTTATCAACAATATTGGTGTATTGAATTGGAAAAATCCACTATACCTAGAAAAAATCAGGATAATTATTACTTGTTCCTGAAGGTAGAAAATCATCTTCAATACCCTATAGATATATTCATGAAAATCATTCGGAATATAATTTTCCAAGTGAAAAATATCATAACGATGACTCAGGAATGCAGAGGAACATGTTTGTTACATAACGTTAAACAGCCTGTTTATTATAGGATTTTTTTTGATCGAACGAAAGGGAACCCCTTTTATTTTCGTGCGTAGCTGGGGTGGACTAGAATAATTCCATAATGCATTCGAAGTATTTGTAGGGTAAAAGGGAGGAAAGAGGGTATATTATTGGTTTACCTTTCATTTGGAAATTGTCGATAAATCCGTTGAACCATATCAGCAAAACATTCTAATCTCAGAATTATGGGCAAATTTTCCCCAAAAAATGGCACTTGTAGCCTTTGCTTCACACCTCTGTTCGCCCAATATACCCAAGGCTTTAAACAAAAACGATATAGGGCTGCTAAAGCCAGCAAAGCCAAAAGTACTTCAGTCAACATACTTTGTCTATCCGTCAAAACTCACTCACTATATTAATAAAGATTAATAGGTGTTGTGTTTGTTCTCCCAGCTCTATAAAAATCGGACGTTACCCTAAAATTATAAACAAATTAGAAACATTCTATCGATAGACAAAAACGCGGGGACGTACCAAGTGTGCCAAAAATAATGTTTCGGAAAACGTGGAACTTGATTCACGTTTTACCTCTATTTAACTCACCCTGTATAACATATAATGTGATGGAAGAATAGCTCCAGCACCGGCATAAAATGTATGTTATGAAGAGCTATGATTATCACTTGCTAATGATAAAGATAATGCTGCTTATGCTGTTATAAAAGACTGAGAGATAAGATAAAAATAATAAATAATACAATATTTGAACGCAGATTCAAAACGAGTGATAGGCCAGAGTGTATTATATGTATTAAAATAAATGAAAGATAAATTGACGATATAATGGCGAACTAATAGGGGAATAGGATATTCTACGAATGTCTTTTTACAAAAACCAATTAAAATTCATTCTTATATTTGTTCACAAAATAGGTTGAGTGGAAACATGTTGAATGTACGACCGCTTCGTAATTAAACATTGTCATTAAAAACTGACCACGAATCTTGAAGTCTCCCAAACCATTCATCTTATTCTGATTTTTTCAAATTGTATGTGACCGTCGATATACATCATACATCGTTTTTTTAAAAAGGTCATTTCTAACTATACTGAAAAGATACTGTTAAATTTTTTTCGAATGGAAGCAATTTTTCTCAACACAAAAGGTAGGAAATGATGAGTTTAATATTTTCGGATGTTATTACAAAATAAAGACACACAATGCCGTAAGCAATAGCTTTGCTATTTTATATTATTTGATTTAAATAAATGAGAATGAATGGTTTTTTAAACACTATAAACTGGTATCATGTATTTTCTATTCAGCAAAAACCAAAGCTCAAAAATAATTACGTTTTCAAGTATAACGAAAAATCTTGAATTGCCCTGTAAAATTCATAATTTTTTCTGATTTTAACCATACATCACAATTTGATATTAAAATTCCTCTTTTTGAATAGAAATATGTCTTCAAAAATATATTGTGGTTACAGGATATGAAATTTTATACAATTTAGAAATCCAAAATGAATTATAAAATTATTTCTTTGTTTATCATGATCATTTCGAATTTTGATGGAATTTTCAACACATTTCATACAAAAAATGTTATTCAAATATCAATTGGTAATACATCTCGAAAAACAAATGATTTTTCATAGTGTTTTCCATACCATCAATTGGTTTTGTTATAAATATTTTGTGATAGCCAACGGCGATTACTCAAACACATAAACAAAACATATCTTCCCTCATTTCTTCTTCTTCTCGTCCAGCTCGGGCTCGACGAGCGCAGGCGTCGACTCCTCCACGGCCCCCGTCAACTCCACCATGGTCTCGCTTTCGGCCACCGCCAATTCCTCCACCTTGCAAAAAAAGATAATCTACTGTAGAAGTCTATATGTTATCTCAAATTGGAGTGAAGTAGTTAAAATATAATAAAATTTCTCCAAGTCGTCTCCACAACGTTTAATTCCAAATTCAAGAAGGGGGGGATATGTTTCGAGCTCAAAAGATATCCATCATCAGCCAGAAAAAAATTATTGTGGAGAAGAAAAAGGCAAAAACATGGTTAAATTAGCATGGTAAAACGGTTACTAGGTACATGTTAATAGTTTTAAATTAAATTTACAATGAAGTAAACAGGTTTTATTATTTAAATTGGGGACCTGTACACCAGAATGATTGCTTGCTGCTACCGAATGTACGGTGTCGTTGAGCAAATATCTGGGGTACAGGGCCCCAATTTGAATAATGCTACCTGTTCACTTTTACAGATATCCAGGATGAACAGAGTTGCCTCAATTGTCAGCAGGAGCGAGACAGTATACTGTTTCGACCCACCAGGTCTCATCAGCAGCTCTCAGTTCTCTTAGTTATGAGATCTAGTAATTGAATAGCTCGGTGGAAAAATCCACTCAAGTATATCAGATAGTGCCATCTGTCAGCGGAGTGGTTTACTTGTAGTACCACTCTGTAGCGTATAGACGTAAGGGTCTGTACGTGTGACTATAGATGGCAGCGCCATACAGTGTGTGTCGCGATCTCTTGATGGGTGATATACCCGAAGCGTAGAGTTGTCCCAGTTGTCAGCAGACCGAGAGCGGCTGATGAGACCTGATGGGTCGAAACAGTACTGTCTCGCTCCTGCTGACAATTGGGGCAACTCTGTTCATTCTGGATCTCTTGGTTATGAGATCTAGTAGTTCAAAAAATCTTTTTTCTACTACTGCTATGAAAAGTAGCGCATTTCTCATAGCTTCCCAGTTTCAAAACCATGTATTGCCCATACTGTGAGAAATATTTTTTCTCACGGCATTTGCCAACACCACATACATTTCCATGGAGAATCAACAAAAATCGACCAAAACTTGGCTGCTGTTCAGCTTTGAATAGTTGTCACAACTGTCAGAAGAAGTTTTTTAAATTCTTTATGGTAGTTCTCATTAGTGTTTTTGATAGAAATCGCATTTTCCATCAAATATTGATCCAACAATTCATAATAAATAATATGATGTATATACCGAGATGTGACGATTTTGATATATACACCGCCAGAGACAGAGATAATGGAAAAAAGCTGCGAAAGTTGGATTTGTTTTCGTAAATTTCAATAAGAAAAATGTATGAATTGACATATTGGTACGAAAAATTTATGAAATCTAAAAAAATACAGAAATAAATTTTTTTCGGAAACTGTACTTTTTTGAAATACTTCGAGGAAATGGGAAAAGCGTCTACACTTTGGTCACAATATTCAATGTGGCATAGTGCCACATTATAAAATAAATACCACTTGTAGAAGAAGTATAGTGTCACGAATAGGGTTAAATTCATAGAAGTTCCGAAGTCACGGTCACGTCTTCGTTAATTAATTCCAAAATTTTCGAATCATGAACGAACTTTTTTCCATAGTAGTTGAACATAAACACAGGCGTGACATTGACTTCAACGAACCTGGACTATCGACCTGATTTCCTTACTGTCACGTATCCGAAAATATAGACAACTATTTAAAAGAAATAAGGAAGCGGGTTCGACAGTTCGACTACCGGTTCGACTGCGAGTTGGACTGCCAGTTTTTGTTCTAGTCCTGGTTTTTGAGTAAGAGTCCGGAAAGTTTGAGTTCTATCAATTGTAAGTTTGAAAAGTTGCCACTGTGCCCGAACCTTCGGAGTTCGGGCAGAACACAAGATGTGTGTATGTGTTTTGTTGAAAACCCTTTGGAGTATTTTTCATCATTATCACTTTTGAAGTTCATGTGGGGAAAAGCACTTTTCTCACTTGTTGCACAATATACTATTTCCATACTATTGCCTATAGCCCTCTATAATAAACAGAGTGTCTAGTAGAAGGAATAGTAGCAGAAAAGTAACGAACCTCTTTCGGCTTGTTCGCCTCTATCTCCGCGGCGATCTTCTGATAGAACTCCGCTTCGGCTTGTCTGACGGCGCCGTCGTAGAACGAGGCGGCGTCCCCGATGGCGGCGCCGGCAACGTCGGCCGGCGTCTCGGGCTCCAGGCCGGCGCCGGCGTGCCGGCTCTTCTGCTTGAGGCGCAGCTCGCGGTTGCGCGCCTCCAGGATCTTTTCGCGCCGGCTCTCGCGCTCCAACATCTGCAAAAGGTTCGTACACACTTCATCATCAATATCAATAATGCCAACTCTTAGGGCTCTTGATCAATTTTCTTAGACATGTCGTAAGGGTTTAACCCCCCAAACATATATGCCACTGGAGAAATTGTGATTTTCAAAGTAGATTCTGAAGCGCCAATATCTATCACACAAAAAACGTCCTCTTCTCTCAATGCTCTAAAGTGAACAGTTTCCGCGAAAAATGGCTCTTTATGAATAAGAACATACAAAATCCTGATGGTATCTCCAAAAATCGTCTAAAAATCCAATGGAAATAAAAACCTCAGAACTGTCTAATAATATGCTTCAATCAAATGTCAGGTTCTTGAGTATGCTGACTGAGTTATTTGGTGGGATTTTTTGAAACGAGTACGAAGATATGGTCTAAGAACTGCCGGAAGCCAGAATAAATTCATTTCATTTTGATTCACTCTAAATTTCAGTATCTGGGGTACTGCAGCAACATCTGATTTGAAACCTCTGAAATCACTTCAAAATAAAGTCATAAAATGTATTTATAAACTACCATTTCTGGAATCAACATCTAGACTATACAAACCAAGATATTTGCTAGATATTGATTTTTTTTTTGCATTTCACCCACTTCACTAAAAATAATAAGAAAAAGCACTCGAATCTTACTTTCAATATCAATTCTGATACCCAAGAGCATCACACCAAACAAAGTGAACATTTGAAAACTGCCAAAATAAAAACCCAATTCGGGAAAAAATCATTATATTTTTGTGGATAAATATTTTTAATAGTCTACCCAACAAAATAAAATCTATTAGGTTCGTTACAACATTCAAGAGTGAACTAAAGATTCATATTTTATCAATTTAACTATCTCCTTGTATTGCAAATTCAATTTAATTATTATTTTTTTGTATCCCTCTATATAAACATTGTATGTTTCTTGGGATCAATAAATGTTATCATCATTATTAGAATAATGGCAGCGGAAGAAATAATGTAGACCTGTATGACATATATAGTGCTTTATGTAACATATCACCAACAAATCAACTATATTCTAGGAAACTTTTCGCTTACCGCAGTTAAAAGTGCCTTGTCATTTTTGTTGGACGCGGCCAAATTTTCGCTGAATTCCACCAAGTAGATAGTGCCCTTTTGATTTCCGACCGCCACCAGTCTGCCCATATCGTGAGTTCTCAGACATTTCAGCGCCTCGTCGCAAACTTTCACGCTCAAACACGCTTGTTTCTGTTGCTGGAGAATGTCCCAAACGTCGAGAGTGCCATCTGATCTTGTCGTGAAAAAAACGGAAAGCCTAAAATGATAACGAAAAAAAACCATTTCTTCGATTGATCTTCCGTAAAACGTCTGAATATTATATACACACCAGCAAAATAACCAGCCACAAAAAAAATTGTCCGAATTGATCACCCTGTATCTTTTTCAAATCTTGTCCGATTTTGGTGGAATTCCGACCAAATCGTAGATTAATCTTTCAGAATGTTATCGTGAATTTTATTTCTCAAACCTGATGAACTGATCATTATTCAGGGAAAAGGGAAAGTAACTATTTCACCCTCAATTTATTAACGCCCTGTGGCCAAAGAAAGAGGTTGAGCTCAGATTCAGATCCCTTTTCAACACAATGATTTTTAATTCACGTCAATATCTTTATCGATTTTAATAAAGAATACTTCAGAACCTACATAAACTTATCGATTAACAACTTGAAAAAACTTAAAAATTATTCCCGCATATTCCCAAGGCGATAAAGGATTTAGTGGTGAAATAGTAACTTTTCAAGCCATATGCTTTTCAAGGGAATCGAACTTCAAGCTAACATTCTAAAACATAAATATACGATTTGGTTGAAAGTTCATCAAAATAGGAGAATTAAAAGTAACAGTGTATTTCTGATAAAAAGGAAATACAAACAAAAAATAATTTATATTTTAAACAACTGTCAACATTTTCATTCTTCAGGAATTACTTGTATTAGTAGTGAATTCAATATCTCGGGAGCATATTTGATAAACGAAATATTACGAAAAAAATGTTTGTTGAGTATCATACTGTAGATTAAACAATCCACTTGTTCATCCTCTATGAAAAAATAATTGAAGGTTGTTGCCATAAAAACGAGAAAAGAAACAATTTTGAAAGATTCATGGAGCAGAATCAAAAACATTTACTAAAGAAATACAGTCCATTCAAGCACAAAACATTGGTTCTTCGAGCCGGATAAACCAGCAACCAATGTGAAACCTACAGTATGATACTGAACATTGATTCGATGCAACAAACTTTCGTATCAAATATCATTTGATGTCTCCAAGAATGAAGAAAATGTGGTAGCATTCATGACCTTGTAGGACTCCAAGCTCCATCGGTGAGCATGGCCTTGTGGAAACTGGTCCACATGATGGAACTCTCTCTGCAATCCTCTGACCAAATCTTCGCCGTCCAATCGCCGATGGTCAAGAAATTCTTCACGAAACCCGGATTCCTCTGGAGCGCCAGCACCGGCCCCATGTGCGACGTGAACCGCATCGGCATCTTCTCCAACGCCGTTTTGCCCTTCCTGTGGACAACCATCCATAGCACCAACGAAACAAATATCGATCGATACTTGTACAAAAGCATCGACCAACAACCATCGATCAACAGTTTCACGAAAATGTTGACTATGGACCTTCATTATTTCCACCAACAAGATGATTCACCTCCATATAAAATGTTGAAGCCAAATTTGGCCTTGGTTCTTGGCTGGTTCGTAGACGGTGCTAGCGAAACTCAGCAAAATATGGCCATTCATCTTCAAAAATGCTGAACTATCCCAAACACTTTTTTGGGCCATCAGAAAAATGTATGCAGTCAGGTATTTGAACCCACAACTGGTAAGCCATCGCGATCAGAATACTAACGTTTCTACCACTTGGCTACCTAGCTATATACTAACATTGATATTCAGAAGGCTATCAAATAAAAATATTGTCAACATCAAATATTAAAATCGAATATATTCCGCATTGCCGATCTCTACCCTTCACTTTACTCAACAAAAAGAAGTTCATCTTGTCGCTCACCACCTACTGAATAGGATTTCTAGCTTCGTTGCTCTCATTAGGATTGTTCATCTTGTTAGTGTCAATTAGAGTCACTTTATAAAACAGAGTGGCGACAATAGTACACTATTTGATTGGTCAGACACCTGTAATATGGAGGTGCATCCGCCTGTTTTGTTTTCGCCATTCAGTTCTACGCATTCTATTTCACTTTGTCAACGCTTTATTTTCACTGTTTTTCGCTCTTTGGACACAAAACATCCAACAATCAGACATGAAACTCTATATGTCCATACCTTGGATGTTAACTATTAGAATCCTTCTTTTGGGTGCCGGCACTTCGGAGGCACAAATTCATTACTGCATGAGAGATACCCTTCCGATTTTCAGCTATTCACCACGAATAGGTCTAATGTCGCCACTCTATTTAATCAATTCACTAATAAACAATCGGAACTATGGCCAGTGGAAAATTCCTCAAAGTTTCCACCACTATATATACTTTCCTGTTGCACGAAATGACAACGCCCTGTTCGGTGCCGACCATGAAACGGGTGGGGATGGTGCTCTCGTACTCCAAACAGGAGGCACCCATCGCGTTCGCCAAACTTTGGTCTTCGTCCTTGGTGTAGTCCAAAATCAGCGTTTCTGTCGGTTCCGATAGTTTTCTAATATCCCACCTAAAAGAGAGGTGGAGGATATATTTTGTATAATGATATGTTTACCTATAGGTATATAATTATGTACTTCCTTATACCAGAGCCTATTCTGTCTGGAAGTTATTTGTTCAATAAATGAATACATAAGATAAAAATAAATAATGTATCGAACACAGTGAAACAAGAGCGATTTTGTGTTCTAGCCGTAGAAAAACTGATTTTACGGATTTAACACATCATTCAACTCGTTAAATAGCTTACAACAAAAAAATAGAGCAACGTTTATGACATAATAATAACACTCATAATAACATAATTGTCAGGATTCCACTACAAATAATTTCGAAACTTATTAGTTATTGTAAGGTATATAAAATAAAATATGATTTTTTTCAAGATGAACGTGGCAGCACCGAATAGTAGACGAGCAATAATCAATAATCGTAGTGATAAATCAATGTAATTTGTCGTTTTTGTTGTTATCAATGGTTTTCCAGCTTTTGCATGACGAGTTTCAGGTGTAACTCATTTAATACTATTTAGCTAAACTAAAGGAGGTTATTTTGTGAATAAAATTGTTCGGCAGTGTCAAATCTGTAAAGAAAAGTTAGTTACAAGATATCTCAACCTGATATTTCCCAGGTACGTAGACATTTGGGCCACTACTGACTGTCTCATTTGATGGCTTGCTTTTGTCGGATAAAAAAATATCAATTCTTTTGCAATGATTCCGCAGAGTTATCCCCACTATTTGAGAGTTCATTCATTCAGCCATCTTTGACGTTTAGGATTGTTGGCGAATACTTTTCAACGATTTATTAATTACTCGCGATGTCTACAGGTACTAACTTCTTTCAAACCAATATTTATAATTATTATAGTATTTTACTTCTACTTATCAGGTAACTCATTATTTGTGATAGTATAATCTAACGCTTTGTCAATAAGTAATTTTTCTTAGACAATAAAGCATATTTTTGATTGATTGATTGATTGATTGAACTGAACATACCATTTGACTTGTCCATCTGTGGAGGCGCTGAAAAATTCCGCTCCGGTCTTCGAATGTACCCAAAGCACGTTGTGCACCGGATCCCTGAAACTGGTCTCGATCACGCTCAACTCTACGGGCTCGTTTCCTTTCCTCGTATCCCACACGGCCACTTGGCCGTTGATTTGGCCGCTGACCAATGAGTGCGGATCCTTTTGGTTGTATTCCAGACACACGATCGAATGCTCGGGCTTCAACGTCATCAGGGGACGATTGGGATTCTCTGGAATCGACAAAATACTCGTCTTCGCAGTCGATTCGTGTGAACAACTCTCTCAAAACTGGTTTGGCCATAGAATGGCAAAATCTGCTTTACCTACGGAATGGGCGAGTGGGCTGATGATGAATAATTGGCATTCAATTACTCCACTAGCTGTGTCGATACGCTTTTTTCATGTAAACAATAAGTCTATGCGTTGTTCAAAATCGTTGAATTTCAGAGCTCATTTCAAACATAACGTCATGGCCGCCATTTGGCGATACGTTGAATAAATGGTGACATTAGTATTTATGTTGTTTCGTTATTGGTCAGATAATCTTGCATTTCCACTCATGAAGCAAGGTTGTCAAGTCACCATAATTATAATCAAGTTATCAAAAAGATGTTTGATTCTTGTCGTTGAATAACACAAAATAGGAGAAACCCATGACATTATAGTTCATTCTTGGCTTTTTCGAGCAACCAGCATGTCTAAAGGTTTCTTCTTCTCCATAACAAAACATCATGTTAATGTTAGAGACTTGGCAACATTATGCTGAATGCTGATAACTAACAAGACTACGCCCACAAGCCGTGCCCGGGTCGTCATCACGTTCACCGATTCAAATGTCCTTTATGTCTGTGAATTGATATAATTATTATTCACACAAATTTATTATAAACAATAAACCACAAATCATAAGAGAACATTTTGGGACAATTGAATTTTTATTGCTAATTAGGAATATGACCAATACTCGATTCTGTACAGAATGGCGACCGACAAAGTCCAAGTCGTTTTCATTTTCAAATTAAATAAGCATCAATACTTCATGAATGATCTTATACCAGGAATTACTGTCTGATCATTCATGTCATTCCTACTAGAAAATTAATTATACTTTAAGAAGAGAATGTAATGCAATAACTGAAATAAATAAATACATAAATAAATAAATAAATAAAATTTCTAATATTCGGGCTGGTAAACTGTGACAATGGGCCAATGAATCAATATCACCTACATTCAATCCTTCCTAATTTACTGTCATCGGTCAGAAGAGAATGAAGCCGACACCCATGGCTCCTTCCTCTTGTTGTGCCTGTCAGTATTTTGAGTGGTGTGGACGGACTCGAAGTATTAGGCGCTGTTGCAAGATATAATCTGCAACTTTCCTAAAGAAAATAGATCCGTTTTATTAAGGATCGAATTCATTAGCAAAAAAATGACTGACGAGTTATGAATAACATATTGTAATATAACGATAGTGAAAAGTTATAGATACTATCGCAAAATATCATTATTTATCTTTATTAGTAATCAACTTCATTCAGCTAATGAGAGATTAATGGGAATTATTTATAATACTTGACAAACTAGGATTGAAGAACCTATTATATCCCATTTATTTATTTATTTATTTATTTCAGTTATTGCATTACATTCTCTTCTTCATTGATACATTTCATTCAAATAATATATAAAGTATAATTAATTTTCTAGTAGGAATGACATGAATGATCAGACAGTAATTCCTGGTATAAGATCATTCATGAAGTATTATCGACTGTTGTATAATTGAAATTACAACCAGTGAACAAAAATTACATATAATCAAGATATCTCAAAATAACAGTCATATTATAGTGAACAAGAAGGGGAAAAATAAAAAACAGTGAAAAAAAAGGAAATTCATAGTCTTTCAGCTTTGATCATTCCATTGCATATAAATATATTTCTTTCGAAATCGCCTCATGTGTAAACTTTTTTTGGCCAAGTTTAGAATTCGCTGTCATGATTTAGTTATTATGCATTTAAAGAACAATATCCGGAAACTGTTACAGGGAACCATATTCTAACTCTGTAGGTACGTCGTAGGAATGGTGGAGGTGCCAAGTTCCTCTTTTATTTATTTTTTCCTAAAGTGAAGTTTGATCTTACGAAAAAAAGAAAAAATATGTATGTATTATTTTCTTACAAACTTCACAGTGAGATAAAAATGTCAATATAGGAAACTGCCCCATTACGCCACTGATTTCAGTACACTCACCGACCTCCCAGATGTAGGAGAAAGTCGTCTGTCGGGGTACCAACGCTTGGTACACCAAATTGCAGTGGGACACCGCCAACTTCGTCTGGTTGTCCGGCGACCAAGAAATATGAGTGATGGGCCTGGATGGGGTGCACTGGTCCTGATAGACGTTCACCGTTCGAGCGGTGCTCCTTTCGACCAGAGGCGTTTGCACGATGTCCGAGAAATATTGCTGGTAGATGTTGATCGCGTTGTTTTGTAGTATGCAGTTCTCCATGTTCTACGGAAAAAGATTACGAGTTGTCGAAGGAAGGAAACGAAAGCTCAAAGTCATCTCCACTAACTGTGTCTCTCACGATATTTTGATCGAAAAAATCAACTACTATGGAGTCAGGGGGGCACCTCTTTCATTAATAAAATCATGCCTAGAAAACAGATGTCAATATGTCTGGGCAAATAATATCAGCTCTGAGACTATCCCTATCAAGCATGGGGTACCCCAAGGCTCAGTTTTGGGTCCACTCCTGTTTTTAGTCTGAATAAATGATCTCTGTGATTTTGTCTCACCTCATAAATACTATTGTCTCTGTGTGTTAAATTTTAAAGTAAAGTTTTTAAAATCTTGTTTTCAAACTGTAACGAATTTGTATCCTTGAAATATTAAATCTGTATAATATTGTATTACTGCTCATTCAATATTCTAAACTTCTACCTAAATAATGACTTGTCACAAACATCTCAAATTGTAACGTGATCAAATAAATCTACTCTACTCTAATTTTAATGACGTTGTTATACAATCAGGGAAATGTTTCGGTCTTAGAAAAGACCATCTTCAGCCTCTTTAAAATTCTACAACACAAACAAGAATATTGATATGAGGAAATTCCCCAGAAATGAATAAAGATGGAACTATACAGTGTGTCCCACTTACCATGCTCACCATGGGTATCTTTTTAACGGTGAGAGATACGAGGTCGGTTAAATGACACCAAATGTGGAGTTTGTCAAGGCCAATTATAATGTGAAAAAATATTTTGATAAAATCTATTCGTTTTTGTTTTATACGCAAAAAACAGATTTTGATCATTTTCATGTCTCCTCCGTAACTTCTTTATTTATGAAAATATTCAAATAGGAATTCCACATTCTCATGGCAGTTTTTCAAAATGATTTCGAAAAAAATATTAAATTTATACCAACCCTTCTAGAATTTGAGATATCAGCACCAACTTTAGTTTTTCAAATGTAGGTCATACCTCACTATGACTTAGTTACAAATAAATTTTTTTCTCTCACAGATGATATGTCGCAGTAATAGTTTTGTGTTGATAACAACGGAGTTATCGTCATTTATACAAAAACAAAAAATCATTCGGAAACCGCCATCTTGAATTTATGAATTTTAACAAAATAATCAAGATCTCCGACCTCAAAAACCCCCACTTACCAATTTTGAATTTCAACAAAAATTCCATAACTCCGATCAACTTGAAATTTGGCAGGTGTTCATAATTTCGGTGACAATACATTATGGAATTTTTGTTGAATTTAAAAAAAATGGCTGCTCCAAGATGGCGGACAAGATTTGGTCCGATTCCATTCAAAATTGGTAAGTGGGGGTGTTAGAGGTCGGAGATCATGATTCTTTTGTTAAAGTTTATAAATTCAAGATGGCGGCTTCCAAATAGTTTGTTGTTTTTGTATAAATGACGATCTCCGTTGTTATCAACACAAAACTATTACTGCGACATATCATCTGTAAGAGAAAAAAAAGTTATTTGTAACTCTAACATAGTGAGCTATGACCTACATTTGAAAAACTAAAGTTGGTGCTGATATCTCAAATTCTAGAAGAGTTGGTATAAATTTCATATTTTTTTCGAAATCACTTTGAAAAACTGCCATGAGAATATGAAATTCCTATTTGAATATTTTCATAAATAAAGAAGTTACGGAGGAGACATGAAAATGATCAAAATCTGTTTTTTGCGTATAAAACAAAAACGAATAGATTTTATCAAAATATTTCTTCACATTATAGTTGGCCTTGACAAACTCCACATTTGGTGTCATTTAACCGACCTCGTATCTCTCACCGTTAAAAAGATACTCATGGTGAGCATGGTAAGTGGGACACACTGTATATAACTGTTTCACGAACACTTTGAGTGAGAGGAGAAGGATCTGTCCGTACCCTGTTAAGATGGCAAATACATCAATTTACATATCAAGTGACCCTAGTTGAAACCACCATCAATATGACAAATTTCAACATGATTATGAAACCTTACTTTGAACAGTTGCATCATGGTGTGATTGAATCCCTCGTCCTTCTCTATCTTCCTGCGGTACCTCTTGGTCTGCTCCTCGTCGGTGATGTTGACGTCTTTGGGCCAGCCGCCCTCCACGTGGTTCATGGAGGCGTTGGCGTATTCCGCCCGCATCGTATTGAGGTTGTGCTCCGCCTGGATCGGGGCGCATTGTGTGCTTCTCGATACGGGATCTCTGTTAATTTTTTTTTCGAAATGGGAATTAGTCTAATGAAAAATTATGGAGTTTATTTGGTATGGATAATGAAGATTTATATATTATTTCGATAAAATCAATACTTACTATAGATAATATCGATAATATCAATAATTATCGATATTTTTTGATAACTTTCGATACTTTCGGAAATGTCCGTTGATTATTAGTTGTTATCGCCTAATTTTATAGTCCATTACAACTAAGAAGATAACATTAGAAATCGCGAGTCCAGTACGTGGGGTTTTTGAAGGCAACAGGTGGTTAAGTAGCGATTAACGGTGGCTCTTGGGAAAAAAGTAGTTAAACATATTTTATAGCTATAATTATCTGATCTACAATTTTTTTTGGGATAATTTCAAAATTTAACTCACTATGCTGCCGAAAATAGTGAAAAAAAAAAGTTTTTTGTGATCTTTTACCACGAGTGATTTTTTTTTTACAGGTGTCTGATCGATGAGGACTTTCTAGATTTTATTTATGATGGTGTTTATCGAACAATCCTAGCAAATTTTTAGCTCGCTGCGAATTTATTTTTGTAACCTCACTCGTATTTTTTGGTCTAACATGACCGGATTAGGTACTCGTTGTCTCTGGCTTGTGATTGGTCAGATTATGTGATGGGTGAAATAGTTGGCAAAAAAAAAATGTTCTTCAGAAAATATTAATCTCGCTTAAAATTACTGTTATGTTTGATGCAAAGTTGATGTATCGGTGAAGCATTTTGTATTTTTTCAGTACAAAAATAACTAAAATGATGCCAAATATCAAGCTAATTTATATATGTACCTATATATCTAATCAAAGTTTAAAACAATTATGATATTATAGAAATTTCGTAGAAATTAAAAAATATCAAGAACTGGGAGTTGCAATAAAACATTCATTTGAGACTAAAATATGTAACATCGGAATAGGAACAATTTCTCTTGGTGAACAATTTTGAAATTCAAACGAATAAGACTGTTTTCCGCGATTAATTAGAAAGAATGTAACTCAATTATCTTGACATCTATAGCGAATGCCAATAACGTGGTCCCGTCTATAACAAATATAAAATATAAGAATAAATTTTATATGCAGGAAAAATATCGGTTTTCGTTTTATCTTTGTGTCAATTTATATGAACGCATCTAAAAGACTGAATAATTGAATTTGTGATCTTTTGAGAGCTGATCCCATTTGAATTATTCTATCAAATTTCGACCCTCATCCGAATAAATTATATATGTATGTCCCAAAGGTATGTAAATACAATGTATTTTATCGAACGGCAACTGTGCCAATCACTATGAGCAAGATGATTGAAAAATTGCTCTTTCCTGTGCGTTAATTTTTTTTTACGTTCTGATTCCCACGAAAAGGAATATCCTGTAATATTCAGAGAACATCGTGATTTGATAACGAGATGAGAATTCAAACTGAGCTAAGTTAGTGGTAGAGCGTTAATATTTCGCCTATCTCGAAAGATAATATCCGATGGACCAGTGTGGAACTCATGTGCATATTGTGCTCGCACTACAAGTATTTATACAGGATGTATCTAAATAACACAAAAAAAATTTAGGGGTAATATTTTAGGAAATGATCCGAAGTTCATATCATATGAGCATGTGTCCTCTAACTTGCTTCGTTTTCGAGATACAATCGTTTTTTTTATTCATTACTCAATTGTCTTTTCGTCAATTTCGTCAATTTCAATAAAACGTTGTGGTTTTGTTAATAGTAATATGGAGCTTCCTCTGGTGCTTTTAGATTCGAAATAATATTTCCAGTGGCCTCACATATGGTGAATGTCATTATTGTATATGACACCGGTTTTTCTGAGTTTAATATTTTCATGAGATTGTACTATTGAAATAACAACTTTTTTTATCCTTTGTGTGATTTTTGGATCTAGCATAGTTTTTGAGGAAACAACAAAAATTCGATTTGGCTCTAATGTAGGTGTTTGAAAACATTGAGATTTCTCAATTACCACAATTTCTATCATTTTGGGTCTTTCTCAGTCTCCAACCATACTGAATTTTGGCACCATGAAAGCATATACAGGGGGGTTTTAGAAATAAAAACAATTAATACTTTCAACGACAACATCCTGTATCTCATAAAAGGAGAAAATTAGATCACATGATTATATGAACTTTATTTGCTAGAGTATCACAAGGAACTGCCCCTTAAATTTTTTCGGCGATATTTAGATACACCCTGTAGAGTTTTACTCTGGTTCATCGGATATTATCTTCCGAGAGGGGCGAAATATTGAAGCTCTGTCACTAACTCAGCTCAGTTTGAATCGCGGCACGTTTGGATAATCGCAAAGTGGTCATTATCCCCTTTCATTTGCTTTTTGTTTCAATCAACGCACAGGAAAGTGAAATTTTTCAATCATTTTGCTCAAGATAGCGATTGGCACAGGTGCCGTTTGATAACATAAAATGTTTTTACCTGCTTTTGAAACATATAATATAACATCACATTATCAGATGACATAACATGAGATATTGGATAGATAAATCAGATGAGATAAAATCGATACCTTAAAATATAGTCCTTGTAAAGTTTCCTGTTGGAAGGAAAATCGTCTATTATTTCAGGTCCTCTCAAGCAAAATTGGCATTGTCGTCCGAAATCACTCCTTTTCTTCTGATAAGCATATTGAACTTCCATTTTCTGTCAACTTGATGAAGTTTGTTCGATAGGGAAGTAACCAGGGCAACTACTTACAGGATGGTTAAAATATCTGCTGTACAAATCTACCAACAATAAATTGGTGAGAACAATGGTGAGAAACTTGTGTTGATTTGTATTTCGTAAATGTACAGATTAGTCACGTTGAGCAGACCAAAATTTTTAACTAGTAAAGGAAGAAAAACAGATTTTGGACAAAAGGTGAATATATTATTGGGAGTGGAATTGTCATTGAATAAAGGTTTTTGGTTTTGAATTGGTTTTGGTAGGTACACAAAGGTCAATATCTAGGACCATATTATAATTTTTATTAACAATAATAATCCAGTTCATTCATACCTTCAGGTGAATTCAAAATATGTCATAATTTGATGAAAATAAAAAATCGAAAATAATTCAATTAGATTGCTGATATATTTAAATGCTCTGAAACTGCATACTTAAAATAAATTTACACGCTTGCATATGATCTGGTAGTCAGCTTTCTCAAGTTTTTAGCCGTGGCGGATTAATGTTTTCAATAACACGAAAATGATTATTATCACTCTCTTTCTGGTCTAGACATACAATTATTTTTTAGAGTCAGTGTCTTTAGGCTACAAATATTTATTATATGTTAATTTCCTTTTAACAATCTTCATTAGGTATTATGAACACTATACGCTAAAGTCAACATATTTTACTTGAAAACATTCTTGGTGACATGTCATAATATACCACCTTTTATGATCCTTTTAATTTTGACAGTATAAAAAAACAACCTTACAAGGGATCCACTTCCATTGAATAGAACTCGAAAGCTTGCCGAAAATATACTACAAATTATTTTTATCTGTCGACTTCTTCAAAATTTGCAAAATCATAACTAACAAAAGTTATGTTTACATTTTTTCCATGTCAATGATATATCTGAGAACATTTATTTTTTTAAACTTTCATACCCAATCAAAGGGTTCAAACTTAAACGATGTAAATTTGCTTTTACAGACCTCTAATCACAGGTTTCTGATTAGGTTTTCTCAATTCAGAATTTTAGACACCCTGTATGATGAACTTCAATTCATTATACCACTAACAAAAGTTCATTTTGTTGACGATAGTCGAGAATAGACCATAATTCAAATGTATACACTTTCTGCTGCTCCCTGTTTATTTTCTTAGAAAGATTATATTGGATGATCAGTGATTTTTTTTCACCAGAGAACATGGTAACAATATCTCTAGTGTAAAGTGCCTTAGCGTCTAAACCAATGAAAATCGAGGTCAAACAGTCTATATCTCACTACCCACTTCATTCTTAACTGGAACATACTATTGGCCATCCATCAAAACATTGTTTTTGACATTGGCATAGATTTCAAGCTGAATTTCAGAAAGCGTCAATAATTGTATTTCAGCATATTCACTTGTATTTCAAAGAGCAATTTGTATTTCAGAATAGTCAATTGAATGTCAGAAAGCGCCAATTGTATTTCAGAATAGTCACTTGTATTTCCGAAAGCGTCAATTGTATTTTAGAATAGTCAATTCAATTACAGGAAGCGTCAATTGTATTTCAGAAAGCATTAATTTTTATTTTAGAATAGTCAATTGAATGTCAGAAAGCGTCAATTGTATTTCAGAATAGTCACTTGTATTTCTGAAAGTGTTCTAAAAAACAATTGACTATTCTGAAATACAAATAAGGCTTTCTGAAAATGAATTGACTCTTCTGAAATACAAAAGACTCTTTCTGAAATTGAATTGACTAATCTTAAATACAAATTGATGCTTTCTGAAATACCAGTGCCTATTCTGAAATACAAGTGACTATTCTGAAATACAAATGACGCTTTCTGAAAATGAATTGATTATTCTAAAATACAATTGAAGCTTTTTGAATTACAAGTGAATATTTTGAAATACAAATGAGGCTTTCTGTAATTGAATGGACTATTCTGAAATACAAGAGACCATAGTCACTATTCTGAAATACAAATGACGCTTTCTGAAAATGAATTGACTATTCTGAAACACAATTGCCGCTTTCTGAAATACAAGTGACTATTCTGACATACAAATGACGCTTTCTGAAATTGAATGGATCATTGTGAAATACAAATTGATACTTTCTGAAATACCAGTGACTTTTCTGAAATACAAGTGACTATTCTGAAATACAAATAACGCTTTCTGAAAATGAATTGACTATTCTGAAGTACAATTGACGCTTTCTGAAATACAACGATGTTTCTAAAATACCATTGACTTTTCTGAAATACAAGTGACTATTCTGAAATACAAATAACGCTTTCTGAAAATAAATTGACTATTCTGAAGTACAATTGACGCATTCTGAAATACAAATCGATGTTTCTGAAATACCAGTGACTTTTCTGAAATACAAGTGATTATCCGGAAATACAAATGACGCTTTCTGGAATACAACTGGAGAAGTTGTAGTACTGAAAATGTGAGCTCTCCTTACTGACACACCAGTCAATGCAAGACCAGAACGAAAAAAAAAACAAACAAACAAAAAACCTCCCCCTCCCCTTCGGCCGCTTCACAGCAGCTGCTCCATCTCCTGCATGAACTGCTTGTACGCGTCGTCCTTGGCGTGCCCGCCCGCCGCCATCATGCCCCTGTGCATGTTCATCTCCTTCTGCCTCATCTCTCTGGCCAGCGCGCCTGCGCTCCTCGTCGGCCGCTTGTCTTCGCGCTTCACGCGCAGCGTCGACGGCACGAAGCGCGTCACGTCTGCGCTCAGGTTCCTGATCTGCGGCTTGGCGCTGATGGTGGCGCCCTGTTTGGTCGATGATTCGGCGGGGCGGTCGATGAGCTGCGGCGCGGCGGAGAGGACGTTGGGTTGCACGAGTTGCGGGGGCGCGGGGATCCTACAACAACGGTTTATTTTTTTTCTACTTGCATAATTGAAATGCAGGATGAACTCCAATCAAATCCCATCTACTGTTTTCTGGTCAGAGTTCTTGACCTGGGACCTAGGATTCTATTCAATATCGCGGAATATAGGTCGCATTTTACCCGTTAGATGACGAAATCTCAACCAAAATTCGAGGTTGGTAGAACTGATGATAATTAAAATTCCCCAAAATTACAGTTTCGTACTTTCAAATTTAATCTCATTTGGTTTGAGGTTATGTTTACACCAATTGACCTATCCAAGATGCTGTCAAATCATCTAAATCAATATGGCCGACTGTAGGCACACATACTTTCGTGTGGCAATATCTTTGTTATAGTGGTTCAAGGATTATAAATATCCACTTTTATTCAAAATAGCCATTATCATTATTTGATATATCCACCAAAATTGAACTGCTGCTACGTAAATCAACAAAAAATACTTGTGTGCCTACAGGCGGCCATTAGAAATATGTCAAAAGTCACGTGTTCTGGAATGCCTAATAGGTCGCGTGCACGATGACCGACCCTGGAGGCAAAATATTGAAACACAACCTCACTGTTCTGTGAATTATTGAAACACAACCTCACTTTTTCATTTGTTTACAGAGGAATCAAAGGGTTGAAATAGTTTTTCACAATATTTTGGCATACGAATCGTGTTTCTTGCGTTATTCATTAATTCAAGCATGCCTTCGCATTGTGCTGTTGTACAGTGCACAAAAAATGCAACAAGAGACTAGGGAATATGATTTTTCAGGTAAATAGTAATCTCACATAGTTATCATTATGAAATGTTGTCATGCCTAATTAAAATTCCTTCTGCCTTCGCCACTTCTGCAATACAAGCTAATACTGCTAATAGATTGAAAATTTCTACAACACACACGATCGTCAGCATGTCAGACCATGTCCTCCCGATTGATTGCATGAATCCAATCTTTTTGCATTATTATAGAAATTTCAGGTATATTTCTATTAGCTCTTATTGCAGAAGGAATTCCGATGAGAAATCAGAGAAATAACCAAATTTCAAAAATGAAAACTATATGTGAGTGACTGTAGTAGGTACTTACTTTCAAATCATAATGTACCATCCGGATTCCTTCATTTTCCGCTGCAGTTTTTGTGCATTTTACAACAGCACAATGTGATGGCATGAGGGAATTGATGAATAGCGGAAAAATACGATTCATATGCCAAAATAATTGTGGAAAACTATTTCCATCACTTGTAAACAAATAAGGAAAGTGACGTTGTGTTTCAATGTTTTGCCTCCAGCGTCGGTCATCTGACAGTTCTTGCACGCAACCCATGGGTTGCGTGAAAGTACCTACTATAGTCACTCACATATAGTTTTCATTTTTGAAATTTGGTAATTTCTCTGATTTCTCATCGGAATTCCTTCTGTGATAGGAGCTAATAGAAATACACCTGAAATTTCTAAAATAATGCAAGAAGATTAGGTACATGCAAACAATCGGGAGGACTGGTCTGACATGCTGACGATCGTGTGTTTTGTAGACATTTTCAATCTATTAGCAGTATTAGCTTGTATTGCAGTAGTGGCAGAAGGCAGAAGGAATTTTAATAAGGAATGACAACATTTCATAATGATAACTATGTGAGATTACTATTTACCTGAAAAATCATATTCTTTAGTCTCTTGCTGCATTTTTTGTGCATTGTACAACAGTACAATGCGAAGGCATGCTCGAATTAATGAATAGCGCAAAAAACACGATTCGTATGCCAAAATATTGTGAAAAACTATATCAATCCTCTGATTCCTTTGTAACCAAATAAAAAAGTGAGGTTGTGTTTCAATAATTCACAGAAGAATGAGGTTGTATTTCAATATTTTGCCTCCAGGGTCGGTCATCGTGCACGCGACCTATGAAAAGTTTTTTTTACAACCATACATGTAATTTTGTCATTACTAACATCATTGAAGGTTGGGAAGTGTCACATTACACACCTCTACTTCCCGTCCTCACTTCCCGCCCCTCACTCATGTAATAATTCAGGAATGTTCAGAACGAAACATAGATTTATTAATTTTGATCGGAATATGATGGTTGTAAATAAAATAGTATACAAACCTCGGTAGGAAGTTTCATTCCTGTCTCGAAATTATAGCTAACCTCGACGCTTTGCGTCTCGGTTAACTATAAACTCACGACAGGAATGAATCACTTTCCACCTCGGTGTGAAATATACTATTCTTTGCTTACACTCTCGTTATTGTTGCATCACTTAAGAACATAAAGTTTCATTATAGTTTTTTTAGGGGTTTATGATCGATTTCACTTAACCATAATTATGCAGATAGTTACAGTCCAAGGAGGTGATTTTCAAATAAAAATGAAAGAATACATGATTTTTCTCGTTCTTTTTTCACCTCATGTGAAGCACAAGTCTTGAACTATCATCTTTAATGTTTTTCGGATTTTGATCATTTTGCTATATAATTTTCATCAACTTTTCCTTTTTTCTTTTCCCTTTTTCCTTTCCCCTTGTTACATTATGCCTTCCCATACCTGATCACCCTCGGGGCCACCTGCACCTGCACCTGCGCCATCCTGACGACGGGCAGCCGGGGCGGCAGGCCGGGCGGAGGTCCGGGTGGCATGAGCGGCCTGCCCGGGGGCGGTCCGGGAGGCAGCCTGATGCCGGCAGGGAAGAGGTGCGGATGGGACAGCGGCGCCTGGGCGGCCGCCAGGGGCAGCTCGGTGCCGGGCGGCAGCAGCGGTTCGGTGTGCACCTGGAACAGAGGGGAAGGGGCGGTTTTACGATTTGGAATTCTATTTGATTTGAAAAAAATTAAGAGTGAAGAAGTTGCTTTGTCAATATCATGATAAATAAATTGTAAAAGTGATCAAAGTAGAATTACCTCCGATTTTATTGTATATTGTTACTAGATCTTTCAAAACTGGAATTGTACCAGATAAGATGAAAATTGCTAAAGTCATACCGATACATAAAACTGGAAAAAGAGATGACCTTAATAATTACAGACCGATTTTAGTTCTCCCGATCCTCTCAAAAATTATTGAAAAAAATGATGAATAAGCGTATTCTTAAAGGACCCCGCACTAAACTATAGGGAAAATGGCTCTCGATGGAAATCGCTGAATTTTTGGTATGTTGCAGACTTTTATATACTGAACAGAACATTGAACTAACATCAAAAAATGGACAGTTTTTCCGATATTGACCTCCGAATGTCATTGTTTCGAGAAAAAAGTATTTGAAAATGGTCGAATTTTTGGCATGTTGTAGATAGGAATGAACTGATGAAAAAATCCAATTGACCTAACCTCCAAAAATTGACAGTTTTCTCGATATTGACCTTCAAATGCAATTTTTTCAAGAAAAAAAATCTCTGAAAATGGCTGAATTTCTGGTATATGCAATTGACCTAACCTCAAAATATAGACAGTTTTTGTTCACTGTCGCAGACCGTTCTCTCTTCAGATCTCTTTACTTATCGTAAATAATTATTAAAATTCACGATATTTCATACATGAAAATTGTGGGACAAAGCGTGATGACGTCATATACCGCGATCAATCCATTGCAATTATACAATACGATACTTTACTACACAACACTCCACTCCTACTGTGGAAATAAATCCTTAATTCTATGAATAATTTGGAAATATTCTCATTGGTTGTTGAGCAATAAAAATCTAAAAGTGATAATCGGTATCGGTATGTCAATGTCACGTCATCGGCGGCTATATAGTGTTGCTGAGAGGTGATTATTAAAAAAAATATATTTGGGGTGTATCGAATTTTAATATAGATGGAATGATCAAAATAAAATAGATATATGGCATAAATTCGACTAGAGTGTATACCTACAACCCCATTGATTTCGGAAAGACTATAACCATCTGTTAAATAATATTTATGTAATTACATCCCCTCTTGGGTTCTCTTCACCTGTGCATGTATCCTATGAAGAAGATTTGTTTTAAGAAGAATGAAAGGCCAAATACTAATTAATTAAACAGCAACTTTGTCTATTGATTATTGTTCCATTCATCTTATTTTCCATTCGTATACACTGAGAGGTCAATATCGAAAAACTGTGAATTTTTTGTTAGGTCAATTGGATTTTTTCATTAGTTCATTCCTATCTACAACACACCAGAAATTCAGCCATTTTCAGAGATTTTTTTACTTGAAATAATTACACTTGGAGGTCAATCGAGAAAACTGTCAATTTTTGGAGGTTAGGTCAATTGGATTTTTTCATCAGTTCATTCCTATCTACAATATGCCAAGAATTCGACCATTTTCAAATACTTTTTTCTCGAAACAATGACATTCGGAGGTCAATATCGGAAAAACTGTCCATTTTTTGATGTTAGTTCAATGTTCTGTTCAGTATATAAAAGTCTGCAACATACCAAAAATTCAGCGATTTCCATCGAGAGCCATTTTCCCTATAGTTTAGTGCGGGGTCCTTTAAAAAAAAAACATCGCATGAAAGTGCAGTTTTACCATAAATTTCATATTTGAAGAAAAAATCAGTACTTATAAATCAAAAAAATCACGATCAAATAAAAAAATCAGATTTTTAGATAACAAAAATCGCGATTTGCAACATTGACACTCACCGTCAACCTCGCTCGCGCCTCCTCCTCCCTGCTCCCCTCCAGCTTCTTCTGCACCGTCTCCATCTCCTTCATGAACTCGTCGACGTTTTGCCCGCTCAGCGCCACCATCTTCTGCTGCAGCGACGTCGGCTTCACCGGCGCCGCCTTCGCCATCTCCACCATCTCCTCCTCCTCCTCCTCCGCCTCCGAGCCTCCCGCCACTGCCTCTCGCTCCCCCGCCTCCGTCGAGGTCTTCCACGCGCCCCCGCCGCCGAACTCCTCCACTTCGCCGTCGTCGTCGACGTCGGGGGCGGGGCCTGGTGGGCAGCCGGGCGGCTCGCGCACCGGTTGGCCCTTGAGTGGGAAGAGAATAATCATCAGAGTGCCTTGAAACCAGGTACTACTCATTGATGAAGCATAGCTGTCCTCAAAAGCGGGACCAACTTCTCTCTATAGGTAACGAAATCGACCAATAGGCGTTGATGCCGACGTAGGGAAAAAATAACACGAAACTTGTTGAACCAGTATGGCTGTTTCCATCCTTCACTTTCCGTCCTTATAGATTCAAAAAGTACCTCTCATTTTGGTCCCATTTTCGTATAGGCGATGGGCCATATATAGAAATAGTACATATATGCTTAAAACAATATATCTACTATTTCTATACAGGGTGAGTCATTAGTGTGGCAAAATGAGATAACGGCTTTACTGTTTCAGATAGATGAACAAAAATACCAGAGATGAACTAGGATCCTGAGCAGCACATTTACGAATTATTTCGCTTTATACAGGGTGACTCAGAAATGCGTGACGTATCGAAGTTATACTTTTTCATATGGGACACCCTGTATTTCATTGCATTTTCGCATTCTCCTTTGTAAGCTGATTTCATCAATGCATCACACTTGGGGCCTAGCGAGAAAGATTACAGAGATATAGGGTGTTCAAAATCGAGATTTTTCAACTTTAGGATTTTTTTGCGTCGAAACTATTCATTATTAGTCAAAACGGCTTCCATGTCCCTATTCCAACTTTTGATTTACTGCGGTACTAGTATCTGCGGTACTCCCATTGAGACTTTCCATCTATCCATGACGTTTCAAATTGTATATTGGAAATATTTATTAATAATTTTGCTGCTTGTATGTTTTTATTAGACTGTATTTTATTCATAAGTAACAGTTCTAGTTTTTTTTTGTGTTTTTGTAGGTTTTCAAAATTCATATCTCAATTCCACAACTACCTCAATCAACACCTCATTCTTTATTGATGCAATTTTGAAATTTCACTTTATAATCTTCATTGATTCCTTTTAAAATAGGTACAAGTATGACCTACCTCACATAGCAGGTAGATATACCTACTTTTCCTTATTGTTAATTTGTTTCTAGGTGAATGAAAGTCCTGGATTTCAAATTCATTCATAATTGTTAATTTTTATGAAGGTATCTTGTGAAATAATTCAGGGAAAAACAGTATACAAGAGCACTGAGGGATAAAGTATACTAGTAGATCGGAGGTGGAATTTTCATCATGGTCATAGATACATCATTTGTGCGGAAATTGATCGGTTAGCAGCATGATTCAACCTATTAGTCATTCATTCGAGACCAGGTGGTGAATAAAGACAGTCTTATATTAGATGTCATCACATACAGTCGAATTTTGTGATCGCAATTGAAAAATACGCGAAAGGAATTATTTATCGTTCCAAACGGAGTGTTCACTTGAAAATGAGTGCAAGTATTGTTCCTCATTTAATTCAGTGTTTCCTGTTGTTACATCAAAGCTTCGCATTTTTCACGCTGGTGAGTGAATAGAGATTCTCTGTTTTTCCTAATATTTTCCTGTTTATATTTAACTCAATTAGCTTATATGTTTTCAAAATAAGAAACGTCTGTTCGTTGAATACTTTCAAGATAATATAATTCGAAACGAGCAAACTTTTTTCATGGAAAAATACGTTTTCCCTACACAGGGTGTTTCAGATTTTAATGTACATACTATACCTGTAGATAAAGGACACTTTGGTGATTCTAATCACTCCCTATCGATGTGTCTTCCATCTTTTATAATCAATATAATATACAGGGTATGTCACGACAAGCTTACACCATCTTATATCGAGAATCAGTCGGAAGATATCCATGAAAATGTGCATGCTTACATTTCAGAATACGCTCTCTTCATTTAAAATATTTTCGACAATGCAGTGTGTAGCGACATTGATATTTCAAATGGAATTTATACCCTGTATTTTATCGCATTTTTAGATTTCGCCTAAAGAGCTGATTTCATCAATATATCACACATGGGGTGTTGAAACTCGAGATTTTTCAACTTAATAGGATTTTTTGTGTCGAAACTATTCATTATTGGTCAAAACGGCTCAACTTTTGATTCACTATTTATTGATATTTAATCGGAACAAATACAGAGGGTGTGGTTCAAGATTCAGAATTCTCATCATCATCTGTATATCTGTTCCGATTAAATATCAGTGAATAGTAAATCGAAAGTTTAGATTACAGAATATCCTTTTTCGTGGGAACCAGAACATGAAAAAAGAAGTTTCGACAGAAACAAAACCTAAACTTGAAGAATACTCTCGATTTTGAACACCCTATATCTCTGTAATCATTTTCGATAGACCCCAAGTGTGATGCATCGATGAAATCAGCTCTTCAGGGAGAATAAACATACAGGGTATTCTTTTTGGAATAACAAAGTTGTTGCTACTTTTTGATAGAACCGGCAACAATTCATTGCTGAAAATATTTTAAATGAAGAGAGCGTGATCTAAAATATGAGCATACATATATTTTCATGAATTTCTCCCGAATGATTCTCGATATACAGATAGTGTAAGCTCGTCGTGACATACCCTGTATAGTAAATCAAACATAATAATCGTTAAAGTAACACTTGAAAACTCCATGGCCACACTATATAGCAAAAATTCATCGTAGTCTGATGTGTTAGTGTTTTTAGGATTTCTGGAAATCCTATGTATGAAATTTTATGAGTCATTTTGAATGGAAACAAATAACGGATTCAACCTCGGAATCAACTAAAAAATAATAAAATGCATGTCGTATCTCCAAAATCATGACCCCTAAAGAAATTGAGTACGCCACTGAATTCTTCGCAAAATTCTCTGTTAGACGTAGTATTATTCGTAGTAACTCAGCACAACCTTATTATTTCTAATAACTTCGTAGAAGCCTGGCAGTCTAAACCAAAATGTACATATTTAAATCTGAAACACCCTGTATTTCTCCTTGTGCATTTTACACTCTTCGAGAAATTTGCTAGAGTTTTTCACTACTTCTGACTATAAAATTCGTTCAAATCACTAGAGATTTTTGTGAAAGTTATATTTTTAGCCTATGTTTGATTTTTTCAAATCGATAGACTTTCGAAAATAATAGTGCCAGTATATCCGTGTTCAATTCTTCATCTTATATCTTGTATACTATATATCTGTTCCCCCTGTATAATTTCTTTATCGTCATTAGTCATAGATAACTCATTTGTTCGGAGATTAAACGGTTAACAGCATGATTCAACCTATTAGTCATTCATTCGAGACCAGGTGGTGAAGCAAGACAGTCTTATATTAGATGTCATCACGTACAGTCGAATTTTGTGTTCGCAATTGAAAAATACGCGAAAAGAATTATTTATCGTTCTAAACGTAGTGTTCACTTGAAAATGAGTGCAAGTGTAGTGTTTTTGTATCCCTCATTCAATTGAGTGATCACATAATTACATTATCGCGATCGTGTGTTGTTCTGGTGTTTCGTGTTGTTTCATCAAAGCTTCGCATTTTTCACGTTGGTGAGTGAATAGAGATTCTGTTTTTCCTCATATTTCCTTGTTGATATTTAACTTAATTACCATATGTTTTCAAAATAAGAAACGTCTGTTCGTTGAATACTTTCAAGATAATAATTCTAAACGAGCAAACCAGAAGAAAATAAGACAATTCGAAATTTTTTCATGGAAAAATACCTTTTTCCTATACATGGTGTTTCAGATTTGAATGTACATACTAAACCTGTAGATAGAGGAAACTTTGGTGGTTCCAATCATTATGGATGTGTCTTCCATCTTTTACTCGATCTTTTATAATCAATATACAGGGTGTCTATAAAAGGTCTTTACAAAAACATACCACATATTCCCTAGACCAAAATAAGTCGATTTAAGTAAAATTACCTTAGTACAAAGTTGCATCGTTTGGGCTCCAGAGGGCCTCGAAGTTACAATTTTTAAATCGTTTTTTTCCATATAAATATAAAACGGCATGTGCGATTTCGCTGAAATTTGGTATATTGATAGAGTTTTATGTGGTTAAAAAAATTGTGTTAAAATTTTGTCCAATAATAATACATAGGCGTAGAACTTGATTTTTTAAATAATAGCACCTTTAACAATTCTACGCTAATGGAAGAAAAGGAGTTTGATTATGAAATTTAGATTGCGCAACTCATTTACTTTAAAAAAGGTACTCTTGATGAGACCTGATTACCCTCATGGTTTTGACGAAATTCGCATTTTAGTAATTTTAGAACATAAACAATAATAATTAAAATACAAACTTTGTCAAAACCATGAGAGTAAATCGAGTGTTATCAAGGGTACTTTTTTGTAGTAAATGAGTACCCAATCCAAATTTCAAACTCAAACCCCTTTTCTGCCATTGGCGTAGAATTTTTAAAGGTGCAATTATTTAAAATTTCAAGTTCTACGCCTATGGCAGAATAGGGGTTTGAGTATGAAATTTGGATTGGGTACTCATTTACCACAAAAAAGTACCCTTGATAACATTCGATTTACTCTCATGGTTTTGACAAAGTTTGTATTTTAATAATTATTGTTTATATTCTAAAATTACTAAAATGCAAATTTCGTCAAAACCATGAGAGCAATCGAGTCTTATCAGGAGTACCTTTTTTAAAGTAAATGAGTTGCGCAATCTGAATTTCATACTCAAACTCCTTTTCTTCCATTAGCGTAAAATTGTTAAAGGTGCAATTATTTAAAAAATCAAGTTCTACGCCTATGTATTATTATCGGACAAAATTTTAACAGCAGTTTTTGCCACATAAAATTCTATCAATATACCAAATTTCCGCAGAATCGAAAAGGCCGTTTTAAATTTATATGGGAAAAACGATTTAAAAATTGTAACTTCAAGGCCCTCTGGAGCCCAAACGATGCAACTTTGTACTTAGGTAATTTTACTTAAATCGACTTATATTTGTCTAGGGAATATGTGGTATGTTTTTGTAAAGATCTTTTACAGACACCCTGTATAATATACAGGGTATGTCACGACGAGCTTACAC